AAAATAATTAGTGTCCTTCTGTGGCTAGAGGTGTTCTGTTCTAGTTGCTATCTGTCACTGCCAAGGCGGCTATTAGGAGTGTGTGCATATCTTGTGCTCTGTTTTGTCTGAACTTTTTGGATGAGCTTGTGGAGCAAGCCAGAGCATGATGGAAGCAGATAATACAGGGAGCTCTGGGAATACATCTGTACAGGGATATCATGTTACTTTATCATTATCTCAGCTCTAATCTAGAATCAGAGACTTACAGCTGGGTGTGCAGGCAGAAAGGGAGGTCTTGGAAATCATTACTGATCTCAGTTAAGTAACATAACTATGTGGAAGTCACAGATTGGGGCATGGAGGGGAAGAGTCTAGAATGAGGGATTCCAGTTTATGCAGTGGTTAGAAGCTCGTGGCTAAGCGCTGAGACTCTCATAAAGCAACCACGAAAAAACCCAAGCAAATGGAAAGCTCTGCTGCAGCCTGCTTTTTCTGGACACTGAGAGTCGGCTGGATAATTTCTCCAGAAGTCTTAGCTAGGACTTAGGATGTTCTGGTCTCTGGTTTTGTGCTGGGCTCAATCCACTGGCAGCACGCAACTCAGCCACTGTGTCAACTTATTGAAGAGACTGCTATTAAAAGTAACACAGAAGCTTATATTTTTGAAAGCTTTGTACTGTAATGTTGCTTAAAATACACTGAAGTGTTCCTATGCAGTGGCTGGGTGGGTGAAAAGTCAAGCTGAAAAGTTGAGATGCCGTACATAGCTGCTCCATGCGGCCATGGGACTCTTTCTGCTTAGTCATTTTGTTGACGCAGTTTTGCTTCTGGATTGGTGAAAGTTTCTTGGCTTACATAAAGGCAGTGAGTGTGGGAACATCAGTAGCTTGGTGTAAACTAAACACTGAAACTGGAAGCACAGTTTATGGTACTGCCTTGGCTCAAGTTTAAGGCAGTGGTAACTTAGTTCTGCTTTAGTAAGAGCTAAACTGCTGAAGGAGCGCTGTGTTGTGTTGGTAGCTCCTGTAAGAGGGTAGGTATAGAATATTAAAGGCTGTTTGGGACTTAAAACTTTGTTAGATTATGGGCCTTTAGTCTTCTTCACCTCCCAAATCAGGTAATGGTTCAGGACTGGAATTAAAGGAACTGAATGTCTAATTTATAAGCAGCCAGAGGATTCTGTACCCAGTAAGTTGGTGCTTGGCAGCTGCCCAGCTTTGCACTGTTTTGGCTGTCAGCCTCTGCCTGAGGTGCGGAGGGCTCTACCTGAAACTGCTGCTAGACTAAATGCAAGATTGTTGTTTTTCTCTGGGAATAAAAATCTCTACTGCATTAAACTGTCAGAAACTCAGAAAATAATTTGCAAATACTAAGCCATAGAGTGTAATATACAATAGAAGCAAGTAAATTGCACTTAATTAGGCATGGGCAGGGTGGAAATGTGTTAATGTACTTTTTTCCGTGTAAAAAGTACAGCATATCTTTAGCTAAACAAGAAATCTCAAAGAAAATCAGGATTGAAGAAGTAAGTGGAGGGATCCAGTTCTTTGTAGGTATCTGACTTCTCTGCTCTTCCTAGGATTTGTAGGCTTTGTAGAGGATCCTGCACCAAGAGCTTGTTGCACCTCTCCCTGCCTGGAGGAGGGAACTGAATCCTTTACTTTACAAAGTATATCCATCATTTGTGTGTTTGCCTGGGAAATGCTCTGTTTGGGCTGTGAGTAGTTAACTGCTGTAGTTGGCGGGACCTGACAGACACAGAGAACAGTTGCCTGGTGTTCTTGAGCACAGTGTCGGTGTGCCAGAGGCTCCTTTGGTGCTGGGCAGCAGACCTAGGGGGCTGAGCACAATGCCGTGGGGGCAGTCCTCTTCATTTGGGATTTTAGTATATGGATTTCACTGCTGTATGAGTCTCAGCTTGTGAAGAGATAGGCAAGAGATAAGTGATGCTACTAGTTAACTTCTCTGATATGCGGCATTGGTTACATCCAGGGAAAAAACCTGAGCAAACCCTAGGCTTCAGTGTTTACAAGTTTTAATGAGTAGCAGCTTTTAGCTGTCCACGGTAAAGCAGCCAAGGATGATGTTTTTCATGTCCCAGTGCAAAACTTCCCCAAGATTCTCTTTTTTGTTTGCCAGCCAGCCATTAACTGATGTTAAGTTTAGCATAGATAATCTAGATGGAAAGCTCATTTTAATTTGCCTGTAGTAATTCAGCATACCTTTAGTGGAGGAGGTGCCTGAACTTATATCCCTTGTTTTACCTCGAAGTATTCTTGTAGGCAGTAGGTATTTGAACTATGCTTCAGTGTTGCTACTGTGGAAGGAAAATGAGAACCTTCTACAAGGCAGAGACTGATGCCACCCTCCTGTAAAAGTAGTAACATCATAATTTGCCTTATAGGCAACATCCACTAGGCAGATTTTCATAGCTGCTGTAACAGAAGATTTTTGTCAATGGCTGTCCCTTTCGTACAGTTTACAGATTGTCTGCATTACAAGAGTTGGCATCCAATGCTCTTATTCTTTCTCACAAGATCTCTTGCAATGTAGTGCTGCAAGATCTTAGGTATGAGTCAGAGTGTAAGAGCTGGCCTTCAGTGGGAACAAACACATAAAAAATAGTTCAAAGGACTTGAAGATAAAAAAAGTTATTGGAGGCTGAAACAGATGTAAAAGGAAATTGAAATAGCACGGATCAAGAAACAGAGAAGAAAATGGTGTGTGTTGGACTCAAAAATAGTGTGGTATATTTAGATAGGGAGAAGTATGCTGATTTTTTTTTTTTTTTCAGTCAACTTCTGGTAGGCTTTTTACATTCTTATCAGTGGGAAGTGATAACTGGGAAGCAATAAGGAAGCTAAATGTGAGCAGCTTCAGTGTGCACAGAACTCCGCATAAACCCTTTTCTCCCTGTGGAATACAGAAATGAGGGAACGTGTTTTGGAGGCTTAAATTCAAGTTTGAATGTATTAAGGTGAGATATTCAAATCTGATATCCGTACTCTTCTGGTTGACTTCTGTAGTTATGCTGGTTATTCTGTATTACAATGCTAATAAATAGCTAGAAGGATGTCTGAAGTATCCTGAACAGAGATGGCTTTTCTGCACAATTAATACAATATTTTAATCCTGTGTGAAAAAGGAGGTTGATTCAACTACTAATGTAGCGGAACTTTCAATGTCTGATGCTGGAGGAGTGTCTAGTAGGGGACTGGTGAAGGCCTTGCTCCATGTGAGACATTTGACTGGTTTCTCTGCCCCTTTAACCTGAAACTAAATAGAACTGTTACTCAAACTCATGCAGCTGTTTCCACAATGTTTCATAGATGCCAGAGGCTGAAAACTTGTCTGCTTAGTGAGGTGTGGCCATGCTGTAGTTCTTGGTTTTGAAGCTTGCATCTTGCTTAAAGAGCCTGTGATGCTGTCTTTTGCCTCAGGCATTGTCTTGAGAAAGCATGATTTGGTTCAATAACTAAGTCTTTGTCCTGCAACTTGGAGAGTGAATGGTTGACCTCATGTGTTGACTAAACCCCTGCTGAGGAGCTTTTATGAAAACCCCTTCCAATATATTTATTACAGTTTTAGCATTGAATCACTTGGTGGATGAATTTAAGTCTGAATTCTCAGTGGCCACACAAAGTCGGCCTTCCTGCTTTCTACCTCTTCAGGACCTTGGTCCTTCATATGAGCTGAGCACTTTATTTTCCCTGTGTAAGCTTTTACCCTTCTGTATAGGGCTTGAGTTGATTCTTCTTGCAGTTTTTTAACTGTGCTTTAAAGGGTCAAGACCTTAACTGGCAAACAGTGACTGGGCAAACCAATTCGGGCTTAAAGGTAGCCTTTTACCATGAAGGTATGAGGTTCTCGCCAGGAGTTCTTCTGCATATACCTGAGGGCATTTTAAGGATCTTTGAACTTCAGTCTGTTGCAGTGCCTAGAAATCAACACAGAATACAGCTATTGGGTTTGCAAAGAGGGAATATGGAGACTAACTGTACTGTGGAATATAATGAGGGCTGTACAATCTAAAGTAAGTGCAGTAGAAATTGTAAAGCAAAATTGAAAAAAATCCTAATTTAATCTGGAAATTACTGACCAGTAGAAGGAATCACTTTTTCTTCCCTTCCTGTATCCTAAATAGCCAAGATCCATTAGGGCTTTGTTTGTACTGTTGGAAATGCTGGATCAAGATTTTTGATTTGGCATCAGTATGGCATTTACATTAGGTTTTGACCCAAAGGTGTCGAAGAATTTTAGACAGTTGAATTTTAGGCAGAACTCAAGGGCTTATTTCTGAATCTTATGCCTTTTCCTGAATCAGGCTGGACACAGAAACTCTACAGTAGAATCTACACCTAGGTCTGACTTCTGCATAGCTATTTCCAGATAGGCCTTCTATCTGGCAGTAACTATACGAAGTAGCCTGTAAACTTAGAATCCTGTATTGTTCACCACTAGTAGATAAAGCTGTGAAATAAAATAATAAGCTGTTACGCTGTTCAGGGTTTTTATCTTCAGTGTTCTCTTCTAGTAGTTCAGAATGTAGTAAATCATTATCTCCAGAATGCACTGGTCTCAAATGCTTTCAGATTCTCAAAAAAGGGAAGTGGGATGCTAGTTTTAAATAAAAAGATAGTGTGATTTTGTTTTTTCTGTTAACATTTTCTGGAGTTCAAAATAGACTTCAGTTTGATCTGGCTTCTACAGGGTTCTTCCAAAGCAGTATGGCTTTTTTGTCAGTAGGAAATCTGTTTTTCGACTTGTACCCCCACCTGTTGGTATCTTGGAGACCATGTCCCACAGCTCTGAGTCACTTTGGCCCTTCTGCTCGTGGTGTACTTGGATAGCTTCAGAATCAGGCTATGGGTCTCTGCTCTGGCAGCATGCTGTTGTGTGTGGTAGGGAGCTGAGGATACTCGCCCAGGCCATAAGTCCTTCAGTAGGTACCAAATTGCTGAAAATCATGTTTATTTTTGTCTTTTTTTTTTTTGTCAAGTACAGAGGCATGATCAAAACCAGCAAATGCTTATCATAGACACCTAAAGTCACTCTTAAATTCTTTTTCCTACACAGAGCTCAACAAAAATCCAGTGGAAGGCTTTTCAGCGGGCTTAATAGATGACAATGATCTTTATCGATGGGAAGTCCTTATTATTGGTCCTCCAGATACACTATAGTAAGTACTGATACTTATACAGAAACTTAAGTGAACTTGGATTTACTAGTGCTAGTTTGGTCTGAGTGGGTAGAAGTTAATCTAAATCTTACACTGATGTAAGTTAGGTAATGCTGTTCTGTTGCTAGTAAAATACCTGTAAATAGCTACATTTGCTGTATAGGACTGCTTTGCTCCCCTGGGAAAAGGTAACACTGATCCCTTTGTGCTTGTGTAGAAATGAGATAGAATAGGCTATCCTGCTTCTGTTGCCTTACGCATTTAAGTAAGGCAGGTATAGTCCAGTGATTTCAGTTATTGCTGTGAAGCTCCGGTTTACCTGATAGTACACTTCTAAACCATTCCAACTTCATGCTGGTGATTGCAGGAAACTATTCAAGGGGGATGTAGTTGGGGGAACTGCATCAGACCATAGAATTAGGCTCAAGTCCTGTCAGTTTGAGATAGATTTTGCTATGTGACCTAGAGCACTTCGGTGCTGATCAAAGTTGAATTGTTAGCAAACCTTGCACAGTAGGCTTCAAAAACCTTCTCTCCTTATTCTAAGGACTGGTTCTTTAATTGGCATTTGAACACAAGACCTTAAGTTTTCTATGTTTTTACACTGTTGTACCTGAAGTGTACAGAAATTCAGAGTACCTGAATCATTCTGGCATATGCAGTGTCTTGGGTTTTCGTTTGGCTTAAACCCTCTCACCACCATGGCCCCCATCCCCCCACCCCAAAAAATTAGCTAATTGAGAGAGCAGTTTCTTTATCATAGAGATTATACATGATCATCTACTCTAGCTCCTGGGAAAAGGTTTGGTGCCCGGAAGAGGTCAGTTGAAAGTGTAGCTCTTGAAGATGAGCTCTGTTCTCCTTCATTACACTGTTCCAGTGGTAAATTACTAAGACAAAAAGCCTAGTGGCATTTACTTGAGGTCAGTTTTAGTTCCAACATGAAGCTGTATACCTCTGTCTGCAGATTTCTGAAGTACTTAAACACAGTAATTGAATTACTTTGCTTCTCAGCAAGCTCACTACATTATAACTCTCAAGTCTTGCCTGAGATGAATTCTTCAACTTCTGTTGACCTCTTTTGACCAGTCTTTAGTGGCTCTATTATATTCTCATGGCCATTTTCTAAATACTGTCAGTAAAGAAATACTGCTTCAAATTGAGCCTCTTACATTTTAAAAATTGCAATAGCTTTTTTTTTTCCCACTTAAGGTGCTGAACTTGTTTTGAGGCTTTTTAGATAAGAAGCTGTCTTCTATTCCACTTCATAGTTGCTGTGTTTCAAGGTAGTATTATACAGCATCCTCCTCCCTGGTCTGTTTTATGGTGACAGAAATATGTATAATTGAACACAATCAGGTGGTTCAGAGTTCTCAAACTTCAGTTTGACTTTAGACTCTGACAGAGACCCCTTGTGATCAGGAATAGTGCTTAAAATGGCACAAATGTCAATTAACAGCTGTACTTCATGAACTGGTTTCTAATGTGTATTCAATTGAAGAGCTGTATTTATGTGTAGATGATGAGGGTTGACAGGGATGCCAGTGCAGCCCAATAGCTGGAGGATCTACTGCTTTGCAAAGGGAAAGAACTATTTCACTTTGAAAGGAAAATTAATTTGGGGCTATCATCAAATGTAGTCTAACTCTCCTTTGCCTTGACTAGTATGACAATTAGAATAGTGAATGTTTCTGGAATTCTAACCCTTCCCAGGATTAAAGTTTCTTTGGAGACTGCCTGCCTTTTCAAAGAAAACTTGTGGAAAATTAATGCTGCAGGTTTAGATACCCTCAGCTGCTTTATTTTGAGAGCCAAGTCGTTTAGAGCTAATGCTCTCTGGATTTGGGTGGTTTGGGGTTTTTTTGAGACACTTGCTAGAATTGCACATCTTTGGTTAATGGTGGTAAAATGTGTTGTTTCCTCAGTAGCCTCTGGCCTTTGGATACTGGCTCCTTTACAATACAGGGGGGGAAACTGCACTGAACAACTTTGTCTTTCTTACACCAATTCTTTTGTCTGTGTGGCTACTGAGGAGTAGATCGTCTTATTGCACATCTTGTGCCACCTTCTTTGGATGTTATGTTCTAGTTTTTGTCATTTCAGCCTTTACAATTTCAAATTTCGTTATAACCTCCAATGACAGTAACAGGGCAAATGTTACAGTACTTCCATTGGCCAAGTGTTCCATTTGCAAAGCTTTCCATGGAATGTTAGCCCTTTACATTTTTCAAAAGGGACTATTCTGGGTACTGAAATGTAGCTATTTAAAATAAACCAAACAGCTGCCTTAATTAAATATGTGCCTGGAAATCCACATAAAAACTGGATGTCTCCTGTTTAGTATTGTTTTCCAGTTGAGTGGGCAGAACACTTCACTGTCATGTCCGAGTCCCTTTAGCTTAGTGTTGACAAGGTAGCATTGAAGTCTTTACAAAACAACGCTGTAGACACAACTATAAAGCTTTCTGTAACTTGTCACTGAGGCTTACTGCTGCAGATTGACATCAAGGAATTGGGACTGAGGTGTGTAAAGAAGGAAAACAAACGGGTATTTGCTGGGCTGTACTTGAGAAGGGAGTTACTGGCAGTAATTTTTTTTTTGCTGTACATTGTAATTCCAGATGGTGAATTCCTTTGCAGTTTTTAATTTTCTTTTTGGTAATTTTTTTCTTTTTCCCCTCTGGAACATCCTCCCAGTTCTAAAAAAGATACAGTGTTGGGGAACTGACAGTATCTTGTGAAAGGATCTTCTCAATCTAGAAACTCTCTGTATTGCAATATGGCAGTGTTGGTACTGTTAATTACCAACATGACGTTAAGCTGTGTGAGGCGTAAACTCGGAGCTTTTACATCACTAAGTTCCAATCTTCATCTTACAAGAAACTCTACTAAGATATTTTTGATTCCCCAGTGAAGGTGGTGTTTTCAAGGCTCATCTTACTTTTCCAAAAGACTATCCACTGAGGCCGCCAAAAATGAAATTCATCACGGAAATCTGGCATCCAAATGGTAAGAAATGTCAAAGTTTCAATTTCTTTTTTGCAATTAAGAACTCAAATGTGATGAAGACAAATGGATACATTTCTGTTCATGTTAGAAATAGGAAACTGCATTTACTTTGCCATCGTCATCATCACTTCATAAAGGAGTAATAACCATGACAGAGTTTTTAATAGTGCTGCTCCAAGAGGCTGCTCTATTTGCAGAAGCTCCTGTCAGTAGCTTCTTGCATTCTTGTTTAACTGTTCAGGGTTGGTGTTTTTTTTTCCTAAGTGCAAAATTCTAGTCTGAGGAGAAATTTGCCTTCTATAGCTGTCTCTTTTGTTATACCTTCAAATATTTCAGCTTAGTGTGACGAGCTTGGCAGTTCAGTATAGAATGCCCAAGGTTGTCCTCCTCTGGTGAAGCATGAAAGGAGATAACAGCATCTTTCAGTCCCTCCAGTGAAGATTCTTCCTAATGCTTCATTCACTTATGGACTGCTGGACATAGATGGGAAGGTAAAATAGAATGGAGGAAGTTTTTTACTGGGGAAGATGAATATCCTTCACTTCCTAAAGTCATTATTGAAGCTGTTTATGTTGAAAGCTGGGAGGAGTCCAGCACAGTGCTCCCATCATAAGGGACAGAAGGAATATTTTGATGTTGTGCTAGTTTCAGTTCTGGAAATACCAGACTACTTGTAGGCAGTTTCTAATTCCAGCAGCTTAAACTATATTCCAGTACACTGCAGTAATATCCAGCTGATGCTGTTGCTGTGGAAAAAAAGTCCCTCTCTAGTCTGCTGAACAGAAAAAGCTTTAGTGGAAGCCTGTCTAAATAGTCTTGAGAGTCACAGTATGATGAGAATTAAGTTCTTCCTCCCCATGTGCCCTCTCTGCCAGAAGTCCAGGTGTAATAACAGACTTCTACCAAACCCTGTTTGTTACAGATGGAGTTCTGTAATAGTTAGTGACTTTCCTTTTTCATAGTGTCTTCACTAACATGCTTCCAGACAAGCTGGAGTGAAGACTAACAGTTCCAAAACTGTCCTGAAGAAATGCCAGCGTGTTGTTCATTACTGAAATATGCCTTGTTCTGTTTTGTAGTTGACAAGAATGGTGATGTCTGCATTTCAATTCTTCATGAGCCTGGAGAAGACAAATATGGCTATGAAAAACCTGAGGAACGCTGGCTTCCCATTCACACAGTGGAAACTATAATGATTAGTGTTATTTCTATGCTGGCAGATCCCAATGGTGATTCTCCTGCTAATGTTGATGCAGCGGTAAGATTTTCCTTGATCTGCCGATTGTTTTCAGTGTAGAAACCTAAACTTGAAATGGAGTTTTGCTTCTAGCTTGACAAACAGTACAGTAACTTCTGGAAAAACCTCTTAGCACATGTTTTTGTTGGGAAAAGTAGTCATGTTGGGAAACACAGTTACTAGTTAGACCTGGGAAATCTCTTGGAGATTGCAAAGGAAAGCTGTCAGATTCCATAGGCAGTAGATTTTCTCCTATGCAATAATACTTCTATTTATAGTAAATAGCTTGTGCACAGAGACACTTAATGGATAAACTTCAGCTCCTTCACCCTTATGAAATTCAAGGAAGCTGGCTATAAAATCTTGGGGATATATATACACGTAGGTGTTACAACTGCCATTAAGTTTAGCTGTAGAAGTTAACATATTCTGGAACTTTTTTTTTAACATGTTATTAGTAGAATGCACAAAAAAATGTGTTTTGGAAATGATATAACCTGTTAACAGATTACTGATTTGAATGGAAGAAGCAAATGTGGGGGGATCCCTCAGTATAATCATTTGCATCCACCTCTACAGGAGTCTTCCTGGGTTAAAGCAGCAGGATTGACTGTATATGTTTGTGCTTTGAGAATGCCCTTGAAAAGCCTGCCCAGGCATCTGGCTTTCAGCTCTGGAGGAAGTATTGTCCCAGGACAACATGGACTTTTTCTGCTGGCAAACCTGAGAGCACTGGAATGAGCAAGTTATTAATGAAATGCTAAAAGTACAATTAGGATTCTTCAGTTTACAAGCTCATGTATGTTGAATGTAACTGACCTAAGGCTGGAGAAAGCTTATACTTTTAGCTATGCCTGTCACCTTCCTAGTATCACAAGGCTTTTGTATTTTTTTTATCTTTGCCCCATTCTGTCAGCTACTTCAGGAATGAGGACTTTTGCCTCAGAGGTACTAGATGGAAAACTGCATTTGTGTACCTAAACCTTAGGGTAAAGGTTTGCTTTAAAACAGCATTTTCTAGCCCCGTTTGAAAGAACAAAAACTTAAATCCAAATCAGACAGTGAAGACAGTACTGAGGCATCATTTTGGATGCTAGGACCTATTTTTCTGACTGTGGTATTAGATGTTCCAAGTAACTTTGGAACTCGGTGTGCTGCTTGAGCAGCGTAGCATCTCCTTCTGGATTGTAGGTTGCCTCCTCTATATTAACCAGAGCATACTCAACAGGCTAATGAAGAATTCTGAGCTGCTATCAAGATGTCTTCTATCTGGTTTACTATGGGCAAGCTTACTGCAGCAACAGTATTTGGCAGTTACTAAAAGATACTTTGTCTGCTTTCATTAATGTCTGGTTTTAGGTGAGTCTAGAGATTAAAGTGTTACAGGTAGTTCACAGCATTATAGGAGCAGGGCATATACCTGCTTCCTGGAAAAATGAACTGTACATCTTGGAGTACTGTCTCTTGGAGTGGGGTTAAAATGAGGGATAGGAGCCTGAATAAATAAATATTGAGAAGCAGATAGAACAGTTGATCTAAAATGAGAGTTTTGGAGAGATTGCTGTAAAATAGGAAACTTTGCTGTTCAATTCTGAACCCTTGCTTCATAGAACTACAAATACAAAAAATGGGAACAAAGCCTAATAATTGAAGCTAGGAGGGCCGAAATTCAATGCTTTTCTTGGCCCAAAGCCATGTTGTGTAAGCTGTCCCATGTCCCAGTCCAAGGAACAAAATTCTTGGTGTATGAATTGCTGAAAAAGAACAAATTAATCAGTGGCCTTATTTGTGTTTTCACTGGGAAGGTAAGTAAGACATGCTGGGCTTTCCAACGTGCTGACTGGCTACATGAGCTTGGGGGTGTGAACATTAGGATGTGTCAGTTATCCCAATTCTCTCATTCGGATGTGCTACAACCTTCCCTCCGAGTAGGGGGGTGAAAAGCTGTTGTGTGCTCGGTTGCTTCAGGTCAAACAATGGGGACCCCTTTGCTCACCCTTGCAGTAAGAATATATTGCTTCTATCCAAACCTAAGAACTGTAGAACTTACTAAATGAAATAAGGTGTTCTTCATGTTTTCTCACCACTTCTTGCCTAACTGCAAGGCAGTACTCAACATGTCAGCATTAGTCACGTTGTATGATGCTTCTGTGCTTTCATCTGAGCTTGTCATGAGGCTGGCCCAAAAACCTGAAAATGGGCTGCACTTTTCCCTGTGGGTTTTCATGATCCTGTAGTGTGCACATCTCTGGATTCAGACTTACCTCTTGCCTGTCTTCCTGTTCATCTCTATCACTGTTCTTCATCTGTGCTGTTCTGAAATCAGATCCCTGTCGCAGACAACATCCTCAGAAGTGTGCTGAGAATTCTATTCAGGTTTTTCCCATGGAGCCAGTATCTCGCAGCCATATCTAACTAGGAGGTGTTTCCTTTCTAAGGACACTGCTGTGTCTCTTCTCAATACTGTGACTCCTGTATTTCTACCCTGGAGTGTCTGGCTAAATGAGAGGGAGTTGAAACTGTCTTAATCTCAGTGTAACTCCTGGCTCCACAGTAGCCATGTACCTTTTTTCATCACTGCAATTAAAGACACTTTATCTAACCCATTAACAACAGCTTGCGGTCTACAGGTTGAGTTTGCTGCTACTTGCAGACTGAAGTAAATAGACCTCAGCCTAGACATTGTGAAATATTGGTAGCCACCAGGTTAGCCTTGGAGAATGCCTAAAATACCAGGGGGAAGGGCTGTTCACTCTCTTGTGGGGAGTTTGCATAGAAACCCAGAGCAAGCTTCCAAACGTCCTGGATGACACAGGTTTGCAGTGACTATCTCTGACTGTAAGCAAATTCAGGTGTTGCCTATGGCCCATGGCTGAAAATATATAAACACCTAAGCCTCTTCCTAGAACTTGTATGTTGTTACAGGCCTGGCAACTGAAAGCTGTCTATTCAATTGCAGAAAGAATGGAGAGAAGACAGAAATGGAGAATTTAAAAGAAAAGTTGCCCGCTGTGTAAGAAAAAGCCAAGAAACTGCTTTTGAGTGACACTTATTCAGCAGCTAGTAGCTTCACTTTTTTCAGGGTAAGTAACATTTCAAAGACAAGTCAGTTACTTGAGTTGAAGATTTCCTGGCCAAGTGTTGCTGAACTAATTTTTTTTCCCTTCAAAGGCAAAAAACCACCCAAACCTCTCTCTTCAGTCGCATGGTCTCAGTGGAGTTCTTCGGCTGTATGTGATATGAAATAAAGACTAAAAGAAATTTCAAGTGCAGGAACAGCCCCTTCTGCTGAGATTGGGGAACCTTTTTAGTTCTCTTGCATTTATGCTGTTCAGAAGTTGAAATTCTCTTTATCAGTATTTATCCTGCTTTGTTAATAGTTCCTAGGAATTACTGGAGATGTAATAGAAGGGACTAATCATTTTGTCATGCTCATTATTGTGAAGAACACTTGTTTGAATCTTAAAAGCATCCTGTCTTGCTATCTCAAGGTTATATATAAATCTGTGGAGTGTCTTGAAGATGTTGCTGGCATGTTGCATGGAAGGTTTTAAATCAAGACTTTATTGAGGTTGTTAGGAACCATTCACAAAGGATTGTTTCAGGTATATGGGAATTTTAACAGAAAGTCTACTCGCACATCAGAAAGGATCAAGGTGAGGTATTTACCCATTGGTAGTATCAAGAAAGGTGATGTTCTTTTCATCAGCCCCAAAAGTTGTTTTATTGAGGAAGGTGTAGAAACAGCTTCAGAAAAACAGTCATATTATGCTTGAAGCTGAACTGTGGCATATCTGAGAGCCTGGACAAGTTTTAACCTGAGAGCTGACGTGAGAGTTGTGACCGAGAGCTGTACTTTCTGCCACCCTGTTAAAAATGAGCTTCTGACTCAAGATACTTATTTGAGCAATCCCATACTAATGTTAATGGGACCTTTTTCTTCACAATAAGCTCTTGCAGAAAGCTCTGTATTAAAACATGTCCTTTAAAATACCTGGCCTTTGGTCACTTTAACCTTGGTATGCTAAGGAAAAACTTCAAGTAGCTAATAATTTCCCACTCCTGCTTTTCAAAGTAAAACAGCTTCATGTTGAAGCTGCCTTTTCTTAAAGGTTGGATCGGCAAATAAACTATGCTGACCCATTGGCTGGAGAAGCCCCAAACCATATGTGCCAGTTAGCTTCAGCATACAGACTTGGGGGATGGCACTGCATCTGTTTTTAAAGGGTTTGTGCTGTCTGAACAACTAGAACACCTTACTAAATGCTCCTGCTAGTGAGCGTTTCTTCCCCAGGGTTGTACAGAAGATACTTCCTTTCTTGTGCTTTTGTAAGAATTGTGGGGGTTGGGGGAAGGCTCCATCTGTGACAGACTAGTACTGCAGTATCTCTTCTCTGCAGCAACACTGTAATTGAACAGAGATTTCTCCAGTGTAGAGAGAGCATGAAAAATGCTTAATAATGATCAAAAGAGTAAGCAAAAGAACTGAGTGGCTTGTACAGCTGCCTGTAACTAGAGTGTAAGAACTGTTAATGTGGCTGATAGGGTTTTTTTTTCCTGTCTTGGAGAAAGGGAGTTACTGTGAGTAACGCTCCAGCGTATCCTCAGCTGACCTCAGCTCTGTTGCTATGTTAAACTTGGCCATGGTGAAACAATGCGCATGACAAATACTGAAGTAATTGGCTGTGTTGCTTTTTTGGAAGGCAAAAGCTTTTCAAAGTCCTGGTGACTCCTGAGTGATGGGGGATGAACTGGATGAGAAGGGGCTGTATAACTAGTTTCAAAACAGTACAGTCTGACTTGGTAGCTGTGATATTAACTGCTTAATAAAGCACTGCTGTGCCATTTTCTACAGCACTCTGCTGTTGAAGCAGCATCCATCGTTCACAGTAAGTGATGCACAGAGGTTTCAGTGGTAAATCTACAAGCATTTAGCCCCATGTGGAAATAATCAAGTGTTTGCACACCATGTGCTTGACAAGCAACACCAGTAAGAGGAGCCTGAAAGTCTGGTAGTTGAGCATGGATACACAGCATGCTGAGCTAACTAGAGTCTTTCTCAGGTGATTATGGATTTATGCATCTTCTCTTTAGAGGTATGTAAAGTTCTTGAACAAGGAGTAATTATCTTCCTTGAGCCTGAAACACTATTAAACATCTTTTAAGATAATTGAGGGTGATGAGGGGTTTTAATACCTGTGATTTCTTTGTAGGTCTCCAATTGAGAAACATGGCACTGTTTTTTTTCCTGCACTCTACCCACCTATTGCTGGACTTCTGTTGTTACAAGTTGGCAAACACTGGCTGGAACTGGGCTGCAATAAAACATGCCAGTTATCAATGCTGACAAGAGCCTAACAAGTGCCAACACAAGATGATTACGCATTTTGAAATCTAATGAACTGCTTTAACCTTCAGGAAGAATTGTAAAGATGTGTACATAGCACAACATGATCCGGATAATATATATACTGTTCATGTACATCCACAAATACACATTGTACCAAATAATGCTGTCTGTAGTTAGGAATAGATTCGTGTAAATTCTAAAGATTTTAGCAGGTTTTTCTCTCCCTATTCATTGTTTCCTCTCAGTTTAAAAGACAAACCAACACCACCTTGTGAAGCATGTCAGACAAAACCTGATTAGGACAAAGTTGGGGTTTTGTGTTGTTTTTTTTTTTTTTCTCCCCCACTTTAATTTTCCTTTGACCCACTGAGGCTTAATTAAAATCTCTTGCTTATTCAAGTTTAGTATCTCTTTTTTGGGGTTTGGTTTTTTTTTTGTTTTTTCCTGAGAAATGTGCTCACTTTTATTTCCCCCCGTCAGAACTGAGAATTGTCCGAATTGAGCCCTGAAAGGATTTGCTATCAATTACTTGTGTCATCTTTATGATGACCTTTGTAGTCTCAAAGGTGCTTTTTTTCTCCCCTTCTCACCCCCTTTTTAAACCCAGTTGCACATACTTCTTGACTTGGGTATAGCAATAAACTGGCCATGGAGCACCCTTGAGCAGCCTGCTGGATTTTTAACTTCCAAGGCACTTGAGCGCTTTTATTTGGAAGTTCAGTTGACTAAGTTAGTCCAAGGTAGGAATGAGCTGCTTTTTATGGGTGAATTCTTCTTTTTTGCCTTTTTCATTGCCTGTCTGTGGGGCGGGAGGTGCATATGGGAGGCTTGTTTTTTCTCAAGGTTGAGTTCAAGCATGCACATCTGTAGGCTTTTCAAGTAACTAACTACTTCTGGGTTTGGTATCAAAAATAGCTTCCCTCCTTTTCCCTTTTCTCTCTTCTGTGGCGCTTCATATTCTTTGCCTTCTACTTCAGAGTTTTCCTCACCTAATGTACAAAGAAAATTGCGATGTATATTTTCATGTAATTTGATTTTTTTGGAATTCTGTCACCTTCTGTAGTGAGTTCTTCCAAAATATAATTTTTTCCAATAACAATGTGTCAAACTGGCTGTCTTGCGTGTCTGAATAGGAAAGGTAACTGCAGTGGGAGCACAACTTACCTGACCATCTTCAACAACATAATGTCAGCAAACACTTTTGAATGTGACATTCTGTATTTCATCTTGGAGTAATTAAAAAGCAAACAAAAGTCACACCTTTCTTCCTATTGTAACTATATTTTACCCTTCAGTGAGCAAATACTCATCCCAGAGTACCTGCTAATCGGAGTTCTCCAAGCCTACCTGAAATACCTTTCTACCAAAGAAACTCTGTAGAGGAACTTGCAGCTACTTGACTGTTCTCTGCTCTGTCACAGGTTTACTACAGCTTTTAACAGCACTGAATAACCCACTAATAAAACAAGAGTTACAGTGTTACAGTCATCTTGTAAGAAGCCTTCAGCACTAATTTGTGAGCTGGTTGGACTTTATTTCAGGTTGCTGTGCAACATGAAATACTAAAAGGCTCTACATAGTACTGTATTACAGGTTTCTTGAGGGGTGGGCTGGGGTGGAAGGAGATGATGGTCACTAGAGGCAAGACAGCCATAGGGGATAAAAAAAAAAGCCATTTAGTAAGTATGAGATGACTTACAAGTAAAGGTATTCTTCCTGTAGGCAGTGTAGATAAACACAGATGTGTTTAATGTTCACATTTATGTATAGGGTAACTAATTATCTTGAGAAATCCTTAGTTAAATTAGCTTCTAGTTGGATAGCCTGCTCGTGTAGGCAGGCAGCTGTGTGCAGTACTTCAGCACTGTTAGTGCCCAGAGAGAATAGCTGGTGTTATTTCCTGCTGGAGTGCTTGTCTGAAACTGCTTGTGAGGATGTTTCTTTCCCACCAGCTGGCTCCCCCTTCTTCACTTATCTAAGAGTTTGGACTGTGTAGAATTCCCCTGGCACAGTGCCATTCTTTTCCTGAACAAAATACTGGGAAGAAGCTACTCTTCTCTTCCTAAACCTAGCAGTGGACTTCTTCCCACCAGGGCTGCCTGCCTTTGCCTTTCCCTTTCCGCAGTGTAGCTAGAGACTTGGCAGCAATTCAAGGTAACTGGAACTTGCTGCTCTCAGCAAGTTCAACAGTGTTCTCTGTTTTGTCTTCCTGAGTATCACAACAGGCTCATCTGTAAACTTCACCAAATAGTTTAAAGCTTTATTTTTCTCATTTCTTGCCCAGATGGTTTGTGATTTCCATGACCCACATACCCCAAAGGAAGGAATGTTTCTGTGGGATACTGTTAAGATGTACAAGCTGCAGGTATGGCTGATGCTGGATGTTTTAAGGAAGGAGTGAGCTGGGAGTCTGGTGCTAAACACCCACATTATAGAAAGCCTCTAGCAGGGAAAGGGCCTGTCTGACCTCTCTGTGAGTGCAGTTGGCTTTTTGTTTGCTCTTGCCCCACACATGAAAGGCATCTGGCTGTGATGGTCACTGATGCAACCAGAAGTTTCTGCTTAGCCTCAAGTTAGGAACACCGCTGAAGAGATGTTGTACGTACATGTAAGACTAGAATACTTGTTGAACAATAAGTTAACCAGCATTCTTACTCAGTTTCACTTGTACCAAGGTCTTGTATCAACTCTGCTTTACTTAGGCTGTCAGTGTACTGGGTCATCAATACTCTTTGTAGTTCCCCGGAGGCTTGTAATTATGGTTGAGTTTTTGTGCTGTTTTTCCCCTTACCACATTGTGGCCTGCTTTCCAGACAACACTGCATCACTGGGGGAGAAGGAAAAGCAAAGCGTGGAATTTTAATAAACATCAAACAAGTATGGACATCCTAATTCCTTTTTTATATGTCTCCATGCTGCCCCTTGCACATCAGGGAAGACCTCTGTAAAAATGAGAAGGGCTGCTCAGCTGTCATGCTAAAGTTCTTTCCTGCTGTGATGCCTAGAAAATGCTGATTGAAACTAGATGCTCAATAAATGGAGAACATTTAATTCTGAAGTGATCATATGTGTATTTTGGTTTTTGGGGAGGCCGATGGGGGGTGGATTTGTGTCTGTCCTATCTGGTGCACTGCTCTTGGTACCGTGCCATCACAATGCAAACAGGAGCACCAAAGTCCTTGTAATGTCTGTGTATTTTCAGAAGCATGTACAAGGGATTGCAAACCAAACCAGAAGGTGCTTGGATTTTAAACTAAGGTGGCTGTAAGGCAGCTTCCTGCATAGGCAAACCCGCAACACATGAGATTGCCAATTTCCCACATGTAACACACAGTAGTAGTTTGCTGTCTGATCTCTGTTGTCACTCAGAAACTCAGCTAAGCCTAAATGTGATCAGCAGTAATAACTGTTGCCTCACAGTTCCTCCAGGTGATCGATAGCACCCATAATGCAGCGGTGCATTAGCTATGTAGTCAAGTCATACACACTTGTCACCGAGCTGTGTCAAATGGGATGGGTTGTGCTTCATGATGCCTCCAGAAAACTGCAGTCTGGCTGCCCCAGGCCTAGCTGTGCTTTCACAGGAAACAAAGATGAGGCAAACAACTTCTCAAAGATGACTTAGTGGCAAGTCGGAAGAGAATTCTGTCTGTAAGGCAACGCTGTGCATGGTACGTGCAAACGTGTTTGAGATTTGATCTTTCAGGGAAATAAATGATGCTGTTGGATCAGTGTAGAATATTCTGGCATTTCAGTTGCATGCTGGCACCAAAGATGAGGAGCAATGCCCACAGTCGAGGGTCAGCTATGGCCTGAGAACACGATCTCCTTACTGTTACTTGGCCACTGCCTGTCTCCACATTCAACCACGTTTTACCCACTGGGCACAGATCCAATTGACTCCGAAACAAAAGCAATGAAGCAACGGCGATACAAGTTAATAGCTGCGCACTGAAGAGACCCCATCGGCTCGAAACCCCACGTTCGTGCTTCCCATTGGCTTGTCTGGAACAGGGCGAGCAGCGGAAGGCACACGTCGCGTTTGGGGTGCGCTGAAGCTGGTGCACGTCGGCAGGTTGGAGCGGTGTCTGCACGCTCTCCTCCAGCTCCCCCCGTGCCGTTCTGCCGCCGTCCCGCTGCTCAACAGCCGCCGAGCGGCACCGGCAGCACCCCCGCGCTGCCCGGGGGCGGGGCCGGGCGGGAGCAGCCGCGGTATAAAAGCGGCGAGCCCGGGGTAAGGGGGTGTCGCGGTCGCGTTCAGTCTCGCGAGAGCTCTTGGCTCTGTGTGGCGGGACGGGCGGCGGCTCTCGCGAGAGCTGCGGCCCCGGACCCAACATGGCGGAAGGTGAGGGGGGGAGCCCCGGCCAGGGGCCGGGCGGGTACGCGGTGAGCTCTGCCGGCCGGGATGGCTTCGCCGCCCGCAGGGAACCGGGGACAACTCCCACCCCGCCCCGTGCGGCTCCTGCTTCGCACCCTCGGTGCGACGGGTTCGGCCCTGCCCGCGGCGGGTGGGGTGGGGCAGGCCGCCCCCTGCGTGAACGAGAAGCGGTGTGGGGTGGTCCTGCGGGCTGACCCACCTGGGGCAGGGCGGGCCTGGCGCTGCGCCTTTGTCCCATGGGGTAGCGGTGGCTCTGGGTTGCTGTGGGGACCCCGCCGGGACATCCCGCTGGCCGCTCCCCGCACTTGGGCAGCGGGGCGGTGTGGTGCTGCTAGTTTGAGGGGCGCTCGGCGGGGTGAGGAGAGCCGAGGGGCAGCGGCTTTCCTCGGAACAGGGCGGAGGGACCGTGCTGCAGCTCCGGCCACCTGCTGGCGGGCGTCCTTTTGTCAAATTCGGGCTCCGGTGAGACCTGCAGAACTCTTAGGCTGCTTGCGGTTTGCTTGGAGGCTATCGGTGACACCGTTTCTAAACTAATTTCAGTGAGGTAATGGGATTTGAGAAAAACCCGCTTGGATTTGTGCAGTCCTACTGCTTTCTGCAAGACAGAAGCTTCCTCTTTTCCTCCCCGGAGGAAACTGAGTCGGCAAAATGAGCAGAAATGCCCCAAGTTACAAAGGAAACGAAGGCTCCATCTTCCAGTCTCAAAGCACAGACTTTGGCTCTCAATTCTCAGACAGTGGTAGAGTTTTAAAACCACTTGTGGAAAATTAACTAGGATGGAGCAGGTGAGAAACTACAGGCACGCATCAGCTGAGAGGATGCTGCAGTCCAGCTGGTTTAATACATCCTTAGAGCAATTCTTAACGTTTCATGTGCTGAAATACCACTGTTTTGTATCTAGCAGAACAGCCTCTTGGGCTTGGTTTTAAGCCTTGGTAGCACAGTTCTGATGGGTATTAGATGTCAAAGTTGTCTTCAGGTGATGAAACTGTTACCACTGCAATCCTGAATGGTCTGGTCAGGGTCCTGCTCTGCAGAATGAGCCTGCATGTGAAGCAAGTCCTGTTTCAGACATCTGTACTTAAAGGCTCTTCCCTAATTCAAGGAATTCTGTGATCTTTTGGCTAAAGAAAAGTGCTAGACCAGTGAGTGATCCTGCATGAGCAGTAGTATTAAACTGTAGTTGTAGCAATCTCCACTCAGTTCCTTATGATGTCTGGGAGGGGGGGCTCATTTTGTCCTTTGAAACAAAGTACCTGTCTGCAGCAACACTTACTACCTAGGTAAGGACAGATGATATTGGAGAGTCAGCTGAAAAGTGAAGCTTTATTGGGGGGGGAGCTGGTCAAGCTTGTGGTCATTGCTCAGAAGCTGAGGGGATTTTTCTTATGAAAGTCTTGTCTCTGTGTACAGAAGTGCTGAATTAGATTACTGCAATTACAGTATAGCTAGAAGTTGATAGAACAGTTTATAAAGGCAAGAGCTGAGCTTGCCTTTGTAACTATTGGAGGAGTGTTGTACCAGCAGTAGAAGGATACTAGATTACATGCAGGGAGCACTGGGTTAACGTTTGAATCTAAAGCAGCAGGGTACTTTGCTGTAGTACTTTGGGGTGGTTGTCAAGTACAGGTCAGGAGGGAACTGAGAGGGAACAAGAAAGCTGTGACTTGTACAGGCTGGGGGAGATGAGGTCAGTGTGGAGCAATGGAGGACGGACCTGGCTTCAGGGGGAAAGGAAATATTTCAGAAAAATAGATTTCACTCAAGTGCACTTCATAAATGTACAAAGATATCTCCATGTTGCTTCAGTGACTGCTGCTGATGGGCAATGTAATGGATTCCACTAGACCCTCCCTCTAGTTGTTGGTACATGTTATCTGTCACCCCATTGCCTGTTGCCTCCCTACTTATCTCTTTGGATTAGGTATCTAGTTGCTTTAAAATACTTTGTGCCTTCTCTCACAAGAAAAGTAGCCTTTTCTGAAGTCCTCTTTGAAGTCTTTGATATGGAATATAAACTTCTTCTGGATGCTAGACTATCTGCTGGAAAGCTGTTAACAAACACTGCTTTTCTTGTCCAGCCATGTGCCCTGTACCTGCAATGTGGGCTCAGAAGAGGAGTCACTTTGTGTGTGCCTCTCTTCTGAACCCGGGCATCCTCCTCACTGATACATGTGGATTGGATGTTTAGCCAGAGACTGACTGGTATCTCCTAGTGAGGCTGTCCTTTCAGGGTCTTGATGAAAGATCTTGATTAGATGTGTGTGTGCATGCAGGAGTTGTGCTGTATACTTGAGAGACAGTCAGGTGAATGGTTATACATAATGTGGACTGGTAATAATAGGCACTCCATGAAAACTATTGCCAGCTTGAAGATGCAGTGGTCATTCTGCATGGGTTTTTTAAAAGTGGTGCTGCTTCTCCCCTCTTCCAAAATTGAGGACTATAAATAGTAAACCTGGAGTTGTGGTGCTGTTTGTTTAGAGGTGGTGCTTCTACCTGAGATTAATCAGGTTCCACTTTTAAAGCATTTCTTACTTTAAGCCACTCTTTAAATGAACAGTATGCAGGAAGAACCTGAGGTTTTGCTCTTTTGCAGTGAATGTTGATTGAGTGGACATTGAGGACTGTCTTGAATGTGCACTTGAAATGTGCTGTAAAATCAGATATTGTCTGCAAGCGTGCAGTAGTAGCTGCTACACAACTGCTGTGCATGTTGTCATGTGGAATAAGAGAAACTCTTACCAGCTCTTCTAATGCTTAGAGTAAGCAAATACATAGCAGTCCCTCTCGCTGAGGTTGCAGGAGGTGGATGCTGTCAATCTGAAAACAAGATCTCTCAAAGCTTCAGCTCTTTGAGGTGCTTTCACTGCTGGTAGTGATTGTCACTGCTGCTTCCAGGGATATCCAAGACAACTTGATTGTTGGTTATGCATCAAGGTTAAGCTTGAGGGTCTAGGATAGTTCTGCATTGCATCCTGTTGACTGCAGAGTAATTTGGAGCCAGTGAGCTGACTTGGTAAAACGACAGCATTTGAGATGTTACCTTTTGGTGCTGATCCTTTATTCCCACCTTCACACTCACTGTTTGGCTGGCAGATGCAGTGTTTCTTTAATCTGATAAATGCCATGAGGCTCAGCAGGTGACTTCTTATTGTTAGCATTTGAATTTGTACAGCACCTAAAAATCTCACTGTGTGAACAGTGCTGGTGTTCACACACTAATTTTGGGCACAGTTCTCAGTGTCTTTCAGTGTTCACTCTTGGCTCCTGTCAAAGTCTTGCCCTTCCTTCTGTAACAGTAGGGCTTGGATTGTGCCACCCCTGCCACCTTCCTTATGAATCAGCTGGGAGGGAGCTGTTACTGAACTTCTGTTCTGTTACTGTCCTTCTGTTTCGAGGAACATGAAAACTGTGTTTTTAGCTAGAAAGACCAGAGCAGAATTTTAAACTCTTTTTAAGGGGTGGAGTGATATTGGTAGCACAACTCTGAAATGATAGTATATCAATAGACTAAGGGAAGTATCCCAAAGGAGATAATAACTATTAACTTTTAAAGAGTGAAACTAAATAAAGGCTGTTGAAGGAAGTACACTGCCAGGCCTGCTTAAATAGTATTAACTCAAGAGTAAAATAGGGTAAATTACCTTCTGTTTATCCATTATAGTAGTTGTTAAAAGACTAATAAGGGAGTGTTTGCTGTGGCAGTCTACAGAGGAAAGACTAAATAAGGCATTCTGTCTTCAGCTGAGCTGCAGCAGGATGCTCTGCACTGGGGACCTGTGTTGGGGCAAGGCCAAGGTCAGCTGTGCTGTTGAACTTCTCTACAAGGAGAAAACACTGGTTAATAGGTCTCAGTTCTCATTGTTTGTAGTGCTGGCATTTACTAAATATTTGAGGAAAAACTGTTAAACAGCGAATTCCTGGCTGGTGGGGAGTAACCTTGGAGGAGCTTTCACACTTAAAATCATTGGTTAACTTCCAATTTTTTCCTCTGTGCCACCTCATTTTAGGACTGGTTTTGGATTTGTACCTTATTTGAAAAATCATCTTAATGATGAGGGAAATAATGAAGCACAGTGCCTGATAGCTACAGATAGTCTGTGCAGCTATCCATACATAAGTATTCATAAGTTGGACTGATTTTAAACACCTGTTTCGTCCCAGCGTTGATTAGAGGTTTCTAATCTCTGCATAGTGATGTGCACTGCCTCTGATGGGGGGAATGTGTGTGCTGCAGTAAGTAGTCTTACCTGTTTTTTTGACTGACTTTTAACATCCAGATTCTGGGGATAATCTGTTTTCTTTGGCCATTTCTTAAGGACTTTCTCTTAGCTAACAGTGTGAGTGAGGTGTTCTGAACAGGTCAGTTAAGTACTCTGAGGTAGATGTGGTACATCAGCAACTGTTCTAATGCTCGCTTGTGGCTGATGCCTCAACTGTAAAGTTAAACAGTATCTTAACTAACTGAAAAAAATTATAAGAACTAGAGTTAGTCCTCTGCCACACAGTAGTTCCAACAGTCGTGGTCTCCCATATTTTGAAAGCTTATGGCATTCCTGACTGGGCAGGATGCAGGGAATTTCTTTGTAAGTGGCTGTGTTCTGGTGATTTTTTGATGTGTTTATGGCCAGCAGTGATATAAAACAAAAGGTTTAATATTGGGGGTGGGATGATCAATTAATGTGGAAGAGGAGAGACTCTTCCTGGAGTGTTCCATGATTAAACTATATGCATAATGTCCTTGTAGGGTTAAGTTACCCTTAAGATGTAAAAGAAGGGTGTGCATGTTTCAGCTTGTAGTAACACTGTGTGCTTCTGCAGAGGAGGTGGCCAAGCTGGAAAAGCACCTGATGCTTCTCCGCCAGGAGTATGTAAAGCTGCAGAAGAAGCTAGTTGATACAGAAAGGAAATGCAATCTCCTGGCTGCTGAGGCTAACCAAGACAATGCCAGTGACACCTTCATCAGTCGACTTCTTGCCATTGTAGCTGAACTCTATCAGCAGGAGCAGTACAGGTAAGAAATTCTCTCCTGGGGAAAAGGGCATTACAGAAGCCTTCGATGTTATAGACTGCAGTAGGTGCTGTCTTAAGCAAGGGAAATTCTTTCTCTACTGCTTGGTATGAATAGTGTCCTCGGTTGCTGTTGGAAGAACTTGCCAAGATCAGGTAGCAGAATGAATCCAATTCTCAAATCAAGAGCACCAAGTAGAATTACATCTGAGCCTGACATTTGAGATGAGTTTAAAGAAAACTGACCATCTTCACCATCAACAGGAAAGCTTTCTTTGAACAGAGGTTACTTTAAACTGATCTATACCTAGTTGGTGGATTAATTACACAGTATATCTCCTACCAGCTGGAAAACCCTCTTTTCTTAAAAGGGCATGTCCTTGATAACAGTTCTGTCCTCCTATTGTGTGTAAAGAAGCCTGATCAAATTGGCTTATCTGGTTGTAGGATGTAACAGGTCTTAATGATACATGTGACTTAGTGGTATAAATAATACTGTATTTTTGAATTGCAACACAAAATCAGATTTAATGGTTTCTTTTCCATAGGCACATTAAGGATCACCTTCAGTACTCTAGATCCCTCAACCGAGCTAGTTCAGAGACTACAGTGACATCAGTTTCTTTGCTATTACTGAAAAAAATGTGACTACAGTAAAGGATTTTGGTTGTGTAAGGGGAAAATGTATAGTTTTGATGAAAGTTTCTTTCCCCTAACAGCTCATGAGCCTGCCTGAGAAAATGTTCTGTGCCTGGTAAGAACTTACAGCATGCTGGGTAAAAGACTTCTTAGGCAGCATATGTCAGAAGAGTTGGTTCACTTTATTTTTTGTTCAGCTTTTGTGTTTTAAAGATACAGAACAGTGGTATAAAAAGGACCTAGAAGTCATAAATTGAGAAAGGGAGCAAGTTCCAGTATGAATTTTGTTAAGAAACATCTCTCTGTTGTGCTGTTGTTCATAGTTGTGCTTGCATTTAGCAAGTGATCTGGGAAAGTGCACCTACACAGTCAGAACTGTGGGACTTTAAACAAGGCAGGTACTTTCTAACTGCAGAGGGTAACCTGATGTTAAAGGGGTCAGGATGAAATCAGTGCTCTTGACAGATGGGCTTCTGGGAACTGGGGATTCTTGGAAGTCTGCCTTGTACTCAGACTACTGTCAAACATTGTTTGTTCTCTTGCTGGTCTTGCCTGAATCCATTGGTGCTCAGCTGATGGTATTAGAATGGACACTGCAACATATTTAACCTCAATATTGTTGGATTTTCCTACCTTCTACGCAATTCCCTTGCAGTTTATTCTGAAATGTTTAAAAGGCACAAAAACCCACAAATGCTTTAAGTACTAATGATTGACACTAGAAGGATAAGAATTGTCATTTGACGACATATTTTGCTTAACCAAGTCAATGTGTTTTCATGTCTCAGACAGCTTGGACCTAAATGTGGATACTGGGACATAGGTACTGTGGGGATGCTGAATGTGTACGTATCCAAGCAAAGGGCAAGTCTGTATTGTACATGTATATGCTTTTTTCTCTTATCAGTGATCTGAAGATAAAGGTTGGGGACAAGCACATCAGCGCTCACAAATTTGTCTTGGCGGCACGCAGTGACACGTGGAGTCTTGCCAACCTTGCCTCAACAGAGGAGCTGGATCTGTCAGGTCAGTCATTGCTTAGATGCTTCAGTTCTTTAGGATGCCTGTTGGGAAAAGGTTACTTATGTACCTTTCAGACTACTACTGTCCCCAAAATGTTGTGCTTAATCCGTGAACGATGTTGCTCTGTCTCTGCAACATGGTGATACTCTTATTATTTTGGTGCTAGTGCTAGTTAAATCAGTAGCCTGCCTTCTCTCTCTTTAATGAACTGGGGTTGAGAATGGTGGCCTGTTTGTCTTTATTCTAGAGTCAACTAGACATAATGAAAACCTGGTCTATATGAAGAGCTTGACTTCTTCCTTCCTAAGGACAGGGCTTTTGAGATAGTGTGCGTAATTTTCTCTAAAGTGGAAGTGCCTTGCTTCTGGTTATCATAGTGGGAAAGGAGTACAAATACTGGTGTGTGGTTAAAGAGGTATTTACTTGGGCACTTTGATACCTTTGCAAAATGGGTGAGGAAGAGAAGTTTTCTACAAGACTGTCTTCAACAAGACAGTGTTTTCTTCTGCTGTGGCTGTTTCTTGTATATACTTCAACTGGGCAGTGTTTCTGCACATCTAACCTCATGACAGGCTTTTCTGTACTTAACAGGATAGAAGAGTCTTACACAATTAATTTGTGAGCAGTAAGACCAGATGTGAAGCTAAGCAGGTTTGCTGCCTGGCATGTTGAATATTAAGTATTGTTTTCACTTTCTGCACTTAATCTCATGAATCCTAAGTGCAGACAAACTGGAAAGAAGCAGGTCACAGCAAGATAGTTTTATGAGACAGCATAGGCTTTCTTGCAGAAGGATTTATGGATCCTTGTGCAGCCACGGGAGAACAGATGCCAAGGAGCGCTGTGCTAACAGAAGATGATTACCAAAAAGCTCTTATGTTAATTCTTAGTTTGTTGCAAGTGGCAGTCCATAGCGCTTCTAGCTCCATGTTTAAGCCGATCTGTGAATCTCAGATGTAACTGCAGTCTCGCATGCTTAACAATGCAAACACTATTATAGAATGATGCTTAAAGTGCTTCATGAGTGCTAATAAATGATACTTTCACTGTGCAAAATGGATTTTTTTTTTTTAGTAGAATTTGATAAATGGCACAAGGATTAGGTTATGAAGTAGCTGTAGCAAGCAACATGCTGTGCCCTAAAGATTATCATGGTTTTCTTAAGAGGTTCTCTTAACAACTTGCAAGCTATGATTATCTGAATCCTAACTTCAGAATACAGGCAGCATTTAAGATTGAGTGGGTTTAGAGTTCATGTAATCTGCAAAATTTTCCCCTCTTTAAGAAGTGCAGGAAGAGGTGAACACAGGCCCTCTTGTTGGGAGGGAGAAAATGAAGTTATCTCTGGCAAGGCAGAGCTACTATTACATCTAGTGGGTTTGCTGATCAAGTTTGACAAAAGATAAATTTGCCTTACTGAAATCTCCGGGGAAGGAGATGTGTTAGAATGGGTATTCCTATGTCTTTAAACATGTATGGTTTTGATTTTAAAACAAACAAAACCAGTTTAAGGGACTCATGATACTTTTCTGAATGTATGATGTGTTTTGTTGTAATTAGTCTGATCTGATGTTGTGGAGTAATTCTCATCTACACCCTTGTAAATAGGATTGTCACTATACTTCTGGTAAGTTTCCTGGCCACTGGGCTTGCGTGTCTTTGTGTCCTATGGTGTAGGTTTTTCTTGCTGTGTAAAAAAGCTTATGATGAGTGTTGCAAACACTAAAATCTAACCAGCTTCTGACATTGACACTTCTGCATCTTTCCTAGAAATGGTTCCCAGCATTTCTGAGTACTTTGTAGTCATTACCAAGGTGTAAGTACCTTTATTGGAATGCAGTAGTTCTAGTTCATAACACAAGTTATAATAGAAGAGGGAGGATTCTTAAATTGTAAAGGGCATTTGTGCTTGCCAAATACAGATGTGGATTTAGCCATACATGAGGGGCCAAAGACTTTAAAGGGGCACCGCTGGTCCCTAATTCTGCAATATTTGTGTAGCAGGTAGGAGATGTTGCAGGGCTCCCTGCATTCTGCACTGGATTCCAATGGAAAAATGTTTTTCCTGCTTGGTGCCAGCATTGTTCTTAGTTTCAACTTCTGACCAGTTTTGACATTTTGATTGAACTAAAGTAGTACTATTTCATCAAGACTGTCTCTTTTTCATGGTAGCTGTGACTTTCAGCAGTCAGAGGAATAGCAACTACTTGAATAGGGGTTTGTTGCTTGAGTGTTTTATTAATCCCTATTGCTCCCTATAGCAGATGCTGACCCAGAGGTAACCATGGCAATGCTGCGGTGGATCTACACAGATGAGCTGGAGCTAAGAGAAGATGATATCTTCTTGACAGAGCTTATGAAACTAGCAAATAAATTTCAGCTCCAGCTGCTTAGGGAAAGGTGAGTCTTGGTAAATACAGTGAATCTTCTTGAACTCTTCAACCTTGTTTGACTGGAAAGAAGATGATAGCTGCTGGCAGTTGGATAAAATCCTGCTTTTTCAAAGTCTTGAGGTTTCAATAATACAGCATGACACTGAGCTTGTCATGGGGAATGCAGCCTTGCGCTACAGTTAAACTGGAACAGTTTTTCTCATGGCTTGTGTGTTTATTTTCTAGTTCCTCTCTCAGTCAAACTAATAACCCTCATTTGGCATTAAGAGGAAGCAGAGATCAGTATATAAGTAACAAGCTCTGGAGGGTTGCAGGAAAGGCATTGTTGAAGAGAATGCTAAGAAGAGTTAATGGCAAGTGCCTTGCAATAGTAAAATACTACAGGTGAAAAATAGCAGTTCTGTGCATCTTGGTGGCAACCTTCTTCAAAAAGAAGGTTAACATAACAGTACAGTTCTTTGCCATTTTGAAGAGAGAATGACTGCAGCATTCTAGTAGGGTCTGTCTTGTTATCTTGAACATATGGAGTGTTCTGAATAACCAGTTACAGTTAGTAAGAAGCCTGAATGTACAAACTGAAACCTCAAGTTCTGTACAACTTCAGAGCCTTGAGTTTAGTCAAAGATAAAGTACCCTTTCCTATAATAATACTTTGCCCAAGGGGTGTCTGGCCCTTTAGCAGTCCATGGCACTCATAATCTATGATGTATGATTCAACATGAAGGAAAGTAAATTGCTGTCAGGTCTTCTGGACAAAGTTGACATCTGTAAGGCCAATGCTAAAAGTGCCTTCAGGTTTTGTATGAGCCTAAAACTGTTTTCATGTAGTACTACTGAAACATTCCTCAGCTGTTGTCTGGTCATGGTAATCAAGTGGCAGGTCCATGTACAGTATGCTATTAGTAATTGCCTTTGTAGGTATTAAATCACTTAGGCTGGAAAAGGTGTTTAAGATTGTCAAGTCCAGCTATTAACCTAGCACTGCCAAGTCTATCATTTCCTTTTGTCTAGTCACTTCTTCCTTGGAAGAAGAGAGGGACTCCACCTTGTTACAACCTCCTTCCAGGTGGCTGTGGAGAGTGAGAAGGTCTCCTCTGAACCTCCTTTTCTCTAGGGTAAACAGCCCTAATTCCTTCAGCTGCTTTTCACAAGACTTGTGCTCCAGACCTTTCACCAGCTTTGTTGGTGTTCTTTGGACCTGCTCCAGCACCTCCATGTCTGTCTTGGAGAGAGGAGCCTAAAACTGAATACAGTATTTGAGGTGCTGAGTAGAGGGGACAATTACTGCCCTAGTCCAGCTGGCCACACTGTTGCTGATCCAAGCCAGGATGCTGTTGGCTGCCTTGGCCACCTGGGCATGCTGCTGTCTTCTATTCACCCCTAGCCTATCAACGAGCACCCCTGGCCATGCTTTCTGACAAGACAGAGCCAACTGGCAAGGAGCAGCAGCGACTCTGATAGGATTCTGCTCTTACAGAAGCTATCTTACAAGGCTGCTGATCAAAGTATGGTCATGCTGCTTAGCCTCCTACTAAACCAAGGTCAAGCCATTTTCTAGTAGCGTTTAGGATAAAAGTCCATAGTACCCTGTTACAGCATGGGAGAATGATTACAGTAAAGCTGTGTCCTGATAACTGAGTTCTGGCTTTCCTATTTTGACAGATGTGAAAAAGGAGTTATGTCACTTGTTAATGTCAGGAACTGCATTCGTTTCTATCAGACTGCTGAGGAGCTGAATGCTGGCACTCTGCTCAACTATTGTGCTGAGATAATTGCCAGTCACTGGGTAAGTACTGTCAGGAGGAAAAGTGCTTACAGAGTATAGGAACTTAACCAGTAGAATTTTTCATAACTTGCTGTACTGTTACAGGAGTGGTTTTTGGTATGCTGGTATTCAAGCATTCCAGTTAGGATGGGGATTACTTGATTCCTGGTAATAGATCACCTTAGTCACTGAAAGTTACGCTGACCCTTGCAGGTTTGCAAGTAGCAACAGAGTTGGTAAAAAGCTGTCAAATCTACCTGCCTTTCCTTCTGTTGTGAGCCAAGGGGCTGCTTCTGAGGCAGGAGTGACTTTTCCCATCTGTCTTATTTATAATATATGCTTTTGATACTGGGTGTTGTTTGTCATGTATATTAGAAAAAAGGGAAGAAAAAAGTCACTAACGGATCTTGAAACTAAAATGTAAGATGTAAAACTTCTGAGTGTTTCTTCCTAGTCTTAAAAGGGCTATCTTGGATTGTTCCTGCTGCTTGTGATGTTATCAAAATGGAGCTTTTAACTGAACTTGTTTTGTAAATGTCGTAATTATTGTGTGGTACTTTGTTTCTAAAGAAAACAGGAGTATTACTTACCCTTTTTTATTGCTTCTAGGATGACTTACGTAAAGAAGACTTCAGCAGCATGAGTGCTCAATTACTGTATAAAATGTTCAAGTCCAAGACAGAATATCCTTTGCATAAGGCTATTAAAGTTGAGAGAGAAGATGTAGTCTTTTTGTATCTTATTGAAATGGATTCACAGGTACAGTGAGACTGACTTGACCTATCTTCTGGAATTTGGTGTTTCATATAACTCGTTTCTAACAGTCTGAATATTGTTATATTTTTGTGGCTAATTCCTATTTGCATGATTATCGCTGCCATAGCTACTTCTGTGTTTGTTACGGGGGCTAGTAGTGAAGGCTCCCTAAAGACTTAATTCAGAAGTGAGTTATAACACGAGTTTTAAAGCACCTTGCATGCAACAGATTATATCTAAAAAAAAATCCAGTAGGTGATGTTGTGATGCACATTGAAAGCTGACTGGTATAATGGTCAACTTTGCTGCTTCATGGCAGTTCAGTAAGCATCATTTCTTTGTACAAATGCTTTTCTGCTGTTGAATGTTTGAGGTAACATCTCTTTGTTCTGATCAGATGAACACTAGCAGGCAAATTGCCCCCTAGCAAGGGGAAAGGAAGAATTATTTAGGTATTATTCAGTTAGTCCTTTGCCTTAAATCCTAATTGGAGGCTGGGACTGTAGCAGTACTTAGCACCCTTAGGTGCTAATCCAGTTGGGACTTGAAGTCTCTTAAAGGAATGATTGAATAATTCTTCCTAGTATTATGTTGAGTAAGATATTTAGGTGGCATCTTTTAAGACCATAGTAGCCTTGCTTTGTGTGAGTTAAGGCTTGCAAACAGAACTTGGTTTCTCATTGAGCACCATCTTATGTGGTGATGCTACTGTGATGGTTTTCCTGTGTAAGATGCACTTACCTAAAGGCAACACAGCATTTTGCATTAGAGATGAAGGTCTGACATCATGGTAGTTGGAACAGCCTTTTAGAGTATTTTGTTGGGCTGGTGAACATACATCTAATTTCAGTTGACTGAACTTGTGTTGTAGCTTCCTGGGAAGCTCAATGAATTGGATCACAATGGAGATCTTGCTTTGGATCTGGCCCTTGCCCAGAGATTGGAGAGTATTGCAACTACACTGGTCAACTACAAGGCTGATGTAGATAGGGCAGACAAGAGTGGCTGGAGTCTATTACATAAAGCCATCCAAAGAGGTAAGTAAATAGTATATGAAGCCTTGTAACTTGCAGTTGTTCCCAGTGTGGAATACATATTCCAAAGTCTAGTCCTGTGTTACTTTAGTAGTCATTGCAGTTAGAAAATTGTCAAGGGTGAACTTTGTCTTATTTCTTGCTTTGAACTTAAAACCGAACAAACAGTTATTTGGTATCTTGAAAGCCAGCCTGCTGGCTGGTGAATGAAACTGGCACTACGTGACATCCAGAGCAATCTAGTAAAGTATGGTGTGCTAAAGGAAGAAATGTAGCGAGCGTTCCGATTTGACAACACAATGTCTTTCTGCTAAATGGTTGAATGAAGCATGACAGCCTAGTCACAAATCAAGATGATTCTGTGAAGCCTTTTTCTAGACCTGGGTTGAATGCAGCATATGCTTCTTTCTGATTAGAGTTAACAGTAAGGGTTCTTGCTACTGAACAGCTGTTTTAGGGGAGGGAAAATGACTGGAAGAAGTGGAGGAGCAGGTAGAGATGCTTCTATGTCAATTTGAATATCTTCAAAGCTCTAATGAATAGTAGCGTAGTTACTGGAGTCTGAATACAGCTACTTGATTATCTTGAGCTGTTCTCCACATTGAAATGGAGAATGCATCATCTTGGGAGAATTGGAGCACAGTAGGACCTGGTTGTCACTACCACAGTACTCTGAAGGCTTTGGAGAAGCAGCATCTTGGGACTGTGGCCAAAGTCTGGTAAAAATCCATAGTGAACGTCTTGTGCTACTAGTTGCCTTCACTGATACCTTTGGCAGATCTGTCTGTTCTGGAAAGCCAAGCACAGCAGGAACCTGAGCTGTGACTGGACCTCATAGGTGTTGTACTGCTACAAATGAAAAGCATAAGTTTTGTTCGTTTAGCAAGCTGTTTTGGACTGTTGGAAATAGTTTAAGTGTTGTGAGCTCAAAATACAGCTCCCAACTTCTTCCTTTAATCTCCTACGTATCTAAACAGGGTAATGCTGGTGTCTGATCCTGTGAATGAAACTGCAGCAGCAGTAGGAGACCTTCTAGGCATAGGTCAGTGTTGTGATTGCTGCAGCCCTCTGAAGCACCAGAGATGGCAGCAGGCTGCTCTTCATACTTAATACTAGTGTTTGTCCTCTAGTTCTAATGTCTGCTTTCAGTGTAAGCTAGAGCTCTGAGAATGAATGCTTGCTTTTCAGTAACCAAAGCTTCAGTGAATTAATCACTGTTAACAATCACGTGTTCTGGAAATGGAGCTAAAGCAAGTTGTCTGAACTTGCCACATGATTCTCATTTCTTATCGGTGGAGAGTGGGGGAATGTCAGAAGTTAAATCCAGGAAATGGGATTTTGGTTTTTGCTAACAGAAATAATATAGCAACCTGTATTGTTTAAACAGGGGAACAGTCTTCTTTGTTCCCCAGTCTTGCATTCAGGACAAGCAACTTGCAAATATGTCTATTCAAAGTAATCTTTGGAGTAAGGGGAATTAGTATTATCCTGAAATGATTCTCTGCATCTGTGCTCCGTGTACTGAAGTGGTGATGAGTTCGACTTCTAAGCTCTCTAGAGGGAGTTCTTAGGATTGCTGTGCATGGTGCATCTGAACTGTTGAAGTCATTATCCCATATATAATGAGGCCTAAACTCTCAGGAGCAAAGGCTGTGTTATTGCTTGTTTGTGTAGCAAGACTGAACAGATGATGACTAACTTCAACTACACGCTTATGACTGGTGCCCTGGAACAGTAACTTCATCAAAAGCTACTTGTATGTTTAGTCTCACAGTTAGTCCAGCTGTGCATTAAAGCAGCAATGGGTTTATTCTGATAGAGGGACTAGCAAACTCAGTATCACTGTAACAAGTAAACTGGTGTGTGAACTTTAATCACGTGTGACCTCTGGGCAGACCACTTTTTCCAAGGGGTTGTTATGAAATATTTTAGCCCTGACTTTGCAGGGAAGTGCTCTTGAAGTTACCTATTGCTAAGGCATTCTAAGAGCAGACACTTGTATTGAAATAACTGTATGTTATGAAGGGAAATCACATGTATGCATTTTCTGCACTTGTAGAGGGGGTATATGAAGTATATATCCATAAATAACCTTGTTTTGTTTCACAAAAGGCGATAAATTTGCTGCAAACTTTCTCATTAAAAATGGTGCCCGTGTGAATGCTGCTACACTGGGAGACCAGGATACTCCTCTGCACCTTGTGGCCTCGTACAGCCCCAAGAAGCATTTGCCAGATGTCATGGCAGAGATGGCACAGATAGCAGAGTCCCTCCTACAGGCAGGAGCCAATCCAAATATGCAAGACAGCAAAGGAAGGTAAATACTGGGAGAAGTCTGCTACCAGTTTAACAGATCACATCGTAGTGATTAGATACAGCCTGCTAAGAACTTGCTCAGGTCTGCCAGCAAAGCACAGGGGATACTAGAAGCAGGAAAGGTCAATTCGTTAATACAGTTTGAGACCTGTGGGTAGCACTGAAAGCAGAAGGCTGTGCAAACTGCATGGTAGCCTGTCATGACCAATTAAATGTAGCCAGCAATAGAAAGCTAGGATGAGTTGATTGTGTTAGAACACATGGCACACAATTACTTTGCCCTTATTGTATCACTGAACAGTAAAGCAAGCTAATTGATATGACAAGTAGTATTTCTGAAAAGTACTTCTCTTTGAAGCTGTCAAGTGACACTGAAATGATCTCAAAGAGCCAGCTTCTGCAGCATGTTTGTCTGGAGTGCTGGGCCTGTAAACTGCTTTACAGGTCAGGTTGGGCTGGCAAAGAAGTACATAGAACTTGTACTTAGGCCAATACACTGTCTCCTATACTTAGAATTTATCTCAATTCTGCATAGTATATGTCAATTCTAGTATATCTCAATTCTGGTAGGCCAAGCTCTTCTGCTTTTTCCTTGAAGGTTAGCTCTTACATTAAAGAGTTGCTTCTATTAAATTAATTGGAATTATATCCACTAAAAGGGTAGATTGCTCTTTCTTTCAAGATGTGCTTGTGCCCTTCTGAAATTGGAGACAAAAGTTAACCCCATAAATGTGTAGGGGCATGTTGGTGACCATGGACAAAATCTTAGTGTCTTAATACTAACGTAACTGCACTTTGCTCCAATTACAGGACCCCATTACATGTGTCAATTGTGGTCAGGAATGAACCTGTATTCAGTCAGCTTCTCCAGTGCAAGCAGTAAGTCTCACTTAAATGTAAAGTACACTGAGGTTACTTTGTACAGTGAAGATATACAGACTGGTTTAACAGCTCTTCTGTGCCTTTTTGCCATGCAAAAAGGGTAACAATAAGCTTGGGATGCGAAAGTGGAAAGGCTTTATATAATAAGATGCCTGATGCCAAGTAAGTTTGTGCCCTACTGTAAAGAGGAAATAATCTGCATCTCTGTTTCAGAGAGGGATTGGTGAAATAATTTAGCAATAACTTCATTTGTAGTGCATTTAAAAGGAGTGATAAGACTCTTAAAATGTGTGAATATGTTCTTGAGTTCAGCTTGGGTTCTGCTTAAAGCTGATATAGGTGACTTCTTAGGGTGATGAAGTATATACATTTTATTCAGTTTCTTTGTACTTGAATATGCAGCTGTTGTACACAGTTCACTCAAACATGAGAGGATTTGCAGGAGCCCAAATGTACGAGGGCCATGCTTTCCTAGGAGCAATGAGCTTAAATGTGGTAGTTACTATAAGGTGTCTAGCTTGTTTCAGAGTTGTCACAAACTGTCTGAAGTAACTGGAGCTACAGTAGGCTTCTTGGCAAGCAGAAGTTGTCACTGAGGTGTTAGATAAGCTAGTACAGCTGTTCAGACACTTGAAACTTAAGCTGCGCTGAGGAACCACTTTTTAAGGTATAAATTGGGGAACATTAATTCTTATTTTTAGACTAGACTTGGAGCTGAAGGATCATGAAGGAAGCACAGCTCTGTGGCTTGCAGTTCAGTATATCACTGTATCGTCTGATCAGTCTGTAAACCCTTTTGAGGATGCCCCTGTTGTAAATGGAACCTCATTTGATGAGAACAGTTTTGCAGCAAGGTTGATCCAGCGAGGCAGCAATACAGACGCTCCAGACACAGTAACAGGTAAAACAGAGGTTTGTATTTCTGTGTAGGTGGAAGGCTTGTAAGTTAATTGCTTAATGCTAACTGCACTCTGAGGAGCTGAGTGAGCTTTCAGCAGTACTTGCCTCATAACAAATGGTAGGTTGTAGTAGCTTTACCCAGAGCTGGAACATAGACAGTCTGAAGCTGAGCTTGACATGCAGGAAGTGACAGAAAATCTGGACTCCTTGCCAGATCCTAATATCCTCTTTACAGTTTCAGAAGATGTAATTGCTGAATATAGTGCTTGTGACAGTCCAGCATTGCAAGGGGACTATTAGTAGGTAGGATTTTCCTTGTTGGCTTCAAATTTGATGTTCTGTGGTAGTAGGGAAGGTGTTAGGAAACTTGTTAGCATCAAAGTGTGGTTGGAATATCACTCCAAACAGTGTTTATGGTTTTTCTTTAGGAAACTGCTTGCTTCAGAGGGCAGCTGGTGCTGGCAATGAGGCAGCTTCTCTCTTCCTCGCCACGCATGGAGCGAAAGTCAATCACCAAAACAAACAGGTAAAAGCAGAAACTAATAGACTAGTCTGAGCTTCCTGATTTCCCTTCAGAACTAAGCAGAGATCTCTTACTGCTAACTAGCTTAAAGCAAGTTGGAATGCTTGCTGAGCCTTTTGCATATTTTCAGGTATTTACTAGTGATCAGACAGCTGTTGCACTCTCCTGGCACTGTTCTTGCAGCATCTCCAGTTGTTAACTGCTTTTAACAGTGCTTGTTGTAATAAAGTTCTATATATAGGCTAAGTCATGTTGCTTGAAAGTCCTAAGGAGCTTCATCTGCCAGGATTTAAGCTCTTCACACCAGTTCTTGGGGGCATAGTGGTTTAAAAACTACTTCTCTTTATGTCTCAAGCTGTTAACCTAGTTGAAAATAATAAACCCTGTTTATTAAAGGGAGAAACACCACTGCATACAGCCTGTAGGTATGGCCTAGCAAACTTGACAGCAGAACTTCTGCAACAAGGAGCCAATCCAAACATTCAGACAACAGAAGCAGTCCTTGGTCAGAAGGATGCCTCTTCTCCAACAGCAGAGAATGTTTATCTGCAAACTCCCCTTCACATGGCTATTGCTTACAATCACCCAGATGTGGTGTCTGTCATCCTGGAACAAAAAGGTGGGTTTTTCTCTGGTTCAGACTTTAGTGGATCAGTTGTCAGGATGGCATCTAAACTGTGTTTTGACAAATTCCTTATAAAGAGTGTCTTCCTTTAAACATTAAGTAGAGCAATTAATAAGACTACCTGAACATATTCTTAAACTCAAATCATCTGCTTCTTAAGACTAGAAAATTAACTTGTCCATTAATCTTTCTAAATTCTCCTCTGCATTTGGTTCAGGTAAGTGCTGGAATCAGAAACAGATAAAAGTGTATTTCTGTGGCAAGACTTCTGCCTCCCTCAGCTCTTTCAGGAAGAGGATTTTTGCACAGAATAATGCTAGTATTACAATAGAGTGGAGACTGGAGTATTGAAACACTAGCAGATGCCATTTTATTAAATGCAACTAGTTCAGCTTCTCCTTTCTAGCAGCAGGAAGGGAGTTTGACAACTGAAGCAAGGCCTACTTTGTCTCCTACCATAAGTGGGATTAAGAAGGGAGTAGGTGAACTGGGAAAAGCTTCATCCCAGGTTGCTGAGGAGGGATGCTGCCACCATCTTGCAGTGCAGCCTCCACTATTCACTCTGAGAGCTTTGTGTATGGCATTTCACATGGTAATGAAGGTAGAAAGGGGGCAGGTTAAGCCTCTTAATAGAAATGTGAATGTTTTTTAGTAGTAGCATTAGTATTAGGCAGTAGTGGCAACAGTACCTGAATCCTACCACATTTGGGAAACTGAAGATATCTTGCTTGGATCCTTCAAACTGATTGCTAAAGGGGCAGCCTACTTCAAAATGTGACCTTGTTATTCCTGCAGCTTTCAGTGTGCAGCTGCAGGTCAAGTACAAGAATGATCTGATTCCTTTATGCTTTTGTTTTGTTTTTTGTAGCTAATGCTCTTCATGCTACCAACAACTTGCAAATTATTCCTGACTTTAGTTTAAAGGACTCGAGAGATCAGACTGTGCTGGGGTTGGCTCTTTGGACAGGTATGTGCCTTGAAACTAAGATGATATTGAAGCTATAATGTGTTCCACTGTGAGCTCCCTGGTAGTTTTTGTATCACATCACTGTATTGTTCATGGTTAACTGTTCTAGAGGCTGGTTAATATAGTAATGCTGACTTCAGAAAGGGAAGGTAAGCTGCTCGTAGTTTTTAAGGGGAATGGAACTTGAAATACTGATTCAGAAGATGCTTTCTTGTCTGGAATGTGGCAGGGAATGGTTTGGGGAAAACTAGGTGCTACTTGCTGCAGGCAAAAACATTTTAATAGTATTGGGATGTTGTCAAAAGATGTGGTCATTACTGAATCAATTTAAGCCTGGTCCTACTGGTTTGGGAACAGCAGTATGGGGGATGATTTCTCATACTTTGGACTTAAGAGATGAGGCAGAATGCTTAGTGATGTTGCTCTGTATGGGAGTTCTAGATGTCATCCATGTGTAACAAACCTCTTCACTGTCCAGGCTTTTAATTTTCCTTTCCAATGAAAGGAAACAAGAATGTAGTTTTCTCTCTACCATTTCTCTTATCTGCTTCTGAGATAAAGGAGGAAGAGCTAAGCTAAACATCTCGTACAGTAATATTCAAGGGAATAGCTTACGAAGGTAATACTGAAGTTGGTATGTTTGTTGGACGAAAGTCTGAAGTTGTAGGAAGGATTAGGCTAGGTAGTTTTAAGGAGAGCTCTACTACAACTAGGTTGGCAGAACTAATGGAAAACTCTGCTGTATACCACACCATATCTTGTGTCTTCAAGCAAGACAAAAAGTACTCGGTAATCAATAAGTCTATAAATGAATATTCAAGTTAGGTAGCTTTATGAATTGGTTTAGCTTATAGATTCATTGTATCTCTTGCTGTATTACTGGAAACTGAAAGACTGGAGCTTAAGTAATCCTCAGTGTCTCTATTTTATGGAACTAAAGGTAAAATGCTAACAAGCTGTAACTCTTTAGGCATGCACACAATAGCAGCCCAGCTGCTTGGATCTGGGGCATCCATTAATGACACAATGTCAGATGGACAGACTCTACTACATATGGCAATACAGAGACAAGACAGCAAGAGTGCACTTTTTCTGCTGGAACATCAGGCAGATATAAATGTCAGGTAAGAACTGGCTATGTGTTTAGGAGCTGGTAGTGATGACTGTCTTTATATAATGGCTTGAAGTTGTTTTCCAATCATGATTTGCACATAGTTGTGCATTTGGTGAGGTTTTTTAGGGCAGTAGTTATGGCTGAGGGATTACACATGTGAAATGGGAGCTCTACACATATATAGCTCCATAGCTCAGTACCTCATATCCAGGCTGGAGAGGGAGGTGTCACTTAACTCTAGGTAGAACAGAATCTTCTGTTACAGACTTGTAAGTCCTAGAGAGATGGTACTGAACTTTAGCTTCAATCTGCTTGCTGGCTTGTTGGAACTGCATGTTTTCTACCATCTAAACTAATCAATCAGATGTAGCTCTAGCAGCAAGATTCCAGTAGAACCTGCCTCCTGAGTATCAACTAGACATTAGACTTAACAAAACAGTTATCTGCTTACGTGACTGATAGGCTGTCTTTTACATTTGGCAAGCTATGCTGTGATGGGTATCATGGGCGCAGGCTGCCTAATAATGCCGGTCCAAGTGCAGCTTTTTAACAGTTGTTACTTGACTGTTGCTTGGGAGTTACTACAGTGCATAGCTGTTTGCTTCTAGGGCAGTGGGCTTGCTCTTTAGGAAAACTCTGATCAGATAATGGCAGCAATTCAAGAAATGACAGTGTCTCTGAGCTAGGAACACTAACATGCTTCTCAAACTTTAGAAATCAATCACTTGTTACTAAAGGGAGAGAGGGAAGGTAAGCTACATAGCTGTGATGAAAAACTAGCATGGTGCGTTTGGTTGGCTGTAGAGTTATGGTCTTAACACAGTAAAAATACACACGAGGAGAGAATTCTTGGCTTTGCCAATAAACCACTGTAATATGAGGCCTTGCTTTGTAATGCAGTAGTAACACACTTCAGACTGTTTCTATTGCAGAACACAGGATGGAGAGACTGCCTTGCAGCTAGCTATAAAAAACCAGCTCCCTCTTGTGGTTGATGCTATTTGTACCCGAGGAGCAGACATGTCTGTGCCAGACGAGAAAGGAAATCCTCCTTTATGGCTTGCCTTAGAGAATAACCTGGAAGATATTGCATCAACTCTGGTAAGATTGTCAGTTGACTTAATTTAGCCTCACTTTTGTGCATCTTGCTAGCAACAAAGGGCGCACCAGCAAAACCAGACGCAATGCATGGAAAGAACAGAGTAGTTCTGTATCACCATCTAACTTCTAGGAGTTTTTCTTCACCAGAAGTTCCTTTTGCTTGTGAGATCTTTTATAAACACTAGTCTGCACAGCCGAATATCTTGCAGCTACTGTAGTAAAAGTAAAGTAATTAAATAAAATTAATAATACTAAATTTATAATAATAATATAATTAAATTATCCGGATTCCCAATCCTGGAAGGAGTAAGGATCTACTAAAAACATTAGTCTGTACCATTGCAGATGTGTAATGATAAGCTTCCAGAATAATATTGGACACTCATGTGCTTTAGAGGATGTGCTGGCTTCTATTGCATCTTAAAGTTCCATCAAGAAGGCCTTTAAAGGCTTATGCTTTTAAGACTATTTACTTTCAGGCATAGGTGATCCAGCAGGAGATCTAAGATGCAAGTAGACATCCTTATGTCTCCTTCATTAGGAAGGTACTTGAGAGCTTTGTCTCTGATATCCATTTATTGTCTGCTAGAGACAGCTATTTAAAGGCTGTGCTAATGACTTGAGAAATACTTCTTGTAACTGTACTTGACCATTTGTGCTGGTATTGGATAAGAATCCTTATGGAGTCAACACTGAATCTACTCATTTATAAACCTTGTAAATAGTTTGTAAAGGAGTGGAGCAAGTCTTATTTAAGTGCCACATTGCTTGAGTAAGTAGTTCTGCAGTAGAATACAAATACTAGAAATTCAGTGCCTGAAAAAAGGGTCTTTAGCTGAATGAATAGGAAAGCAAGTAAATGGGCCTTATCTGTCATAAGAATAGATAAGGCATCTCAGATCCTGCCTTTGAGGGATAATGCTTCAGAAACATCCCTCAAGGACTTCATAAAGTAGTAGGAGCCTGCTGGAGACATTAAATACCCTTCACTGCCTCATTGTGCTTCTCCTTCCAGGTTAGGCATGGCTGTGATTCAACCTGTTGGGGGTCAGGACCAAGTGGCTGCTTACAAACTCTTCTTCATAGAGCTATTGATGAAAACAGTGAACAGATAGCATGCTTTCTTATTCGCAGGTCAGCCCCCTTCTAAAGTACAAACTTCTAATGTGCATGTGTATATTTTCCTGGAATAAATTAACTGAATGCTATTTTGAGCCAGTAACAGGTATGTGCTTCATTAGACTTTTGGTGGGTGGATGGCACTTACGGAAGTATGACTAATCTTAGGTGCACTCTGTTATCTGTATTACCATCATGTTCTTGATGACAAGAGTCAAACCAGGAACTTGTGCTTTTGTAGAATGTCAGCAGTTGCTGGATCAGTTGTGTAAACTTTTTTCTGACCCTTGTTGGGAACAGTGTAAATCTGGGTTGAATGTAATAAATTGACTGTGTCTTGTTTGTTTTAGTGGTTGTGATGTGAATAGTCCCAGAAAGCCAGGCCCTAACGGAGAAGGAGAAGAGGAAGCTCATGATGGACAGACACCCTTACACTTGGCAGCCTGCTGGGGACTTGAAGAGGTGATCCAGTGCCTTTTGGAGTTTGGTGCCAATGTCAATGCTCAGGTATGTAGAGAAATTGTGTGCAATTCCTTTTGAATTTTGTTCTTCACCTCTAATACAGCAAACCCAAACTTTCTTCTCAGCTGTGTGTTTTCCTGTCCCTTTTTACCAGATCTAGTGTTTATCTGCCCATATGATGGGTGAATTCAAGAAACTATCCTGAGGGAAGACAATGATACAGGAAACTTCTTGCAGTATGAGCTTTCTGATACAGTGATTGGAATGAACTCCTCTGTCCCAAGTGTGAATTAAAGGCAGAAGCAGGGCTGTATTTTGCTGCGTTTGATCAGTAGAGCAGCTACAGTGTAAAACCTCAGAATACTCTACTTTGTTAGTATGTTTGGGAAGTGTCTGCTGCTGCTGAGTGAACTGAGGTGACATATAATGAGCTGTGCTTCATCTTTGATTACACAGTAATCCTTAAACAGAAGCTTGAGAAATAGCAACAGAATAAATGAATGCAGAACACTTGTAGGTCCTGATGCTATTGAAAATGACATCAAAATGAATGACAGAACACACAGTCACAAAGCAGCCATGGCTGTAAACTGCTGCTTGAGACAGACAAGTGACTCAGCACCTTATTTGGATTTGCTAACTTAAGTGTGAATGCTTATCTCTGCCCCCAAAAGGTCTGCCTACATGGGACATGTTACTTTGAGCTACTCAAATGGCTGTATAACACGGGATTGAGGTCAACCAGTTTGAGAAATGGATAACAATTTGCCTTGCTTATACTGTGGATTTGAGCTCCCACTGCAACTGATTGGTTCTGCTTTGGGATAGGACACCAATCAGTTCCCTAAATGTGAAGTTGAGGAAAGGACTTGTGTATTACTCAATCTCCATGTAACAAACTTCTTGGTTTCCTTCTAGGATGCAGAAGGAAGAACTCCAATCCATGTTGCCATTAGCAACCAGCACAATGTTATCATTCAGCTTATGATTTCACATCCAGATATTAAGCTAAATGTCCGTGACAGGCAAGGAATGACCCCCTTTGCTTGTGCTATGACATATAAAAACAACAAAGCAGCTGAAGCAATTTTGAAGAGGGAACCAGGAGCTGCTGAGCAGGTAAGCTGGGAGCTTTCAAAGCATGGTAGTGGAATTAATGCACTATTTTGTGGTAACAAGAGTTCCACAAGCAAATTATGCTTTATCCTTTAGTGGCTTCACATGGAATGACATTTGCCAGATGCTAGTTTTCTGTAGCAGGATTTATTAGGGAACTGTAGGGGTGTATGTGCTATGTGTGAGCAAGAACATCAAGTGATAGTGTCTCATCAAACCTTATCTCCTCAGTACTAAATCGAGGAACAGGCATATGTGTATTTAAGGAGAAAGTTCTAACCCTACTCTTGTGCTCGACTAGTTCAAAAATGATCTACTACCTAGCTCTCCGGAAGCAGTTCAAAATGGAAACCCTGACCTAAAATAATTCAGTAATAGATCTCATGCTGAGCTATAAAAAAATCCAACTGTATCTTCAGGCTTCTGGTGTGACACTTCAGGCAGCGGTTCAGGAGTTTCTTCCTATCCTGTGCAAGTTTAATTACTAGTAAAGTATTTGAGTGCTTAGTGAGCTCTTGTAATACATCTAAAACATGGTTACAAATGCAGCCAGTCTCAAATATGCTTTAACGTCAGCTTCAAGGCAGAAATGAACAAACATGCACTTGGTGTGAAAGTAAAAAAGGAATATACTGCATCAATGTGGCAGGATTGCATGTTGCTTCCTTCTCTAGTGTTCACTTCCAGATTGACTCGAGTTTGCTTCATGTAACTGAGTTTTACCATTAACTGCTGCTCAGTACTTAACTCCAGCAGCTGTTAACTTTCTGCCTGTCATAATACTCTCCAGTGTGTGGTCAGGAAATGACAGGGTTATAAAGCAGGAATAAGGTAGTCTGAAGCAGACTAAAGCAGGCAGTTTTAGCTGATAATTTAATATCACATCCATCAAGTCTCTAATATCAAGGAGTGGAAGGAACAAGACTACAGCTCACCTCAAGTTGAGAGAGTAAGTATCTTAGTGAAAATAGGTCCTACTACAAAATGATTTACTGTTCTACAGTAGAATGGTTTTCATTTCATGTGCCCTTTCTGCCACAGGTTGATAACAAAGGTCGGAATTTCCTACATGTAGCTGTTCAGAACTCGGACATTGAGAGTGTGCTGTTCCTCATAAGTGTACAGGCTAATGTAAACTCTCGGGTCCAGGATGCCTCCAAACTAACACCTCTCCACCTGGCTGTACAAGCTGGCTCAGAGATCATTGTGCGTAATCTGGTATGTATCAGAGTCACTTTTCCTCAACTTAAAAATGCACATTCTGCCTTAATGTGTGCTCCCTGTAGGCTGGAGAAGTCAGCTGAAGGTGACGCCACTCTTCCTGAAACACAACTGACTTGCATAAAGTTCCCTCAGCATGTGCTGTTAGCTGAGCAGCATCAGTCGCCTTCCTATGAGCACGTTTGACTCACAGCAATCGCTAGGTAGCATGGCTCACTTCAAAGGAGGAGCCCTTACCTTGTGCTTTCTGCAGATTTGAACATGAACTCAAACTGCAGGAGCTGAATAACGGTAGCATTTATGTATGCTGGAGGCCTAGAAGTGTCTCTGCACAGCAGAGTCGTGTGTGCTTCGATCACAGAAGTAAACTGTTGGCTAATAGCCCAGAAAACATCTTTGAACGTATTCCTTCTTGCATCTCGACAGCTGCTTGCAGGTGCCCAGGTGAATGAACTGACTAAGCACCGGCAGACTGCTCTTCACTTAGCAGCACAGCAGGATTTGCCCACAATTTGTTCAGTCCTTCTGGAGAATGGAGTAGACTTTGCAGCTGTAGACGAAAATGGAAATAATGGTAAACTCTTAAAGTTCTACAAGTAGTTATGAACAGTTCAGAAGGTCTGTCATGATCTCTCCTAGTGATAGAGATTGCCCTCTGAATGGGCTCACTTATCAAAGTTGAAAAGGGATGAAAGTCCAAGAAATCAAAGCTGGTGGAAGAAGTTTTGGAGACGGAAGGTGGGGGAAGTAGAAGGGGAGTGCTTAATTTTATCACACTGTGATTACTGCTGACATGAACTATTTCAGATTCTTGAAGCTTCTCTTTTACTTTTCAGCTCTTCATCTGGCAGTGATGCATGGCCGACTAAACAATATCCGTGTCCTGCTCACAGAGTGCAATGTAGATGCAGAAGCCTTTAATATCAGGTAATCACTATAGCCTTAACAGACTAAAAGGACTACAATCTGGTTTAAAATATGTGCTGGTATGACTAGATACAAAAAAACAAGTATTTAGCTTGGATTATAGTGTTTCTACGCTGATGTTACAGTGAAGTGTGCAGAGTGTGCTGTGTATAAATTGTGAGGAAATGATGTATACCAAGAAAAGGAAGCTAAAGCAGGCGGTTGTGTATGATTGCACTAAGCTACTTAAGTGTAGCCATGTTTAAGTCTGAACCAAACTCGAAGGCAAAGAGAGTGGATAAGTAATTGTAATAGTGAACAGAACTTAAGGATAACCAACTCTTTTCCCCAGAGGCCAGTCGCCAATGCATATTCTGGGACAATATGGGAAAGATAATGCAGCAGCCATTTGTGACCTTTTCTTGGAATGCATGCCAGAATACCCTCTGGACAAACCTGATGCTGAAGGCAACACAGGTGGGTGAGATTCAGTGGCTGTTGAACTTCAAAGTCACTCAAGTTTTATTCATGGTGTGTCACTTTTAGAGCTGGAATGATTTGTAGTAATATGTTAAATACAGTAAGATATAAACACTGAGTGTAACACAAGACATCCTGCTCTGTTAGCAGTGTCTGGCTTTTATTTTTCAGTGCTCCTGTTGGCTTACATGAAGGGAAATGCTAACTTGTGTCGTGCAATAGTGAGAGCTGGGGCTCGTCTTGGAGTTAATAATAATCAAGGAGTCAATATCTTCAACTACCAAGTTGCTACAAAACAGCTTCTCTTCAGATTGCTGGGTAAGTACTACTTGCTACAGTTGGAAAGTGCTTTCAGCTTGTGCTTCTGAGATACTTTAGAGGAGGAAGGAACTCAAGAGGACAGTAATTCCAGAGGGGGTGAACTTCTGAATATTCTGCTACTTTAAATGGGGGGTAGAAATAGTAATTTTTCTCATGATCAACTGAAGTTGCACAATGCAGGCCTGTCAAATATTACTTTTTCTGAAAGGATAGATAGACATGGAGACTACTGGCTGGTGTCATAGCTAATGTAGCCAAAAACCTAGATTCTGCTTTTCAACTTGTGCTGTATAGTTGTAGGTAATGCAGTGTTGAAAGCAGCTATACATTGTCTACAACCAAGACTGCAGCTACTACAGGAGTAGTTAAATGAATTATACTGGATCCAGCCAAAAACTGTAAGAAGTCTCCTTAACAATACAGTGTACTCAAGGTGTCTGAGCCCCTTTACCTTTACAATTTTTCCTCTGACAGATATGCTGACAAAAGAACCTCCCTGGTGTGATGGCTCCAACTGCTATGAATGCACTGCCAAATTTGGAGTCACAACAAGAAAGCATCACTGGTAATGTGACACATCTTGCTGTGCTTACAAGGAAATGGATTCCTCTTCCAAATGTAGCTAGTCTGGTTCTTTCTGGTGGTTTAGGAAACCTTCATGTTAATGTAGGTGTATTACCAGTAATCCAGCTGAAACATTCCATCCTGTCCTAGATCAGTTTCTTGTAATCTGACTAAAATAGTACCGTGTTTGTTGGAAATACAAACTTGAGAGAGGACCCCCTTAGTTCTAAACTTCTCCTCAGAGAGGAGTTCAGGTGTGTCAGGATCCAGACTTGGTCAACAGTTTATGTCTAAAGGATTATATATGCACAATCAATCCTTTATATCCCTTAGTGAGGATTTCCAAGTTTCAGCATGCTTATTCCCGGTTCACTTACCAAGTACCTAATGCAATAAGGATTCTGTTGAGGTTGAAAAGTGTCCGTGCTCAAGAGGCAAGCCTGGCACACAGCTTGCTGCTGTGCGGGAGAGCTCCACGAGCCATGGGCTGTCTATGGAGTAGGGTGACTGGCTTAGTTGTGTTTGCATAACCAGATGTATTTCAGTTGATGCATGCTCAACTAGCCCTCAGCTGCTGAGCAAGGTTTGTAGCCCTTAGTTACTGTTATATCTCCCCAGAGGACAGCTTAAGCTATTGCTTAAGCAGAAAAGGGGGGTTGGGGCACTGTTACAGTAGTGGGGCTGACTTGATCTGAGAGATGAGAGATCTGGGCACCTACTGCCAGTTTAGGATAGGGGTGCTGTGTGTAATGTGGGAGTGAGTGAAGATGCTGACATGAGTAGACACAAACTGCATTTTCTTAACTAGTGTGATCTTCTATAAGCTGTGCTGGGTTAGGTGGATGTTAAACTCAGATTTTTCTTTCTGGCCAACATTCCAGAGAAAACTACCCATGCATCAGTTGAAATAGTACTAGGTGAGTGACTAGTACAGAAGCAGTATGGGGTTTTAGCATTAGTATTTAATTATTAAATAAGAGATATAAAAAGATGTAAGAAAAATACAGCATTTCAGTTGCTACTGTACCTTTCTAGTGATACTGTCATTGCTAAAGAATATCCAACAGTAAAACCCTGGTGATCCCTATGAGTGAATTTACCTTTCTCCACTCCTCTATCAACAGCCGACACTGTGGACGCCTGCTCTGCCATAAGTGCTCAACAAAGGAGATTCCTATCATAAAATTTGATCTGAACAAGCCAGTTCGAGTTTGCAACATCTGCTTTGATGTCCTCACTCTGGGAGGAGTCTCCTAGTATGCTGTGGAAGTAAAGGGATTCCCAGTCAGTGCTCCTGACAGCAGCTCTGCTTACAAGCCCTCTGGATAGGGAAGAGGAGGCCTATACATGTCTTCTGCACTAGACTGAACTAATTAAGGACCCTGATACGATATATTCTGGTATAAATGACTGTATGACTGTAAATGTATTGGGCTGTGATAGACTTCACTAGGAATTCGAGTGGAACGTTGAAATTAAGTGACAAAAGAAGTTAGACCCTCTTCTAGTTGCAGTGGGGTATGGAAGCTCACATTGCTAGGCTGATGTTTGAATTGACATAAACCAGGTCTGTCCTTGACATGGTGCTTTGCACTGAGCAACTCTACTAAGTCCTGTGGCTTTTGGGCTGCCTAGTAGAGGTTGGCATTAAGTTTCAGGGTAACCAGGTATCTTTCTTTGCTTTGTCTTAAAGATAAATGTTCCCTTTCTCTAGAGAAGACTTCCTGTGAAGCTAGACTGAGCTGTTGCAACTGCTGTTCATTTCGAGAAACTCTTCAAAAATGGAGTAGTTCCAAGTATAGCTCAAGAATTGTGGCCTTACAACAGAAAGCTTTACAACATCTGATGCAAAGCAGTCAGAATTGCAGATCCACAGCTTGATACCTCCTCAGTAAATGTCTCGTTAGCTTTAGCATGTTCAAGAGAAGTGCAGCATTGTTTTAGCCAGCGAATCCTCTTGCTCATACCTGCCAGAACTGTTCAAGTCTTTGTTGCACTTTCATATTTACGTTGCTAGTCCTTCCAGTTTGTGAAACTTGTATAAATGCGCATAAGTGTGCTGCAGGGCCTAACTAAGCATATGCTAAATGGAGAAACACTAAAACTGGTTCAGTAGTGGAACTCTCAGTACAGCAATAAATGCTGAAGTGCATTATGAATCCCAGGAGGGAAAGTAGCACTTTCCTTTGGCTTGGAGACCCTGGTTAACTGCTGCAGGAGCCTCAGTAATGCTACCAGTGTAGAATGTGCTGCACCTCTAGACACTAAATATGGGTCCATTTTTAGCAGGGTTGCTGGTGAGTGGTGGTGTATTTGGAGGCTTCCCGTTAGCATTAAGCCTCTGGCCTTGGAGGAAGGATGCTGAAGTGGTGGTGCAGTGCCAGGGGTTTGGATTAAGCTGCAGTATTTTAATCTAGGCTCATTGTGCTCTCTTAAACATGCTGAATCTGTAAAAATCCAACACCACAATACCTAGGAAACAGGAAAGTACTTTGCTGATAGACAGGGTTGTGATTTGGTGGGCAAAGGCTTCAGTCAGAAAAACATGTACTTAAACAAAACTACATGCCATCTTAAGGCTGGTTTTATCCCAGTTTAGACTCAACTCAGCAATCCTCATCTCTACTCCATGAACTGTGCATTTATTTGATGACTGTTATCTCCTCCAGTGTACGATATGGACAAGTTGGTGACGCGCTGCCCTATTTGGAATAGTGACTTACCAGTCTTAAGGAGTAAGATGGGATGATAAACCAGACTGCTGCTTTCATGGAAGATTTGCTTGAGGTTTTTCTTCAGACTTGTACAAGCAAAGGGTAGAGGAGGGTGTAATTGCTGACATTTGCACGACGAATTTCACATCAAGTCTCACTTGATCTGCACTTTGATCTTCCAATATGCATATATTATAACTGGAATCTCACTCTTGTAACACTAGAGAAGAATAATGGATGATAATAGAAATTTGCATCGCTGTTTTATGTCTGCTGCTGTCACGTTGCAACAGAATGCCCTGGGTGACACAACTGGTCTCTAACACTGTTACTGATACAAGTGGTCCATCTCTGGAATAATTCTCTAGGTGGAAAATAATGGTGTCTGAAGCACTGAACTGCAGGCTACAGTTGGGTTTTATAAGTGAAATAGATGATGGAAGACATTGAATTTCTAGTCTCTTGCTTTCTTAGGTTTCAGAGTATCACTGGTTGCAAGTCTCTAGATGGAGAGAAAGTGCATTTGGTGAGCCTTGACTGTACTGTATCCTCTGATCATGTGCTAACTTTCTCCTTGGTTGGGAGCTGCCGTGATGTGGAGTGCTAAGTGTGTGCTTACAGTACTGATAGAGGTAGAGCCCAAGGACTTCATCTTCATTGGAAAGCCACACAAGATGCAATGTCTGAACCATTTAAACATCACATTTTCAGTGACTCCCTGGTGGAAGGAGCAGGGGAACAGGGAGCTCAGTTCTAACAGAATAAGCAACCTTTTAAATTATGAAAAATGCAGATGTTGTGAAAATTCAGCTTAACTGAGTGGCAGGTTTAAGGCTGGCTAGTTGTTCTTTTTGAAGTAGACTATTAATTGTAACTGCCTGAACCTCTAGGAGACATCTTGGAAACAACATCTAATGCTCCTTGTTTGCCATGTACAGCCAACACTACAAGTTTTCTCACTGAAATCTGAAAGAGAGGGTTAGTCATAAACTAACACACAGTCTGAAGTGTTCATTGAGTTTCAAAGAACTAAATTCAGGAAATTTAATCATGTTAAAGTGCCTTTGAGATAGTTTCCTTCCAGCCAACTTTAAATAGCTTTCTGCCAGTTAAAGGGAAAAAGCTCACACCTCGAACCAAAATCCAAGTTCATTCTCTTCTAGTTCAGCTGAAGAGGCTGAGCCCAGCACCCAGCTGGTGGGGCTCAGTCCTTCACATGCTCTGCCTAGTATTGGTCTGAACTCTGACACTTGATGTTTTGGGGGAGTTTTGTTGCCAATGCTCTGCTGCAGGGTACAAATGTGAACAAAGGCACTTGGTAATGCAGTAGCGGTCATCACATTTCTAACTCTGTAAAGAACTGCTCTTCCTTTTTATAGCATAGTACAGTTGTGACCAAACCCCCCTCCCTTCACCCCTGCTGGTTTTAAATGGTATTAACTTAGGATTCAAGTCTGCCAAGCGTTAAACAAGAGGGTGAATGGAAAACAAACTTGTGTCCCAGGAAGTGATGCTGTCAGACCAGGCTGTGGGCACTGCAGCAGAGCTGCACGGGAAGTCTGTGGTGGTTCATACTGTAGCTTTTTGTTCTGAGCCTGGATTCCTTTGGATTGCAGTCATCCAGCACCCTTACACAAGCACAAAACCTGGTCTGGCTTCAAGTGTAGTGTATCTGAAAAAGGTGTAGTCACTGCTTCACACCACTAAGTGGAGTGAGAATGTTGGTGTTGAAGGTACTAACACAGCAAAGCAAGCTGCTGGCTAAAAGCTGACAGATGCCTTAATGACTCTGTCATTGGCTTGTACAACTTCTTACATAGTGCTTCTAAATTAACCTGTAACAATATGGGATGCTGAGGCTGGATTTTTTTGTAAATCAAATATTAATAGGCAAGTCCTCTTTCTCCTGTAACCAGCAGCGTTGGTACTGCAGCAAACTCGTCTCTAGAAAAATCAAAGCTTGTACAAGTGACAAACAACTCTGACCATTCTAATACCCTCTGTGAAATAGAAAAGGGAGTCTTAGAACAATGGCGTTTTTTATCTGCAATGTTTGTCTGGAGTCATTGTAAAAATGTATTTTTCCAATACGCATTACTTTGTTGTGTAATGATTCTACTTGTAATAAAATGCATAACTAGATCATGCATCGTGAGGTAGAAAACCTTGTTCAGAAAGTCTCTCGTGTAAAGACAGCTGCCCCTCTGTGGGCTGTCCTCTACAAGGAAAACTAGGGCTGGGACACAACAGCGCATGACAACTTGTATTCCTTGTTTTGAGGTTATTCTAGGTACTCATTTTAATGTTGGGGAACTGCTACAACTGTTCTGGTTTATACCACCTAGTCATCTCCAATGCCTTATACTAGACTTACCTGTAATCATTCCTATGAAACAATCCTGACTTCCTACAGGCCAGAGCTGGTTCATGGAGTAAATCACTTCTGAGCTCAGATCCACTTCAGTGGATGAGTAACATAGGCTTGGTGTGCTCAGCTGCACACTGGTGGGCAGCTTGGCCTCCTGGAAGAGATGTAACTGCTGCAGCTTTACTTCAGGATAAGGAAAGCTTCAGTGCAATAGCGGAACCCACCAAACCATCTTGGTGAGATTGTGATGCATTAGTTTTTTATTAATAAAACTTATTAAAGTATGGGTGAATGGTGAGCTTTATTAGAGCACTGCCTCTGTGCACTTGACCCCTGTGTAACTGTCACTATTCTTTCCCACCCTTTTCTACCCTAGGAGCGTGGAGCTGAGCTTTTGGAACACTCCAGGTCCTTGAGGGAGTCTCCATGTTTGCTTTAGTAGATGATTTATCTCCACTACAAGCCAGACCCCCTGTAGTGTTACGAAACACTACCATGGAATTGGTTTTCAACCAACTGAAGTTAAAGCAGCACCATCCTGGCTTTCCTTCCTGCAGCAGTGTATTTGGTTTTGGTGTGGCTCTTAAGATAAGAACCATCCATGCAGCATTCCAGCATTATTTGCATAGTGCTCAGGCATCCCAGCTGTATGGTCCCATCCACAGCTGTAGCCTCATCTATAACCATCACCGGTGAGAAGTGCTGCTGCATGACCTGCTGTTGCTGCCAGGAAGGGACTACTCCAAAGTAATGCTGCCAGGCCTCCTGTGAGCTCACCCAGTTATGAACTAACAGCTCTTCAGAGGTAGCAGTAGCTCAAAACTTAAGTTTATAAATGCCTTCTAGCTCTTTCTACATAGGTGGCAGTTGCCTTAAGGAAAAGAATTGAACACAGCTCAGCACACCTGTGCCACTGCTGTACTCTGTGTCTCTCAAGGCTGCAGCTACATCAGAAACTGATTATAACAGTAGATTCTTTGAAAAACAGCAACTGCTTCCCTGTACCTGGGGATTTACAGTGCCTGAGCCCTCTGCAGGTGCTTCCTTGTCCCTTTCAGCCCCACCCAGGAATGGTAATAACTTGCCTGCTCTTTTGGGAGTCACTTCTATCACTGAATTTTGCCAGCTGTGATAAAATCTGTACAGACTTTATGGAGCTGGGCTCTGTGAGGATACACCCAGCCTCGGGTTGTAGTTCAAAGGGCACGTACCAGGTGGGAGGAGGTGCCATGGAAGCAGGAGGCAGATTACAGCAGGATGGTCATGCTGCCACATTGCTTTTATTATCATATACTGAGAAGTACCAGCTCCTCATCTGCGTAGTCTGAAAGTAGTGAATCACAGGAGCAGGAAGGTGAGGTTAATATTAAACAAGGATCCTCATAGGTGGCTCCCAATATCTTCTTTACACAGTATCTAATACAAACACTAAATGAGGAATACAATTCTGACTTTTGCCTTCTGTACTCCCAAGATTTTGATAAAGCTTGTGTGTAACCAAGCTGTACAAGTTCCCAGATACTACCTACCTTAATTATAGGAGCCATTCAGGCTTCTTCCTGCTACCTTTAAACTTTGGAGTAAAGCAATTGACTGGGAAGGAGCATAAGCACTACAATGCAGCAGGGTTCAAACGACTGGTGGACTGTGTGTAAACTGGGGTCAGAGATGCTGCAGCAGTTCCTGTGCTCACAACCTTGCTGCCTTAAAACACAATACATTGCACAAACTCATCTCCCGACTGCACAAGAAATCGGTTGCTAAGTATAATTCAGGCTTTGCATCTTACAGTTTGTTGCCAGATGTAAAAATACCATCAGAATGAAGCACTAAGAAAGTATCCCATTACTAGCCACTAATTTGGCTGAAGTGTTTCCTCCTCCTCTCAACTCCATCTCCACACGTTAAAGAGTCACAACGTGAGGTTGCTGCTGCCCCTTCATGCAGATGGAGAGGAACACAGCTGGAGCTGCCCATACAAAGCTCGTTTCGCTGCAGGGCTCTTAACAGCGGCCTCGAATCCAGCCCTGGGAGTCACTCCTTCAGGACACACTGCTCTGCCAGCGGAGGGCAGCCGCTGTATTCCTGCAAGTGAGGGTTATCCAGGTCGCCTCTGTCGCGGTGCTCGGTGGAGTCCGGCTGCCCCCACGGGGGACCAGTTGTTCTCACACACACGCAACGGCTGCCCTTGGACCCCGGGTGGAACAGCTTCCGAGGGACTCCAGTCCAGTCTCTGCTCACTCCCCCACTGAGAATGGAAAAGTAAATCACAATTCCAACCCGTGAAAATCACAGAATCCCAAACTGGTTTGACTGAAAAGACCTTAAAACTCATCCCGTTCCAACCCCCTGCCACAGGCAGGGACCCCTTCCACTAGAGCAGCTTGCTCCAAGCCCCTGTGTCCAACCTGGCCTTGAACACTGCCAGGGATGGGGCAGCCACAGCTTCTCTGGGCACCCTGTGCCAGCACCTCAGCACCCTCACAGGGAAGAGCTTCTGCCTAAGAGCTCATCTCAGTCTCCCCTCTGGCAGGCTAAAGCCATTTGCCCTTGTCCTTCCCCTAAAGGCCCTTGTAAAATGCTTCCAAGTGAACTGAGAATCAGTAGATAAAAGCCTAGGATAATCTGGGAGAGTTAGAACTAAAGACATGCCTACTGAGGCAGCCTCCAAACATCTCGGCTTTCTGGTTCATTTTATTGGCTGTGCTTCAGAAACCCATGGCCTGAACATAGTTTCACAGTGCTAGTACATGCTCTCACCCTTCTGGGAGCAACCAGCTGCTTCCGGTGTTTCTATTGCTGGAAAAGGAATCACACAGCCTTACATAGCACAGCATGTCTAATAGCAAAAAATGCCTTTTTTGGTGTAGCTAATTGCTCACAGATCACCACACGCCACCTTCTGTGCCTTGCCTAAACACAATGATTCCAAGAACTAGGCCAAAAAAAAACCCCAAGTCTCAAGTACTTCCACAACTACTTCAGTGTCTTCATTAGCCAAATCCTGCGTGATCCCCTAACTACTGCCCCTTTTAAGCCTGTAAACCTTTACACAAGTGACTGTCACACAACATGCAGTCCCAAGGCTGCACCCAAGCTCATTCACACATAGAAGCAGATCTCCCAGTGCTACTGGTGCACTGAAATGAAGCCTAAGCAATTTGCCTTCAACCAGAACAGTCCCTGAACTGAGAGAGGTATACAACTAAACAGGCCAAGCAGGAAATGACTATTCAAAGCTCAAGCTCATTTTTATGTGGTTGTAAGTGAAAACTGTTGTCCCAGTACTCTGTGAGACACACTGCGAAACTGTCTGAAAAGCAGGAGCTAATCCTTGCATTCCCTGTCTGAATGTAGCAGATGGTAATAGTGGGATTTGTGTCCTGTTTTCCTGAGAACAGGAGGATTGTGTGCACATGTGGCAAATTCTGAAACCTGATTTTGATTCCAGTGTGACAGCAGAGTTTTTGCCTCAGAAATAAAATTCCTAACTGTGCTGACTGGGATGAGACATCATTTGCCTTTTACCTACAAAGTGAGACGAGTCCCTCTCCGTGGCCTCACGCTGGAGAAACCCAACCTGAAGCTCCGTGCAACCCCAGACTGGGTGGAGGCTGACAGCAGCTGTGCAGGGACTCCACACAGCAGGAGTGGCACAGCAGAGAACTGCACCACTGCTCCCTGGCAGTGGGCTCTGCCCTGTCAGAAAGCAGAGCCTGGGGGTGTTGGCTGACAGCCTCCTGAACAGAAACCAGCTTGTGCCCAGGTGGCCACCAGCATCCTGGCTTGTACCAGCACCAGTGTGGCAGCAGAGCCAGGGCAGTGACTGTCCCCCCGCACTGGGCACTGGTGATGCTGCACCTCAAATCCTGTGTTCAGTTTTGTGCCCCTGACCGCAAGAGAGACATTGAGGTGCTGGAGCGGGGCCAGAGAAGGGCAGCGGAGCTGGTGCAGGGCCCTGAGCACAAGTGTGATGGGGAACGGCTGAGGGACCTGGGGGGTCAGTCTGGAGAAGAGAGGTCCCTACAAGTGCCTGACAGGATGATGGAGCCAGGAGGGGCTGGGCTCTGCTCCCAAGGAACAAGGGATGGGACAAGAAGAAATGGCCTCAAGCTGCACCAGGGCAGGTTTAGATGGAGCTGAGGAAACAATTCCTTCACAGGGAGGTTTGTCAAGCAGTGGAACAGGCTGCCCAGGGAAGTGGTGAAGTCAGTCAGTCACACTTGGGGACATGGTTTACTGGTGGCCTCAGCAGTGCCAGGTTAAGGCCTGTAATTGATAATCATAAAGGTCTTTTCCAACCTGAGCGATTCTATACATGCAGACAGAGCAAGGGACCAGCCATACCAGCACTCAGCACACTAGGACCAACTGATGCCCTTTGTGAAGAAGTCAGCAGACCTCACCTACAGCCTACAGAGTGAGCCAGTACATCTTCCTATGCCTCTCCTACTAGGCAAGGCAATGACAAAGCTCAGGGCATCCAAAGAAAGGTCGGAAACGCTTTGCTCCAGAGAGCAAGCGTGACAGCAGGAGGGCAAGATTTTACCTCTGTTTGGAGCACCAGAACCGGCTGCCCGCAGCAGAGCTCCATTCTGAGTTGCAGGGTGGAAACTGCTGCTTCCACTGCTCGCTTTCTGCTTGGAACTTCAGCGCTTCCTCAATGGCAGCCTCAGCCTGCCGTAAAGCTTCTGTTGGTGCCCCGTATTCATCATAGAACCTGCCCACCAGCTTCCCTGGCAGAGAAGAGCAACGAAGACCACAGTGTTTCCAGGCAAGGAAAACGAATAGGGTTTAAATCTGTTACTTAAAGACAAAAATAAGGCGGATCTTGGCCACAGCCCAATATTAAAACCAGACTGAGCTTTACATCCCCTCTATCCTTGGAGGTTCCCAGACTCCCATCCCCGTGCTGCTGGCAGGTTTCCCTTGCTGTGGCCACCCCGACCGAACCACCTACCCACGGGCTCGTAGCGCTCGCTGTAGAAGGCCAGCCAGCTCCGGATGGCCAGCAGCCGGCCCGGTGACAGCGCCGAGACATCATCCACCAGCCCCGCCGCGGTGAAGTCGCCGGTGGCGAACGCTCTGGTGGCATCTCTCCCTGTGGGGCAGGCAGTGAACCTCCGGCCCGCTGACAGGCCCAAACCCCGCTCCCAGAGCCCTCCCCTTTCCCCTCCAGAGGTACCTGCGAGGCCGCTGTAGGCACCCCCGGGGCCATAGTGTCTGCGGCCGCGCTCCACGTCGAAGACACGGCCCAACACAGCGAGGTAGAGGCCGGGCTCCCCCGGCGCCCCGCGGTACCGGGCCAGCTCGGCGCTGCTCAGCAGGCGGCCGCGGGGCGCCGGCAGCCAGGCGCGGGGATCGAACCCGCGGCCCAGCAGGCAGGCGGCCCCCAGGCACAACAGCGCCGCCACCGCCGCCGCGCCCCGCCGCATGGGGCCGCGCCGCGACTGCTCCCGACCTTTTCACGACGGTTTCCTCGCCGCACGGCGGTGTGGCCAGCGCCGGCGGACACCGTCCCTTTCGCGTCTCCGCTTTACGGCGAGCGTCGCGCGGTGCGGCAGCCCCGTGCCTTTCCGGGGCGGGGCTTTTGCGGCGCCGGGTGTCGCTTGGCGGCAGTGTGGCGCGGCCGCCGCCGGCCGGAGCTGACAGGTGCGGCGGGCCGGGAAGCTGCTGACTAAGGCGGGCCGGGCGGAGCCGCGGGAAGGCGGAGGACAAGTGGCTCTGCCGAGCGCCGGGTCGCAACGTCGGCGCTTCCGAGGGGCTCATGGGGACGGCGGCGAGCCACAGCAGCGAGGACGAGGAGGAGGGGGGCGCCGAGGAAGGCATGGAAGGGGCGGCCACCGCGCCTCAGCCCGGCGCTCCCTTCCCGCCTGGCACCGCCGCCAGCCCGGCGCCGCCGCTGCCTCCGGCTGAGGTGCTGCTGGACCAGGCCCGGTTGCGGGAGGCCACGGCGCGGCTGCGGGAAGCGGCGCTGCCCGAGTCGCTGGTGTCGCGGCACCACAGCACTCTGGTGCGCTGGCTGGAGGAGCGCCTCAGCCGCGGCGACGAGGCCGTCAGCCTGGAGCAGTTCTGTGAGGTGCTGGAGAGCGTCTCCCGCCTGGCAGCCGGCTCCCGCGGCGAGAGCGAGGAGGTGAGGCGGCGGCCGGGGGGGGGCAGGCCCTGCTCGGGCCGGGGGGGGAGCTCCCGCCGGAGCCCGGGTGAAGGGGGGAATGGAGGGAGGCGGTGGGAGCCCCGAGGGTGCTGCCGGAGGTGGATCTCACCGAGCCGGAGGTGCCCAGGCTCGGCCATGGGGATCCGGGTCACCCCTTCAGGTAACCGGGGCAAGGCCAGACCAGAGGCTCTTCTGCTGCGAGGCCAAACAAGGCGGGTGGTGGTGCCGATAGGCAGGCAGTCGGCTTGTAGATAGTTTTTTTATTAATTAATTAATTAATTGTGCCTGGTTTTGGAGATTACACTCAGCAACTGCTTCTGAAGAAAACCGTATTTTGCTACAACCTGCTGCTGCTGTTATTGCCAGCAGCAATAGCAGCTGTGGGTAGCACAGGTAGGAAATTCAGCCCAAGTAATTCCTTCGAGATGGTATCAGCAAGTCAGAGTTTACCAAACTTAATTTTCGTGTTCCTGTTCAAAACCAGCAGTGAAAATGTCAAGTATCTCATTGCAATCCTATTGCTTACTGTAAACTAAGAGGTTTGGAAAACTTGTTAGAAAGTAGTGTAACAGAGTTCCTCCCCTACAGAGAGAAGGTCTCAAGGTAAAGTTTTAACGGTAGAAGAGAGCCCCATTTCCTTTCTAGTGTCGGAAGGGACGTGGATAAATTAACGTTTGGAACGTTTAGCTTTACTCCCTAGCTAGCATTCAAAATGCAGTCGAACACCCTTCTGGGAATTTCACACTCAGCTGAGAAAGTGGTTGTGTCCGAATTTGTTAGTGCATGCAGTTCTTGAGGCTCACCAGTGCTTTCCTTCTGCCTTTGTATTGCTCCTGAGTAGCAGAATAACTTGGTAAACCGTTCAATCGCGTGTATGCTCCTTGAAACTGGTGCCGTTGTATTAAAAATGCTACTGGAACCTGGGAAGAGATAGATTTTGTTGTACAGGTAAGTATGCTTATAGCAGGTCGCTTCAAGTAGCTTGCTAAAATGCTGCTGCCTCCATTTCCAGTTGCTTTACAAGAACCAATAAAGAGCACTTCTTTGTACAGACAGTAAGAGTGAAATCAGTACATAAGGATTCTTCCTTTTAGTTAGAAACAACTGAGCTTTGCAGGCTGGGGGGATATTTTGAGGATTGAAGTTGTTTTGGTTTTGTGTTTTCTTGCTGGGGGGGGACACGGGGGACTACAACGACGTTATCAGTAGATTTATCATGGAGCCGATAGATGGTCTCATCTAGTCTGTCCTGCAAAGCTGAGATGTCGGAGTTGTGTGGAAACCCTTGATGTCATTGTTTCTGTGACTGGCACCAGCCCACAGGCTGTAGTATTTTAGATTCCCAGGATGTGTTTTAGACTGATGAGAAGTTAGTTTGTGGGTGGCAGGTCAATAGGTTTCCCTTTTTAATGTCTGTAGAATCCGGTCTGGCATAGACTAAGGTTTGATCTGTCCATTAAGTTTTTCTGCTGTCAGTGTGAGGCTTGTGAATACCTGCTTTGAATGCTTTATGGGCAAACTGAACCTCTGTTGAAATGCAAAATCTTATTTTCTAGAGAAATAAAATCTCTGAATCCTTTTTTTATTCATTTGTGTTTCAGCAGCTATCATACAGTGTATCCAAGTTTCACTTGAAGCATTAATGCTGCAGTTCTGCTGAGAGCAAAGGGTGAAATGAAATGTTTTCCTAAGAGTTTAAAAATAAAGTAACAAAATACTGCATGAAGATGCAAAGAAAAGCAGAGATCTAGTAATCTCTCCTTACACAAAAGTATAAGAAATTGGTTTAAAGTAGCTGTGGGCTAATCCTGCCTTGCCATCTGATGTGTTTGTTTTCACTAGTAACATCACAAAACTTGCTTGTTCACCTCATATTTTAGTAATTGCACAGTTCCACCTCAGATATGAGGAGAAAAAGATGTAATGGCAAGAATGATGTGGTAAAAAACTGTGCATTGAAGTGTTCTGCCAACTGAGTTCTATTTGTTTAAAATTAATTCCCTCTGGATTGTTGTCCTTAGGCAAAGGTCTTGGTTTTTTGTTTGTGTCTACCTGATGCCCAGCACCAGTCTGCTTTGCCACGAAGAGTAATACTTACATAGTTGATTGCTGTTAGCATGGTTCTGCTGTATTGCCACGAAGAGTAATACTTACATAGTTGATTGCTGTTAGCATGGTTCTGCTGTATGTTTAATAGAGTTCGTAAAATGCTAAGCTGAAATTCAGCTCTGTGCTGCAGAAGTGCCGTTGGAGCTTTAGTCAGCCAAAGTAAGGCACTGCAATTCTGTTGTCTTCTGAGGACTTTGCTCTCATTTAGGTGGTGTAATTATGTCATGGTTAATTGGCAGGTTATTTTGATCCAGTCATTTCAGATTACTTCTCTCCAGGATAGTACTTTTAATGGTACATCAAGTTTGATAAGCAGGTAGCAAACCAAGAGGTTCAAGCATAAGCCTCCTCCTGAGTAGCAGTGACTTCTTGACTGTCAGGCATGTGTGAGATGATCTGTTCTTAGAGGCCAAATGTACTCAGCTATGTAGCTGAACTTGAAATACCAAGTTCAGGGCTAGGAAACTGAAGCCTTGCTTGTGAAGAGATTAGCAATTAAACAGAAGAAGTTTCAGAATTAAATATGATTGTGAAAATATAGCTAGGGTTTTTAGTAGTATTGTGTCACAGGACTGTGACTCCTTTGATGTGGCTGGTTAACAGCATTATGTTTATGAGCTTGGTCCTGTTTTACAGGCTTAGCTGAATAAAGGTACCTTGTACTTTTGTTAGTACAAAGACGTGAAACGCAAAGCTATGCGAGTTACTTGTTATACATGCTCAGCATAGCTTTTTATGTTAAACATTTCTGTCAAAGTCAAAGATAATTAAGTTCCCCTGAATTAAAAAATAAGAACCTTTTCTAACTCTTTTCATTGTTTTCACAAATACTTTGACAAATGATATTAAACTGGTGTTTTGTGTAGGACAGTGCATGGAAGGAGATACATGTTTTAAAAACTCTGGTTCTAAGGATGCTTTCTTAACTGAAGAAAATGCATGAAACCTGGAAGAATTGGGGTAGCTGCAGCATGAGATGGGTGCAGCAGTAATGAGCAATGCCTGGTATGGCTTTTAGAACTAACTCAGCCTTTAATGGAAGAGCTTTTTAGTGCTCTTTTGTGAGCACCTTCTTTGTAGTCTCAGATGTTAGTGGATGGATGCTGCTGATTCACTGGTATAGATGATGTGCTGTCTCCACCTAAGCAAAACTACAGTTGACTTTTATAGGAAGGCAGTGCAACTGCCTTAAAACTTGCTGAAGACTGCAGATTTCCAGCCGAGCTGTTCCCTCTTGTCATTAATTCAATACTATGGCAAATGGGTTATTTTGATTATTATTTCATGCTGTTATAATGTTATATGGCTTCTATGAAATATCCTGAATTTCTGCTTGAAGCAAATAGGCTGAAATACATTTTCTTTTAATTTTTCCTCTTCAGGCCTTTGCACAATTTGATGCTGAAGGAGATGGCACTGTAGATGTGGAGAATATGCTGGAGGCTCTCAAGAATTCTAGTGGAGCTAATCTTCAGGGGGAGCTTAGCCATGTAATCAGGCAACTGCAAGCTTGTTCCCTAGTTCCAGGTATGAGAACAGAGTGACCAAACAGATGGTTCCCAAGTCCTGCCCTGTGTAAGGGATGTTGCTTCAATAAATTGCTTTAATAGTGTTCTTGTCCTAATCTTATCAAAACCATACTCCAGGTCATTCTCGCTTCTCTAGTATCAAACAAGTGAAGTTGCTGTAACTTAAAAATTTCGCATAGTTAGATCTAGCTAGCTTACTTTCATAAGTAACCAGTATTTTCCTGTCTGTGTGACTGAGGATCTTCTTATCATTGTCTGCTTTATCTCGCAGACAGGAAACAGTTCAATGCAAAATGTTGGTGAGTATCTAGCTAATGCAGTCTTGTACTTGGAGGAATAAGTCCTCTTCTGAGCCTGTTTCAGGTGATGAGTCATGGACTTTATTATTAATATATTGTTATTTGAAATCCTTCTGAAACATAAGTCATGTTTTAAGGTGGGTAGTTTGGAAAGCGTCAGTTCCCAGAATTTGATTTCTGGGATAAGTATCAGTTACTGGCTTTCCTTCCAAGCTTTTGATGGTAAGTGGCTAAAGAGGATTTGCCTTAGAGGATCAGACAAGAAGTGCTAGAATTGGCAACAGGTAAGTCAGAGGGCAGTACTCATGGAGTACTGTTTTGTGCATCTAAATACACTATGATCCAGAGAATTGCTGTTAAGGAAATGAAATTTCTTACAAACTTGGTGGAAAACATTAGGCACCTCCTTAGGAATAATCCCCAGTGCCAGAGCGAGATGCTTAGTGTAGCTCAGGGTGGGTAATGCGAGTACATCAGCTTGCTAGCCAAGCAGCAGCTGTTTCACTTAGATATTGGAGGCAAGGGTTTGAGACTTTAAGAACAGCAAAATAAGTATAAAAACTAAGATTTTTGGTAATTGTTTTGAACACCTTCAGGTATTTCAAGGAACTGGCAAAAATGTTTGCCTGCACCTCTTGCAGTCCTGCTGTAAAGATTGCAGACTTGAGCTACTTCCTGTGGTAGAATGTAGTTCCAGTGTTGGCTCCCATGCTTGATTTGGGTTTCCCTAGTAGTAAGGTGTGGGGGTGTGTGTGGAAATGATGACTTGGTCAAGTCAGATATCGCAACACAGCTGGAAATAATCTCTCTTTCTAGGTTTTATTGATATATTTTCTGAATCGAAAGAGCGTCTTGGTCTTCATGCCTCAATGATCCTGAGGTTCTTGCACCGGAATCGCATTTCTAATACTGCCATCCCTTACCCAGTGCTGGAGTACTTTAACAATATCTGCACTATGAGGTCTTCTGTGCTGAAGGATTCTTTAGATCGACTTCTCCTAAAAGAGAGGGGTATGTAAATCTTTTTTTTCTTTTCAGTGTGTGACCATAGGTTGAAGAAGAGATTACAGATAAAACAAAAAGCTTTCTTTACTGTTGAATTTTTACCAGGCATGATTTTGTATAGAGTTGATGTGCATGCTTCTGTGGGTGTTTTTGTTGTACTTTTGAAGCACATAAATTGATTTTCAAACTACCTCTCAATCCGAGTAACACACTGGGATGTTTTTCATCTTTCTCCTGACCTGTTTCAGAATGATTATTGTTGTGATATTCTCTATTCAGTCAAACATCTCTGCTAGTTGCTAGAAACAGTGAGATGAATATTTTCTGAAGCTGACTGTTCAGTGTTAAAAGTAATGTATTATTTTGGAGTGGAGGTAGTGAATCTTTTACTGTATTTCAGACAGTACTCTCCTGGTGGTCTCCCTATGGGGATGGCTCCTTCTCTTTACAGCTTGACTTGATATTTTCAGATCTCTGCACTTCTGTTGAAATAGATCAAGTTACTTGGGGAAGCAGTCTGCTTTGTCCCTTCCCTAGAATAGCTGAATTGAGGTTTCTGCCATCGTATTTTACTTTTCCCTCTAATTTGGTTGGATTTTTGCATATTAATAATGCCTTTATGAGGCCAGTAATGAAAGAAGGTGCTAAAGGTTAGAGAACTCCAGGCAAAGTAGGTGTTTTCATACTGGTTAAGATGATTGTAATTTTATCTGAAATGAAACTTTGCTGTCTTCTACTTTCTGCCAGAAACAGTTCTTTGGGATCTGTGTTCTGTGCCAATGATTTAACTTGTATGTGTTAGTTATTGTAAAGGTATAATAATGCTTAAAACAAGCTAAAGAAGACTCTTATGTGTGATTTATGTTCTTTGCAGAATACCCTAGTGATTTAAATGGTAATCAGGAGGCAGACAAACTGAAGTCTGTCACAAAGTGCTACACTCACATAGAAACCTCGTCCAATTCTGCTGATATTGACAAGATGACAAACGGAGAAACGACATCTTTCTGGCAGTCGGATGGCAGTGCCCGCTCCCATTGGATACGGTGAGCAACACGCCAGTATGCACCTGAGTTTTGGGGTTGTTAGTCCTTAGAAATACAGCTGGTGGAGTGTTGTGGTGGGTTGACCAAAGCCACTCTGTCACTCCCCTCCTCAGCTGGACAGGGGAGAGAAGATACAGTTAAAGGCTTACGGATTGAGGTAAGGGTGGGGAGAGAACACTTGCCAACTGCTGTTATGGGCAAAACGGACTCAACTTGGGGAAATCAGTTAAATTTTGTTACCAAGAAAATCAGAGTAGGATAATGAGAAATAAAACCAAATTTTAAAACTGCTTCCCCCCCCTTCTCTTGTTCTTGGGCTCAGTTTCACTCCTGAATTCTCCACCTCCTCTCCCCTGTGGTGCAGGGGGATGGGGAATGGGGTTGTGGTCAGTTCATCACACACTGTTTCTGCTGCTCCTTCCTCAGGGGAGGACTCCTCATACTCTTGCCCTGCACCAGTGTGGGGTCCCCCCTGTGGGAGACAGTCCTCCACCAGCTTCTCCAATGTGAGTCCTTCCCACGAGCTGCAGTTCTTCATGACCTGTTCCAGTGCAGGTGTTGTGCTTTAAACCCAGCCAGTAACTCAGCACCATGCAGCTGCTCCTGCCCTGGCTCCCAGTGAGATGGGGAGGAGAGTTGACAGAATGTAAATCCCATGGGTTGAGGTAAAAAACAGTCCAGTAACTAAAGTATAATACCAAACCACTACTGCTAATAATAATGATAAGGGAAATAACAAGGGGAGATATTACACAACTAAAAAGGGAAAGGAGAAGAAACCACAATAAACACAAGTGCTGCCCAACATGATTGCTCAGCACCTGCTGACTGATACCCAGCCTCACCTGAGCAGCCATCTGGGCCTTCTGGGTAACTCCCCCCAGTTTCTATACTGGGCATGATGTGCTATGGTATGGAATACCCCTTTGGCTAGTTTGGGTCAGGTGTCCTGTCTGCTTCCTCCTGGCTTCCCATGCACCTACTCACTGGCAGAGCAGGAGAGACTGAAATGTCCTTGATCAGGATAAATGCTACTGAGCACAACTAAAACATTGGTGTGTTATCAACGTTGTTCTCAGACTAAAACTGAAACGCAGCACTGCACCGGCTTCTAAGGAGAAAAATAACTGTTACAGCTGAACCCAGGACAGTGGGGTCCCTCCCATAGGGTGCAGTCCTTCAGGAACAGATGGCTCCAGCATGAGCCCCCCATGGGGCCACAGGTCCTGCCAGCAAGCCTGCTCCAGCATGGTCTTATCTCACCATGGGACCACAGGTCCTGACAGGAGCCTGCTCCAGTGCAGGATTCCCACAGGGTCACAGCTTCCTTTGGGCATCCTCCTGCTCCAGTGTGGGGTCATCTGCAGGCTACAGGTGGATATTTGCTCCACTGTGGGCCTCCATGGGCTACAGGAGATATCTGCTCCATCATGAACCTCCATGGGCTGCAGGGGAGCAGCCCCTGCTTCACCAAGAAATGAATTCTCAGTTGAAAACCATACACTAGAAAATTCTACAGGCTCAGAGGTGACTGTCTTTTAAGTCAGTTAAAGTTTTCTAACTCATCCACACTGATGCACTTGTGAAGCACTAGGTAATTTCCTTTGGATTTATCTGTGTTTGTACAAGTGGAAACTGAGTGAAGCTTAGCTAAAAGTGAAGTGCTTGACCCTACCGTCTCTTTGAAAGAACTGTTTTATCTTTACTTTGCAGTTTAAAGATGAAACCAGATGTTGTCCTGAGACATCTGTCCATTGCGGTGGCAGCTAGTGACCAGAGTTACATGCCACAGCAAGTGACAGTGGCAGTGGGAAGGAATGCCAGCAGTCTTCAGGAGGTCCGAGATGTTCACATTCCAAGCAATATCACTGGCTACGTAACACTGTTGGAAAACGCTAACATTAGTCAGATGTGTGAGTCAATAAGGATACTGTTGGTATATTGTTTTGGTGCTTTTTTGGAGGTGAAAGTTTGGGTAGAGCATAGAATGATGTGTTGAAATCATTAGAGTAGGACCTTTAAATCACACCCTTGGGTCAGAGAAATTGTTCTTCTGGTGGTTTAATCTCTAGCCTTTAGGAGAGTCTTCCGAGTCTTTCTCATGGCATCTGTCTAACTTGGGCTAAGCGTTGAAGAGCTGAATGACTAAAGATGCAGTTTTAGCCTGTCAGTTTGAAGACACTGGGCAATTTAAAAATATCTTTGCTTGCAGAGTGGGAGCATATGTTGGATGATCATATCTAGCAAAAAATCTGCTTCTGAGCAACTATTTTCTTGGTAGCAAAACTCTGAAGCTGGTCAGATGATTTATGTAAAGCAGGTTTTGTGCTAAGGGTTTTTAAGCAGTGTTATTTTTAAGTCTGGTAAATCTGTGGGTGCTCTATTGGAATCAATCAAGGGAAAGTTGCTCCTTCCTAAGATCATGGAATCTCAGACTGATTTGTGTTGGAAGGGACCTTAAAGCTCATCCAGTTCCAGCCCCCTGCCACAAGCAGGGACGCCTTCCATTAGAGCAGATAGCTCCAAGCCCTGTCCAACCTGGCCCTGAACAATGCCAGGGTTGGAGCACCCACAGCTTCTCTGAGCACCCTGTGCCAGGGCCTCACCCTCATAGTCAACAACTTCTTCCTAATACCTAATCTCCCCTCTTTCAGCTTAAAGCCAGAAGGATGGTTACTGCAGCTTCACAAATGTTGTCCCTTCAGTTCAAATAGGTGCCTTTCACTAAGGTGAACCTGCAGTGGCACAGAAGCAGGTGGCAAAGATGTTGTTCCTCAGAAGTAACTAGGAAGATGCTGTCTATGCAAAATGGTCAAGAGTTTACTTGAAGATTTTTATGCGACTTAAAACTTTACTTTTAGGCTTTACTCTTTTACCCTAATTCTCCACTACCACTCCCAAGGTGCTTCCTGTGTATGTAGGTAGAAAGGTACTGATGAAATAATCTGTAATCTATTTTCCACTTTGAGGGGTTTGGGTTTTTTTGTTTTTTTGTTTTTCTGCTTTTTTCCTAATTTTTAGCTGAACCATATGTAATGGATCACATAAGCTATTCGGGGGCTAAATTTTCCCAGTCGTAGGGTGTACAGTGAAGAAACACATATGCAGAGTTGTCTCTGTGTGGGAGTACTGTTACATATCTGCTGCTATTTTCCTCAGAGGTTTTGCGATAATTCTGGTTTTGAATATCTGCATTCTTCTAGATCTCATCCAGCAGAAGAAATGGGGGGAAAAAGTCTTATTTTGTGTTTTGACAGATGTACAGATAAATATCAAGCGTTGCCTTAGTGATGGATGTGACACCAGAATCCACGGGCTCAGGGCTGTTGGGTATCAACGGGTGAAGAAGGTGGGCGTCTCCGTATGCGATGCTTCAGCGATCTGGTACTGGTCGCTGCTGACCTCTCTGGTGACAGCTTCCATGGAAACAAACCCAGCATTTGTTCACACTATTTTGCAAAATACTCAGTAAGTACCAAACTTCCATGGCATGTAATAGCCTTATTTTTAGTTTGGTTTGGGTTTTCTAAGTACTTACAGCTTCAGTAAACTGATGTACCTCCCTCCAGTAAGGTGTTTCATCATCTTTTTAGCTATCACACTTCAAATTTTGATACTTCTCTTTTATCTGTTTATACATACGAGAACTAGTTCTCCTTACTGTTGTATCTAATCTAGTTGTTAAGCCATGACTGAACAGACACTGAAAAATACCTTTTTCTTTTGCCTGTCCTTTGAATTGTCGTACTTTAGAGAAGCTTAAAATTATTGTTAATTTTATTGATTATAAATATTGGACAGCTTCCATTTATGGAATGGAGGTTAATTTAGCTTAATTTTGAGCGCATTTTTGCTTGTGTAATGCCTTGTAGTGCATTACGTGGGGATATAGTCAGATACATGCAGTATCTCTGTAGCTGTTTGCTGATGGTGATCAGCTGTTTTCTGTGTAACGTTTCCTTGTGTGACTGCCAAACGCTTCTGCCCAGTGACTTGAAGGATTGGAATCCTAATAAAATCACTATACACCCACATCAGCTTTTATAGAGCTTAGCTAGCATGATTCCACCATGCTCAAGGGCACTGCTGCCATTAGGTTAATGAGTACTGCAGGCTAAAGTCCATTAAGCCTATCTTTTAATTTGTGTCATCTATGGAACCTCTTTAGTGCTTAGATAACTTTCTACATGCTTATGTCTGAGGAATGTTCATAAGTGCAAGCTTTACTAAAACTGGGGGCCCTCGGGTTCCCTCAGTTTAGATAGTTTTTAGAAATACAACATGAATGTTGAGGGGATAAGGACTGGAGAAATCTTGACTAAAAATATGTTCTCAGGAATTATAAATTCAGTGTTTGGCATTAGAAAGCAAAGCCTCAAACTTTAGTATTGAATGGAATGACTTTGAAACTGTTGTAATAATCCCTGAAAATACAGATTATTAATTACCTTTGGAAATCAAACAGAAACTCTGATCTCAACTCTTTCAGTTTCTGTAATTGTTCTGAGAATTTAAAAGCAATTTTCCCTTTATCAACAGGCTCTTGCTCAGTGCTAGAACTATTTAAAATAAAGCAGTGTGTGGACACTATTTCTAACGTTGTCACAGATGTAATTCAAAACCCCTTGATTTATTTGTCTCATTGAATCTTAGATGATGAGACTAGATTCAGGATTACCCAGCAGCTGTTAAACTTTCCCTGCCTAGAATGCAGTACTCGCTTTACCTTTTGATGTGATTGTCTGTGTCAGTAGATTTCCTGCACTCAGAACCCGTTTGTACAGACCTGCTCTCAAAAAGTGTGATGAGTCAAATATCTAATCCATTTTAGAAGGCTGTTTTCTCTGATTCTGTCTGGTTTTCTGATGTTATGTTCTGTCCTTTTACTAGGAAAGCACTGCAACACATGCCACCTCTATCCCTAACACCAGGCTCTACAGATTTTTCAAGCTTCTTGTCTCCAAATGTTTTGGAAGAAGTCGATAGCTTCCTCATAAGGATAACAAGGTAAGTTTGTGTTGATGTGTTTTGATGCAGTAGAAGATGGTTTAGAAGAATTTGTATATCTAATTTCTCTCATCTTTACTCACCTGCTCTTGAAAAATTGGAAGATGTTAAGAAACTAGCACTGGAGATTTTTCCATATGAGCATCATCTGTCTTATTTAAAAACGGTGTCCTGAGTTTTCTTTTCATACTGTTGTTTTTTTCCCTCCCCAGTTGTTGTACCACTCCAGAGGTTGAACTTACACTCTTGGCCTTTGCCTTAGCCAGGGGGAGTGTTGCAAAAGTGATAAGTTCCCTTTGTACAATCACTGATCATCTGGAAACTCCATACAAGGCTTCATCGCTTATCGCTTCCATGGCAGTGGTCAGACAGAACCTGCTGTATAAATACGGTAAATGAATAATTGCTGGATCCTTTTCTGTACATACTTCATACAGTACGCAGCTTTGAGTTGTTTTACTTGTTCTCCTGGGATTTAAAATTATACAAGACTTCTAAATTAACAACTGTTACCAAGAAGATACCCTGTGAAGCTGAATGGCCCTAAAACTTGGCGATTAGATCAGCTTTATGTGATCTAAGAGTTGAACCAGGTGGCATCATGCTGAGGAAGAAAACATGAACTTTTGTAGGTAATGGCCCTTATGTCAAGATGGTGATAATGTTTGTATTGTGTAAAAGATGGCTTCAGTTATTGTTATTCTTCCAATAACATGCTTTTTTGCATGTTTAGCCTCAGTAAGTGGTCCCTCTTGCAGACACGTGCACGAACATAAGATGCGTTCTAAATTGAGTGTCATTAGCATCACTTTACAGCTCTTTTATTTTCACTTTTATAAATTAATCTGAGTATGTCAGAAGTATAGAGCTGTGTGTGGTCTGGCATAAGGTAGAATTTGGCTGTATTAACTGTATTTGTTTGATAAATCTGTCTTTTGCCAGGTGTCAACTCCTGAGATCATCGCTAGTCCTTCATGAAGAATTTTCCCCTTTGGCTTTTAGTATGTTTTGTCAGGACTTACAACCTTGTGCCAAATGACACATTAATTATTTTAATTATAATATCAGTCTTGAGTCTCAAAAGCTTTGAAAATTGCTTCGTTTTTCCTGGAGTAGCTGCTGCTTTTTGTAAGCCAACAGTGGTATTTCGTGTATTGGGAATTCCAAAGTGTGCAGCCAGTTGAAGGAACATTAATTGTCATGGTTTTCATTCTCCTTCTCTCTGTATCTAAAACTTGAGCTATTTTGTGTTAATGTGTACCTTATGCTCCAATTTCTTCCCCCCTTGTTCTTTTGACTGACAGTGGTAAAAATCTCATTGTAACTTTCTTCCCTTTATTCTTCCATTTCTTATCTTCATGAAGAGCTTTAGACTTTTCTGGGTTTGTTTCTTATGAAGTTGATAAACCTGTTGATTGATTTATTTATTTATTTATTTCACTCAGGAAAACCTTTACGACTCACTTTGCAAGCCTGTGATGTCAAGGGAAAAGAAGATAAATCAGGGCCTGAAAACCTCCTTATGGAGCCATGGACTGGGGATGGTAATAGCTTGAACTTAAAATCCAGAATATTTAAACAGACACAAAGACTGTTATCAAGGCTGTGATGCTGCTCCTTATATATATTTATATCTGTTTGGTGCTACTTAATAATTTTATGATATGGAAGATCTGTAATCAAAAAAGAAAAGGGGGCAAAACAACACTAAAACACCCCAAAAAAACTAACAAAAAGCCCCCAGTATGTAAAGTCTGTTTTACAATGGGGGTTTCTCAGGAGCCAATTTATTGTTAAAGCAAACAAAAAGATTGGATTTGAGGGAGAATTCGACATGGAAATCAGCAATGGGCTCTTGCAGAGAAAATGACCTGGAGCACATTTTGAGGCTTTAAGTCGTGAATCATTCATTGCTAGTTTCCCAAATATTGATGAAGAGATTTGGTAGAAACCCTTGAAATTCTCATTGACTGCACATGACTTAATTCTCCTTTCAATCCTGCCTTTGTTAATGCAGTATTTTCATGTACTGGATACAACCTGAACAAAATAATTTGTGGTTTTTTGACCTTTTTTTTTTAAGTGAAATGCTACCTAATCTTATTTTAAAAACTTGTGTTTTGTGCAGTGCTACTGCTAAATGCAAGCTATTGTGATAGAAAATCAGGCACTTTCTAAATGCTTATTTTACCCTTCTGTTTGCTTGTATGTGGTGTTTGAATTCATTTTGTAGCTCTCCCAAAATCATAGAACCCCAGGTTGGGAGGGACCTTAGGGATCATCTGGTCTAACCTCATTAGCATGACCCAGACTAGATGTCCCAGCATACTGTACAGCTGAATCTTAAAAAGTGTCCAATGTTGGGGAATCCACCACTTCCCTGGGAAGATTATTCCAAAGGCTGATTGCTCTCTAGCTAATGAGTATTTCAGTAGAAAAGTGTTGTGGTTTTGCTCCCCCCCTGCCCCTTAATTCACAGCTTGCACTAGCAGTCATTCCAGCCTCGTTCTGTCTCCACTGCTGCTTTAGGTTTTCTTACTGAAACTGGGAAAACCAGAGCAAGTATTATTCTTTCTACTGGAACTGAATCTTCATTTCAAGTGACACAGATTAGAATCAAGGTATGCAGTTCCTGTATGCTTTTGAAGCAGAAGGTTTGCTTGTTTCCCTAGTGGTAGAGTTGAAGTATTTTTTTTTGGTATGAACTGTAATTTTAAATTCATCATAAAATAGTGTTATTGTAGGGTTTTGCTTTGCTGTAAATCACAGAGAATTTAAGGAAAGGGAGGTATTAAATTGTTACAGGATGCCACAGGCATGTAGTAAAGCCATTTATTTTATATTGTGTTTGTCTATATCTTACAATATATCTTACAAGTCGGTGAGAAGTGTGGTATCTCTCTAAAGGGTATGGATTTATATGTCAGATTTTGCATTTAAAATAGTTTTTTGTGTGAATAGCAGGAGTCAAGATATATAGCATGTGGGTTCAGGTTAAATGTAGGTCTTTCAAAGTCTTTTTAGAAACATTAGTGTAATTTGAATACTTGGTGTGATTTTTTTATCTTGTTTAAAAGCAAGATCGTGTGATTAAATCTCAGGGCCAGGACCAAGCTTCAGTGAGATTTCTGCAGCTGAATTTATTTATTTATTTAAGGCACAGCAGTAGTTAAATTTCTGGAGCAAGGTTCTATATTTCAGTGTCAAAAACACTTAGACATGGGTGGACTTCTGGCAAGTAAATTCTAACTGGAGCTGGAGTTTGGGTGCTAGGAGGGTGATAAATACAGCAAATGTTAACCATGATGCATGATCCTGATTGAGTTAGTTTTCCTAACACTTTTCTAAATGCATATAATTTCTCTGTGCAGTTCCAGAGATCAGTGCTGTCAGTATTCAGGCTTTTTCTGTAACTTTTTTTCTTGTGAAAGCAGCATCTTCTTTTACTGTCAACTTGTTAATCCATTGCGCTCAATTTGTTCTTTTAGGTCCGAAGGGGAGCCATCGGGGCCCAGTGTGGGCTGGTGTTTGCTTATAATAGTGCTTCAGAGAAGTTCCATGCAGAGGAACACTTCAAAAGGTTTGAAAGCTATGACAAGTGGAAGCTGCGGGAATTCAAGCAGTTCTTAAAGAACAGGTATAGGTGGGCTTCTTGTAATGACTATCTGGAAAATAATTGTGATATTAGATCTTTTTTCAATGTCATTTGAACTGCTGAAAATTCTTCCAGATGACTTAAGAATAATGCATCGTTGAATTGTTAGTTGTTTGATTTCAGTGACCCCAAATGTGATGTGTTTGAGGCAATATGTATATAGCTGTTGGTTTCAATATCTTGATTTAAAGACTTGTTTAAAAAGGGATATGACAAAATCCATGTTCTATGGGAGGTGCACATCACTGATAGCAGAAGCACCTTCTAGGAAGGTCATGTGTTAATCAGCATTTATTAAATGACTTTCTTGGAACTGTCGCTCAGGAGCGAAGGGAGGCCGGGAACCATGACTGAAAAAATTTCCTTAACTTTCTTACCTTGCACTTGATAGAATTTGTGTGTGTAAAACTTTCCATTGTCTCTCTTCACATCTTTATAACCATAATATGCAAAAATATTCTGGTAAAATATCAAGAGCTTTGTAGTTTCTTTAAACTTAACAAAGTTTGTTGCATTCTTTTATATATAGAAGCAGCTGCTCATGTGACGATCTGGGAGATGATGATCCTATTGGCTGGTTTGAAGTGGAAGAAGAATGGGATGAAGTTGATGTCAAAATGCAGGAATGCAGAATTTCTCAAGTAAGGAACCATAAAAATCCATTGAACCAGTCACAGTGAGCAGAAGCTTTTCTCTGTGCTTTGTTGTAATGTCAACTGAAATAAACTTAACTCTTACATGTAAGGGCAGCTCTTCTGGGTAGAAGTAAAAAGCAATGGGCTTCTAGTTAAATGCAAGCCAACTTTTGTCCTGTGAGTTTTGTTCTTTTTCTCTGTATGTACACATATGTTTAATGCAAAGTTATGTGAGAATGTGCAGACTGTTGGCTTTATCCTGAGGAGATACTTCCAAAAAGGATGACATGATTGTTGCTTTGTTCTAATATCTAGACGAATTAACTGCTGTGTAATTACGTTTATTCTTTCAGAGCCAGATCCCTTGTTTTAAGGGACAAACAATTACAAAGCAGTTCCATCAGACTAATTCCCTTGAGGAACATGGGACTTCTGTTCCTATAGTGGCTTGAACAAATGCAAAACAATACAGGTTTTGATTTGTAGTGTTTAAGTAGGAAACTTTGCTTTTCAGATCCTGCACTTATCTCGGCTCTGGAATCAGCTGTTGCTCAGTTCCCCAATCCTTTTGTGTACTGTAGGAATTAGCAGAAGTGGTGATGCAGTTAAAAGTCAACTGGGAACTTTTCTAAAGCCATCACTACTTGCTAAGACATTCTGCTGCTGTCTGTGTAACACTTAGTCCCTGAGATTCATGAGCGCACAGAGCTACTGAGTACATTTGGATTGCAGAACTTGCTGTTCCTTTCCGCTTTGTGTTCTGTATCTCACAGTGGACAGATTGCCTAAAAGTATGTTTAAATATTACACACTAATCCTCTGTTTGCTTCTAAAAGCAGCTAGTAACTTTTTAACCTGCAAAAGTGCTGTAACTGTAGAACCAAGGAAGAGAGTATGCAGAATGAATGGAACTGATAATGAATTAACTAACTTTGCAGGTGCTTGTAGATGTCACAGAACCATCACTGTGACTTTGTTTGGAAGTGGGGAGAGTTCAGGCTCGGTGTTTTAAACTTGTGGAAGTGATTGACAGGGAATAAGGCTTGCTACCCCAATCTCACCTGTAGTCTTGTCATATGTATGTGCACTCATGTCTTTTAAAGCCAAATATGTGCTAGCTTTTAAAACCAAATCTTGTGCTGTGCTAATATCCTTCTAGTACTTGATGATAAAGTTCTTGTGCACAAGACAAGACACAGCAGAGCGGCTCGGAGTTCAAGGCCTGAATGTCCTTGGGTATCTTCGGCCTATGCGGGATGAGCCCAGTAGGAGCATGAACTGCTTGCAGTGCAGGAAAACGGATGATGATACAGTTTGTGGCACAACTCTTCTCCTGAAGACACTTCATTTCATCCAGCAGCTGGCACAGGACCTGGTATTTTTTCTGCTTAGTTCGTTTTAAGGGTGTACATGCTAAAAGGAATAAGGCTGTGCTAAAATAAATTGTGACTGCATAAGGAAAATCTTGGTCCTAGGTAATAGCAACTGTTAAAACCATGCTGTGGAGGAAAAAAGGGTTTCTGAAGAACAGTATTCTCTGTGTTGGCTAGGAATATGCTCGCTTCAGGCCCAGAAAAGGGTTAATAACCATTTTTCAACATCGGGTTACAATGCTGGGTGAAGTAGATGCAACAGGAGGATGCTCTACTGTCTGTTAGGTAATGTTGGTATTTCTGAAGCAAGCATCTGAAAAATGCATAGAGAGATAGCTAGGAAGGCTGCATAGATTAAAACATACCGTCATCTGAAAAAATTCTGTGGATATCTAGGGTGAGACATATATGGTTAAGAGATGGGGCTGGTGTGTGCTGTTATGTGTCAGCCTCATGTACCTCATGTACCCTACTTGAGGATACATGTCAAAACCATGTTTTGTTCGTACAATGCATGCATCTGTGCCTTTTCAGCTTCCTTTCTGATCCATGGACAATCTCATTTTGGCTATTACTCTCAATTAAATTACATGGAGAGGTAGAGGTAATGTCAAGTCTTTTGGTGGTGGGGGACTAGGCATCTAGAAGGAGGAGAGAGAATCCTTATTAGTAGCTCTGTTAAGGGGAAGGTTTCAGTATGAACTGTTACATTGAGACCCTGGAGTATCCATGGAGGAACTCACACTGGAATTCATGGTAGCTCTAAGTATATAAGAAACTAGCCTGGTTTAAGCCCACTGCTCAGGGATTTACTTTTTATAAATGTGTTCTGTATAGAATTAGTTTTCCAATCCTGTGTTTTCTTTTGCCTTTTTAAGGTTCAGCAGAAGGAGAGTGGATTAAAATACAAGTCATTTTTGGATTTCACAGGCCTTGATTTGCAGCTGTTCTGGAATTTTTACAATAAACTTCACCAAAGGTAAGTAAGTCACTTCCGTGTGCCGAAGCACTAAGCTCTGTGTGTACATATAAATAGTGTATGCTTTGTTTAGTTGCAGCAGTTTCTTCTTCCTAAACTACATCATTTACATAAATAACATTTTCCTACTGCTGCCATATGGGGTTTTAACTATAATGTTATGTAGAAGCCTGAGATGTAGATTAATTTAGCCAGTAGCTATACTTTTTTTGCCTATGTGCTCTCTACTCAGTGGTTTTTACCCATCTAAGATAGTGATTTTCATAGCATTACCTATTTGGTGCAAAAAAAGCTTCTTGTTTTTGCTTCTGTTTGTTCTATGTTTTTTTGCAGCCCAAGGGAAGAATGTATCTTTGCTCAAACACTGCTGTTGCAGCTTCTCCAGAGCTGCTTCTCTGTACTTACCGCAGACAATAAAACTGCTAAACCTCAAGAAACTTCTCAGAGTAAAACATCTGGTCACACAGAAGCTGCAAAAGAGCTTTACAGACATTTGTGTGAAGGTAGTTTATATTGAATATATTGCCTGTTTTGTCTGTTCTGGCTTAGAAGTGTATCACAACAGTTACAATTCGGGAAAAGATGTTTATTCCTAGAGGCCAAGTCATCTACTGTTCCTTTCATTCCTGTTCAGGTCAGGGAATACTAATAAGTCTATCACAGTGAAACTTTCCTGGACCCTATGAAATGTTTTTATAGACATTCTGACAACATGGGGTGTGGAAACAGCTGCAATAGAAAACTTCTTTTGAGCATGTACCTGCTTGAACCAGCAGGGAATGTGATCCTTTAATCTAATGTTACTGGGGGTTTTATTTCTGGTGTTTCATATAAATACCAGTGATCTTACTAGGAGCTTGTAAGGTTTAATGAAACACAGGGAAGATTCTAGAGCCAGCAAAGAGAATGGGAATTACACTCTAGATAGCATTGGAAGTAGGTTGGTACTCTCTTTATTAAAGTGTAATTTTTTTTGTTAATTCCCTAGTAGTCTCCTAAAAAGTCAGCTAAAGATAAACCAGTTCATGTAGAATCTGTCACATCTTGAAAGCTCTGTTAGGTTTGATAGTTGTCAAGTCTTAATGTTCCTAGAATTAATTTACTTAGTGAATAAATATATGCTTAGAAAAATCTTTCTTGCTGGAAGTGAAGATGTTTCCCCTCATTTTCTGCTGACATATTAGGTTTACAAGGGCTTGAAGATGTGTAAAATAACACTTGAATTCGGTTATGCCTCTGACACATCAGATTGAGTATTAATTTGAACTGTAATTTTCTTTCTTTTTTGTATGAGCAGTAGTGGATATGGGGGACAGTAACTTCATGCCAATGAAAATGCTGAAAGAGGAAGTTAAGAACACCTTACTCAGCGGAGCAGCTATCTTTTTCCCAGATAGACAGACCAGGCGACACCAGCTCTTCGCCATGATGGTAAATCATTGAATGAGAAATTGCTTGTTTACTGCCTGTGTTCTTTATGCAGAAAAGAGGAAAAATCTGAGTTCTTGTTGTCAAATAATCTGTTTTGTCCCATTAAAGTAAAAACCTTCCTTTCTCTTCTTTGCCTCTATTTACCCTCCCCCTTCTTTCTCTCTGCAGCTTATTCAAAGAAAGAGAGAGGAGCTAACCCTGCTTTTCTTACCAAAAATGAATAGTAGCACAGAAATTAGAATCCTTTCTCACAGAGGAGGGAAACAGAACATAGCGTAAAAATAAATCTCTTTCCTTTTCTAGAAAAACATCACAGAGCAAGAACATAAGCAATCTGTGCATCTTGCCTTCAGATCCTTGTGTACTCACTTCAGGTAAGGGGTCCTGAGATGGAAGAGAATTGCCTGATACCCAACATCTGTGAATAAGTTCATATTTAATTGGGTTTAGAAATGTTATTCCCCTGGAAAATAATTCTCAAAAGAACTCTACTGTCTCTTGCTTTAGAGAGGAAAATACTACTACTTAATATGTTTATTAATGGAATAACTATATAAAACATTGCCCAATGTTTGTGCTGCTTCACAGTATATTGCTTAGACTCCTCCTAGGCTGTCTTCCAATTTCTGTATGTTCTTGTCCATGATGATGGCTGGTTTTGATTTAATTAGTCTGGAGTCATCAGAACCCAAACTTTTGATTTTCATAGTGATTATACAGTAGGATCTCTATGGATGTATCACAGTGATAACTGAATTTGTGTTTTGGAACTGTGCTGCTTGTTATTGGTTAGTAAGAAGATTTTTGTTCCGTAGTGATCAAGATCCAGGTGGACTCCTATTATTACCAGAGAAAGGAGTTTCTGAAAATCTTGACATAAGTGAAGTGCTGTCAGTCATGGATACCCTTCTGCTAGTGGCAGCAAGAGAGGTAACTGTTCATTTTCCTACTTCTTTGCTGTAGTTTTTGTATGCATTGAAACACAAGCTGCGTGCCCAAGATGTATGCTAAAGAAATGGCTTTCCTATCTGGGATAAAACTTTTCACGGTTGTTCATCTCTGTAGGATTAGATTTTCCAACCAATTGAAGTAATTTTCTTTAGGCAGTAATGTTTCATTATACTAGAGTAACTAATGTACAAGATGAAGTATTTTTCTCTATTATTGAGAAGACTTTATGGCACAGTAGCCACACTGGAAAGCAGAACTAATCATCACATATTGAGAGCTTAGAATTGGTCATGACACTAAAGGAGGTGTAAGTGGAGGAGGCTCATTTACATATGCAGAAAAAATGTGCTGAGAACATGGAGTGACTCACTTGTAGCTATCCCTACTTAAAATTGTGATTTATCACAACAAAACAGCATCAGTTGCTTCGTGGCATTATATGCTGCCTGTCAGTTGCATTGAATCTTTTTGTGGCATGAGTGGGATGATAATGTCCATCATAGTTGACTTAGTACATATTGTATGTAATTCTGCAGCAGAAGAGAATATCCTTTTGTTACATTCTTTTTCAGTGTGAAATGATGATGCTGGATGTTGCGCAGCAAGAGAGTGGGACGGTCTTGTCTTCCTTATTCTGGTCTGTTCAAGGTAGCCTCCTTTCATGGTGCTACCTGCAGCTTAAGGGTAGTGATAATTCAGCCAAGGATCTTGCAGTAGAAATCCTTAAAAACTGTAAGTGCTGGGATTGAATACAAAATTGTGGTGTGATACAGGGCTTTAAAATGCGATTTTACAGATTGCGGTACAATAAGGGTTCAGCAGTGATTGCCTGGAGCATATTCATAACTATCAAAGCTTTTCTGATCACTCTGGGAAGAGATTTGTAGGCATATTAAGCAATTCAGAATTTTAGTTATACTGCTGATTTGGTGTTGGTAGAATCTTAAGCAAACATGTCAAAAACCCACCCAAACAACAAACAATTACACTTTTATTTGGGCATGTTGGTTCCTTCAAATGTCCCTTGGTTTGAAAAGCCTTTCTGTGGTGATTACATATTTTCCTGCTGTTTGTGATAGCAAGAAGACAGGAACTTACTTAAGAAGCTGGGCACTTCTAAGGGGTGTTTTGCTACAGTGGTTTTGTTGTGTTTTTTTTAATGCATTAGCTCAATATTAAGTAGTTAATTGGACCAGAAGGTGTAATTTTATGTGAAATTACTTCATATTTGTTATTTGTGTATAAATAAGTTGTTTTTCTTTTGGGTTCCTGTCTTGCATCTAAAAATGGAGTAAAGCTATAGGTAACACTGACTAGCCTCACTTGTTACTTAAGCTGCTGTACTTAAGCTTCTGTAGGAAGGCTACTGAATACGCTGAGATTATTGAAACAATCTTGGAGCGTTTGAATAAGTTATTCACCACTCAACTTTTTTGTAATATCATTGCTAAGCATGACTTGTTTCCACTATAGAAATACCACAGAAAATTTCTCTGAACTGTTTTCACTTTTGAGTGTCACTGCCGTGGGGCAGCAGATGCCTTTCCTGCTGTCTCTCCTCTTATGCACATCACCACACACTTAAGTGTTTGATAAAGCAGGTTGTGGTAGCAAATCCTTAAGGTGGCTATTAAGGGTTTTTTTTCTCTTTAGATGTGGGCCAGTTCCTGTCAAATATCAGAACGATTTTGCAGTCACTTTTATCTCAATATAGTGGCAAAACAATAGTAGAAAAAATAAGTAACTCTGTCTTTGCTATGGCAACTCGTCAGCTGGTAAGTGAACACTGGGGTTTTGTACTATTCCCGGGTAGCATGGCTGTGGTGATGTGCGTCTTCATGAGACCTGTGCTTTCTCCTAGGTCATCTTCCTGTTGGATTTTTGCACTTTAGACATTCCATACTGTACTCTGCTACGGGGATTCAGCACTTTGATAGAACCACTGAAAAGCCTTTGTAGTGAGCCTCATAAGGTAACTAAGGATACAGGCACTAATAAGTACAGTGAAACAAAAGCAAAATTGCAAGACAGACATGGAGAACTCTGATGATTCTATTGGTGAGCGTTTGAAAGGGGCTAGAAAGCTTCTAAAATCATGGGTTGTGTAATAAAATGTAGAGTGAAGACCTAGAAATATATCCGTACTGATACAGAAGATGAGCAAAGTGACCAGAAAGTCCAACTGGAATGGGAAGCGTAGAAGTTGGATAGGAAGAGGGATTCTGAGAATGAAGAGGAAAATAGTTTAAAAATAGTATGTGCTTAACACTTTTAGATTCATTGCTTGTGGTGATGTAATTCAAGTCTGTATGTCTGTAGGGTAGATCGTTAAATCTGCATTAGTCATCCAGGCTCTCTTGTTGTTACCTATGGAGTAACTTGTAGGCACTTCTAGCATGAGACTGTCTCCTCCCCCAGAGACTAGATGAGTTTAGCTTTAGAAGTGTTTCCTTACCATTAGTATTAAGGGTGTCTTTATCACTAGTTTATGTGTAGCCTTTTAAATACTACTTTGTATGTACATCTGGCAACTTGAAAGTATAGACACACAAATCTAGTGTGATAATATTTTAGATTTTGTTTGAATGCTTTACATTTGTATCTCAAGAATACATCTTTGTCCTACAGATGGAATTGGAGAGCTGGCAGCAAGAACAGCCTGTGGTACTGAGAACATGGACGATGGAGTCGCCTCATAACTATGAAAATAATTGCCATGAGGTCTCAGTCTTCCTGTGTCATGGGGCAACTTACTTTGAGGTGGAATTTGATGAAAAATGTGAAACTGAAAGGAGGTAATTTGGTCTTGTGTTGTGTTAGATTCCAGTATCTACCTGCAGAGAGGCAATTCATGTTTCAATGTGCAAGGAGTACTTCCTGGGCTCCAAGCATGCCATTTCAATTTCTTCATTGTTCTGTATAATCTAGAATATGTATTTTGAGTGACTTCTCATGCTGAATGCCACTCCTGGCAAGTGTGCAGACATGCTGTTCATACAAATTTTGCTTCCTTTGGTCTTAGTCTGTTTTGTAATACTGCTGTGACCCCCACAGTTTGTGCTTGTGGGATTTATTTTGCCCTCTTTAGGCAAAACTATTGGCTTGGTTTCTCTTGGCAACATATCCAGCTACTGCTTAGTTAAGGCATATGCTAGATGTTAAAATTAGCACCCATTACCAGTTCTGAAGGACTGGGAAAGTTCTGTAGGAAAGCAGGTCTGTGTTTGCTGGAACTTGCATTGAAACATGAAGTAAATCCTTCATAGTGATGTGAAGCAATGCAGGTGTGGTTCAGAAAGATGTGACAGTTCACATGCAGTGCTTCTGAAAATCCAAAAGCAAACATTTTCCCCAAAACCTTAAAAAGTAAATTTGGAAGTAATGAATTGCAATTTTCACAGGTATGATTACCTGGAGTTTACTGATGCAAGAGGTGCAAAAACTCGTTATGATACAAAGGTTGGCACTGACAAGTGGCCTAAGGTGAGCACCTTTTACAATTCTGAACCAAGTGATATATCCAATCTCTAGGAAATTATTATGATTCTTGTGGGGAAACCTATTGTGTAAAATGATGTGTGCTTTTGTGTGTGTGTGTGTGTGTGTGTCTAGTCCCTCACAGGAGGTGAGAAAGGAAGTTTTCAGTGATGCAATTAAAGGGAGTGAATGAGTAATAATCCCTCTTTGTTGCTGTTATTGAAGGGGCAGTCAGTCAAAATGAAAAGTAATAATCGTAGAATCACAGAATTATGTTTAACTGCTGTAACTACAGGGGTAAAACTTACTTGTTGATGCTCAGCCCTCACAATTTTTTATGTTGTGAGACAACTGTAGTGCTCCCTGTGGCTAAGCTCTTTCTTCAGTGACACCTGCTTAAATGGGATGCTTCTCTATGCTTTATGGCTCTGATGTCTAAAGCTCCATCGTCTATAAAATTTATCATTAAGCTATTAAATAGAAAGTTTATCTGCTTAGTATTGTGGGTGTCTCGTTCAGATGGTGGGGGAGGTTAGATCGGTTATGGACAGAACATAATACTGAAAAACCACAGTTGCTGAAGGAAATTCATTACCCTGAAACGTCTTCTTGTCATCTACATTTGGCAAAATGACTGTTTTGTTGCTCTGTAGAAAGTGACCTTTAAGGCTGGCCCACGGCTGCAGTTTCTCTTTCACTCTGACAGCAGTAATAATGAGTGGGGCTACAAGTTTTCTGTCACTGCTTACGGCCTACCAGATGTCGCCGTTTCTTGGGGCTTGGATTTACAGCTTCTTGTGTGCCGGTTGATGGGGCGCTTGGCTTCTCGAAGTATGGCCCTGAAATCTCTCCGAGGTGAGTGCATTGAATAATAGCTCCAGAATTGTGATGCCATGTGAAGAGGAGATATAAGGTCCTTATGTTTCAAATCCCCAGCGAAAATGAAGTTCCTTTTTTGTTCCTCTCTTGGCTCAAGATGAAGCACTCCTGTTCTGTTGCTTAACAAAGCTTGGTCTTTCAGCCATACCCAGTTCTTGTGGGAAGCCTGGCTGCTCTGAGAGCACCTCTGTGACTTCTCTAACCTTCAGAAACCAATGTTAGGAAAACATGGGCACCTGGAAGTTATCATACTAAACAGAATTACATTGATGAAGTAAGATGAGAGTTTGCCCAAACTTCTCTTCTTCCAGTTCTTTTTATCTTTAAAAATTGTTCCCTAGTGCTGTGGCCTGTCCACCCCCTTACTGGTGGTGTGAATGTGGAGCCAGCAAACCAAAACAATATACAAAGCTTAGAATACAGATGATTTCAAAAGTTTCGTCTGAACATTTGGTATTCATTTTAATTTGGATGCACCAGTTAAGTTTGGCTAATCCCAGAAGTTAAGTAAATTTAGGATTTGGGCCACTGAAGACAAAAAACCAAATACAAAATAGGAGATGAGTGCCATAAGAAATTGAAAAAAAAAAGTGAGATGTTGGTTTTTAATTTCAAACCCAGGACACTTCCATGTAGCTTCCTGAATCTGAAGTCATTCACCACTTGGAAAAAGCTTAAACAAGGTTAAAGAGTTCTTGCTGCAATCAGGTGCTCAGTGCTTAACTTGGAAAAGCAGGCAGGTACTTAGCTGTAGGTTTTGGGAACTCATCGGAGAATCAACCAGGTTGTAAAAGACCTTTAAGATCCTTAAGTCCAACCGTTCTGCAGCACTGCCAAGGCTATTGCTAACCCACGTCACTGAGGGCCTCATGTGCACTGTTTGCAAATGCTTCTGGGGATGGTGATTCCACTGCCCTGGGCAGCCTGCTCCAATGCCTGAGCGCCCTTTCAGTGAAGACATTATTCCTAATATCCAGTCTAACCCTCCCCTGGAGCAGCTTGAGGCCATTTCATCTTGTCCCATCACTTCCTTGGGAGAAGAGGCCAGCCACCTCCTGACTGAAGTTTTCTTATCATAGAATATTTTCTTCCTTTCTTAATATGAGCATGCTCATACAGCAGATTATTATGTCTTTTGTAGGACAAAAAGCTTTTAAACTTACTTGCAAACAGGGAAATTTCTGTGGTTTTAAGTACAGTGAAAATGTTTCATTTAAAGCTCTTCCATAATGTAACAGCCTGTCACTGCAAGATAAAAAATTGATGCTATCATTATAGCATTAAAGAAAGACTGCATCAGTTTTCTGCATCACATTAGAGAAACAGAATATAGTTAAATTACTTGTTCAGTATATTAGCATTACTTTTTGTCTCCCTACTGCATATTTAACATTTATTGTTTTCATCAATCTGTAAAAATGAACAAAAATATTTAAGTGATGTGTGCGTGTTCTGAATTTCTTGCAGAACTAGGTAGTGAAGCAGATTTGCCTCCTTTGAAAGTAACAGCAGTCCTTAATTCTCCTCTGTGGAAACCTGTGTTCAGGCATCAGATGTGTCCTGAGGCGCTCCTGGGAGCCAGTCAAAGCAGTAGGCTGCACCAAGATAAAAAAGAGGTACTTGCACCCCTGCTTTTGTTTCACTAGCATGAAATTCCTGTGTATCACACAGCTTCATTCAGACTTAGTTGCCATGTTCTTGTGCTGAAGTTGTCGTCACTTGCGCTGTTTTATTCCAGTATCAAGGAGGAAAGAAACTGTTGTTCAGTGCCCTTTATTAGTTGCCATTTTCACAGCATGGTTTGGATTCAAAGATCATCTAATTCACCACCTGTGCCTTGCTTGGGGACGTCTTTTGTTAGATCAGGTTTCTCAACTGCAGTAGATGCACTGCAAGATGATCTAACTGTAGAAATGGGCTGCAACAATTCTCAGGTGTTATTAAAGTAAATGTTTTCTATCGTTCTTTCCAGGCTGTGAGCTCTCATCAAGATGACTGCCGTAACTTTCTTATCGACTTTGCAAAATCAGATCCTGCCCAGGACTTCAGTGGGCAAAAATCTGAACTTTTCAAAGGATTTACACAGGCATGTAAAAAACAGACCCCAAAGACAGATATAGTTGCTGGTTCTACTGTTGATCAAGCTGTGAACTCAACATTTGCTGCTTTGGTGTATCTCACTCCAGATTTATATGAGAAGCTTCAAAAATATGGTAACTCTAATATTATTAGACTATCTTAATAATTAGGACTTAAAGTTTGCAAAAGGCTATCTTATAGCTCAGTTTATAGACTGTGAAAAATCAGTTTAGTGTGACAATTTCTAAACAGATTCACAGTATAAATTCATCATTTAAGTAGACTAGGTAAGCCTTACCTCTAGAGTATTTAGTCTTTATTCATACATGCTTTTACCTTCAGAGCTCTGTCCAAATGTTAATAACCACCATAAGCTATTACCAGTACTTGTAAGGATATACCTAAAGAGAGTAGTGATGTTCTTTTGGGGTTTTAATTCAGAACAATGTGGTTTCCAGTGGTTAGAGATTTAGATATAATTTTCCACTCTTACTGTACCTTTCCTAAAAAGCCACCACCAACTTATATATGTTTTTAAATGTTTGGGGTGGAGGAAGGAGGTGTGAATTACCTCCCGAAATGTTACAGTGTGGAAACTCACCTTGGTATCCTCAATGTTAAATAGATGTCTTTATATACATGCATGATGTCTGTTGTATTACAACTGATAGATTTTTCAGTAGGCAAAATGAACAACTGTTTAACTTAACAGCACCCTTCCATTAAGCTTATCGATATGTTTGAAGTGTTGGATAATAAGGTGGTACTTGGTTTTGAAAGGTTTCATTTTAGGCTTTCACTTTCTGTCACAACTTTGAAGCTGAACAGCTTACATGTTGAGCTATAAAATTATGGGTGAAAATGATTGACACAAAGACTGACTTGATGACTAAAGTGGTTATTGCCTTTAGTCATTTTGTCTGTGTCTGACAATTGATATAATTTCTGAGTAAGACTGAAAACTCTGATAGCTCAGGAAAATATTAGTGAATGGAAAAGACACCCAGCCTACTATTATGTTAATAGCTTTATCTGTCAGTCTTGCTGGGCCAGGCTGAGTTCAGGGCCCGTGTTCACCTATGCCATATGAATTATGTACAAGTGATGCTGGAAAGAAGGGGGAAATAGGAGAGGAAAGTCACTGAATAGGAATGTCTTTTTCTGCATAGTCATTGTCAGGCCACTTTTGATAGAAATTTGTTTAGTCAGCTCTTTAATTTTTATTAATTCATCTTTCTAGAAATTCATAGCATAAAATAGACAAAAAAGCCTGGTAACTAAATGCATCTATAGAGCTTTAAGTTAATACTAACATTTCTTGATTATACTGAGATCACTTTACGTTAGTAACATTTGTGTATATAGGAAGAGGTTTATATTCTCCATGACTGTAGGCATCAGTTTTGGGAAGAGAAGAGAAAGATGTTCGTAATTTAACTCTGCAAATAACTCTGTCAAGGTGTAGTTCATGTATTTAAGGCATATGAAAGTTGGCAGGTTTTATTCCTTATTTTTCTTACAGGCATAACTCCAAGTATTGACTAAGAGACAAAGGAAAGGCTCTAGCATAATTTTAATTAAGTAGTCAGGTTGTGTAAAACTGGAGCTGTACATAAACAGGACTCTTCTTTCTCTCATTTCCAGTCAACAGTGGAGGCAAGGTGCCTTTGAGCTATGAGTTTGCACAAGTGTATTCCCTGGCTGATTCAATTAGAATATGGATGGTAAGATCACTCAGGGGGATATCTATTGATGTTATTTACCTTAATGTTTTACAATGCAGTGTTAAGGAGTAGGGTGGGACCATGTTTTCTTTCAGTGATTCTGGGTCAGCTGTTTTCACTCAGGAAGAACATATATTCACTTCTGAACTGTGAACTTAAACATTTAAATGCATTCTTACACTTCCCTCCTTCTGTCAGTCCCAAATGTGTCATCATGTGTACTTTGGACTGAATTTGGCTCAAAACCAGTTAAACTTGAGCTCTTTTTCAGCAAGAATGTGTGTTGTTAATTAGGAAGATTCTTACTAGCAGTTGGAGTTTGTTTGAGGTGTAGCATCGAAGGAAATCAGTCTTAAGCGTAATTCTCCCAGTGATGCAGTGCTAACAGAAAAGGAAATAGTTGCTTCTTTGACAAGCAAGTAACTGGCTTCAGTTCAGAGTATATTTTCTGCATGTAATTTTCCTTGAAACATAAGCCTTATGTCAAGAGGTGGTGTGATCAGCTCTCACAACGTGGTGAGAGGTGTCTGTGTCATCTGCTGCAGCTGTGGAGAGCCAGAATTCATTTAGATTTCACTAGTCTGCAGGAGATTCTAAATGTTAATAACTGTGTGCTTCTCAAGAGCAGCTAATTCAGTTTATGGCCTGTTTTTCTGCTACTCTTGTGAGCCCTTCAGATGTGGGCCAGTCAAATTAACTGCTCTAGTATCTTGTGATCTCCTCTTTCCTGCCTGCAAGAATTCCTGACAGCTTGATACACTAGAGATGCAATGAGTGCAGGTTCATGTAAAGATGAGTAACTACATCATACCTGTTGCATGATGGGTGGTGTTAGCATCTGACAGCACTCCCTAGTTACATGACATAATGCTTTTGGAGAATCTCATCTCATGACTGTGTATCTTTTCCTGGGTGGTGGGGTTAAAGGGGAAGCCTTTTTTCTTCTTGGAGGGCTGATGCACATCCAGTCACAAGGTGAGGAAGGGTCTTGGCCTATAAACCTTGAGCATCTTGGTATAAGGCTGTGTTATTTGCCCTGGTAGTTTCTGTACTGCTCTTTTGAGAATAATGGATTTTTAGTTCTGCAGTAGGTAGTAGTAAATACTGTCATCTGTTCTTGAGATTAACTTCTTTTAATGTGATGCAGTTTTCATACTGCCTTGCTGTATGATATACAGGGGGTGACATATTTTTAACTGTTTTAACATCCTGTCTGCAGTTGGAAATGAAGCAGAAATCCCTGATGGGTAGGGGAAATGATTTTGAGGAGAAGCAGAGTACAGAAGCAAGTGAGGTGAACCCAGAGACTCTTGGTAAGTGTTGCTTTTCCCAATGTATAATCATTCCAGGTGGAGTAAATCATTGCCTTGGGAGTCTTCAACATTATTTTTGGTGTAAAAGGTACATTAGCAACTGAGGTTACTTTTTAATACCTTAAGAGATGGTTCATATAATGTAAACTGGTTTATCTGGGATTGGGTTCTGCTGTTCTTTGCAGAAAATAGTACATGAGAAAGTTCTACAGAGAGTAACCTCTCACTTGGATCACCTGGTTCTGAACTTATGTTCATCTATTTGTGTAGATACTTATTACTGTAATTAACTGATGTCAGAATAGCAGCTAGCTGTTATCAGAATAAGATGTGTTCTCACTACTGTGTGCTTGGTATAGTTCAGTGTGATTATTCAAATTGAGCATTTGGAAGTCAAAAATTTAAGTAGCTGATAGTGTCTTGATCAATATAACAAGAAAACCAGTGTTTTCTAGCTGTCTTGGCTCAGAAAGACTCCAATAAATCACTTTCTCCCTAAGCAGAGGATAGCAAGTTTGGCATTTCGTTGTCATGGTTGTAACTCTTCCAATTTTTATGGTGCAGCAAAACTTTGTATGCAGAAGAGCCTTTTATTACTGAATTTTTTGCCTGTAAGAGCAAAGACGAAAGATTCTGCATCAGACAGTTTGGAAGCCCAAGACATTGATGATATCCAACATTATGTTGGTGATAAATGCCAAAGAAAAGGTTCTTTTGTGGACATGGACTTTCAGGCAGCACATTCATTGTCATCCGATGGAGTAACTCCTGCTGTTTCAAAAGAAGGGAGCCAAATGACACTATCTGATACAAAGATGGAACAACTTCCAGACTCCCTCCAAACAGAAGCAGCATCTGCAATTCATAGTAAGCCTGTTGAAAGTACAGTTTCACAGCAAGAAGATACATCATCACCTCCTTCCACTCCTACACGAAAGTCTCAGTTCAGCCGTGGAAGACTAAGGCTGCTGTCTTTCCGATCAATGGAAGAGCCAAGACCTGTGCCAACTGTGAAGGCGAAATACCCCATATTGAAAAACATATTAGACTTTATTAAGGATCAATCCCTCTCCCATGAAAGGTAAGCAAATTGAAAATGTTGCCAATTACAAAATGCAGAAACTTGTCTTCACACCTCTTTAAAGACACACTTTAGCTGCAAGATAGCGTTGAAAAGTAGTTTTTACATGAATATATTGTTTTTATGTTCAGTTACTCAGAACCACGTAGGGGCTCATAGAGGGTAGTATTTCCTTGGATTCACTTCTGCATGTAGAACTTCAGAATGGAAAAAATAAGTACTTGGCAATTTATTGTCTTGCTTCCGGAGATCTGTTGACAGTGGCATTCTGCTTTTTGTCTACAAACACCAAAGACATGGTACATCAGTGCTCGCAGTCCTCAGTACCAAATACAGAATAGTTGCACCTCTCATTAAATTACCCGGTATTCTGAAAATGTAAATCAAAAAGGTTTCCAATTCTCAGCTTGTTTGGTTTAGGCTCTAAAACTTGGACTGGTGCAGGAAGCATTGGGTTCTGTTTGAAGCTTTATCACTCCAACTGTAATATACCACTACTGCAATACATCTGAATATTTGGATACCAGTCTCTTGTTTAATTAGTCAAGCACTTCTTGAATTGTGAGGTTTTTGGGTTAATTTAAACACAATGTTTTGAAGTCCTCATGGATGTTTTTTGTTTTTCTTAGTGTTTTAAAGGTTCTTGCCTTGAGAAAATCCCAAGGGCAGAATATTATGGAAGTGCTCAAGACAATCCGCCAGTGCCTAGACTCCCTTGGGCAGCCACACTGTTTTCATCCACCATGTGTACTTTTTCTCTTAGAACTTCTAGCCTGCCAGAAAGATTTTACAAAGTAAGTAAATATTTAGTCAAGTCTCAGCCATGTGATTTAATGTTTTAGTGTTTGCGTTCTCCTAGTCCTGTATATTGAAAACCATAGAAAGTTACTGCTTTTTAATCCATATGGATAATAACAATATAACCTGATGATTAGTTTTTAGGCTACTATGCATATTTTGCATGCTTCACTTAAATATAATTTTCAAGTAGGACATAGTTTTACAGCTCTTCATGTTGGTAGGTATCATGTGGTTGAATCACAATGCACATACCTAGAAACACCTTTTAAATTCCAATCGGTTCACACCGAACTCAGATTGTAGCGTCTTCAGTTATTGCTTTAGTTTAAGTTCCTGTCTGTTTTCAGATTGGTTTCTTTCTTGCCCAGTAAAGCTGTAGTGGTCGAATCCATTTAACTTACAATTACTTACATAGCATTGCATCTTCATATTTTTTGTGAGCTTACTTTGTAAATCAAGATAATGCCTATCTGGTGAAAAACTAGAGTCTAACAATGGCAGATGTTTTATATTGTCAAGCATTTGATTATTTATGAGTTTTCATAACTTTAGATGTGATACCTGTACAAGAGAAATGTTTTTGTGGGGTGGTGTATTTCACTCGTGTGCCAGAGGCTGAGGTGATGGACCTGCAAGCCGAGGTCTGCAGTGCTGTTAGCTATGTACCAGTTACAGGACATGCACATACATGCAGGAAAAGGAGGCAAAAAGCATCATGTTGATTATATGCATGTGCAGTTGGTTGTTTTGTTTTGGTTTTTAAGTAAGGAAAGGTAATTTGGAAGGTTTTTTCAACTAGAAGGCATTGTCTCAAAGCAGGAGCTGTTCTGGTTTGTGAATTGGGTCCGATTTCTATTGTGTGTCTGGACAGTGCTGTCAGAACTCTGTCAGGTGGCCTCTTGCTTGTTGAGAGCTTTTTATGGTCATCTTGCAGTGCACTGATTTCTTTTAAGATCTGGATTAGCTTTTTAAAAGCACCTTTTTTAATTTGAAGGAATATTCTATCATTAGTGCCACCAGCATGTTCTCTGCCTGTTCTGTTTCTTGATTCCTGTTACAGGATTCTTTTATTCACTTTGAAAGTGATAGACTGCATTGTAAACCAAACTAACATCCTTCCCACTGTGTTTGAAAGATTGCCTGTTTGTAATGTTTGCACAAAGCATGCTACCTAAAAATGTAACGGCAAAATCTAGACTGCTAAACTGACTCTTCAATTTCTAGCTACTTTGGAAACTTGGAAGGATGTGGTGCTGAGCTACACAAAGAGATTCGAGAGTCCTACTACCAGCTTGTTTTGTTCCTGGTAAATTCTGTGAAGGGATTTAGTACTATCAATGACAGGTACAGTACATTGCTTCCATTACTTTATGATTCTTTTTTTCTGTTTTTCCTCACCTCTTCCCTTCTCATTTGTCACTGTTCAGTGCCTCAATTTTGTCTGTACTTGGCTTATTTACAGAACCAAAGAAGGAGCCTTGATCTTGTGATCAGAAATGCCAAGTTAGCTTTTTATTACTACGGTGCAGGAAAGCACAATAAATTAATCAATGCTAAAACCTTGACTTAATGCATTTTGGATTTCTAATTCTGCAGTGTGTTTCTGAAGCTCAGTATTAAAATACTAGAAATAGCAAATTTATTGTGGAATACGTGGGCAAGAATAATGCCACAATAAATACAGCAATTCTGCAGCCATGCTTTAATGTTAAAGCTCATGTTTTGAAAACATTCTGGTTAGAATTTGGGGGATTGTTAGCCAAGTGTCCTAGAGAAATGAGAGTTTTGTGACTACAGTGTCAGTCTCTCTGCCAATAGCTCCCAAGTCCTTTGAGTTTCAACTGAGCATGGCAAAGGTTTCAAAGAGAACAAGTTCCTGCAAATACCAAGAAAATGTACTGCAGACAAGAGACAAACCCTCTTGCTAATGCTTGGGCAATAGTGTAAGCTCTTTCTCAACTGAATCTGTAAAGGATACTGTCCTTATTTCAAATTACATTGACAATGCTTCTTGCTAAATTGTCTTGCATTAATAAACCTGAGTTTCTGCCATGCAGTTAATTTAATGCAGAGTGAAGCCTGGAAATCAGTGTACTGACAAACATGCTATTTCAGCTTTAGGTTAGAGCTCTCATGATATATTGTCTTGTATTTTTATTTAGATCATTGCTTCCTGCCTTATCATGTGTGCAGACAACTCTCCTTCACCTTTTGGATATGAGTTGGGAACCAAGTGATCTTTCCTTCTTTGTTGAGATTCAGTTACCACAGCTGCTTATGACTACATCACAAGAAAACATAAGTATTCATGACAGCGTCATTTGGTGAGTCAGGAAGAATGCAGCTTTCACATGGTGCTATCTATTGATACTGTTTTTACCATGAAAGGCTGCTGAACTTTGTGCTGGAACAAGCAGTAAAAGTGCTACTAACAAGTATGGCATAATTCTGGGCAGGATCCAAGGGCTAAACTGAAGTATTTGAATTTCTTTTTCAGCATTGCTAGTGCAAAAAATACTAATATTGTATCTTTAACCTGATTACTGCTGGAACGCTTCTCTTGTTAGCAGTGTAGCATGAGGTGGATAATGCTGTTTCATGTCCTGATAAACATCAGACGTTTTTAACCTGCACATTGTGATTTTATAGTAGTTGTACTTCTTATACCTGAGGAATGTGAAGGCCCAAAAGCTTTTTCATTGTCGCATCTGATCTGCCAGCGTTGCCAGAAGCAGTTTTGGAAGTGTAGATTTTTCTGATTTTGCATTATGGTTCTCCGTATGTATTCAAGAACTTGTCACAGAGGCAAGAAGCAGGTGTCATATGGTCATTTATAAACCAAGTGAACTGGAATTCTCACCATTCTGTTTTCATTAGCATGTTATGGCACTCTGTTCTTTTAAAAAAATCCCCTGAGTATCCCAAGTTACATTAGAGGGAAGCCTGACTGCATTCAAACTGAATTTTGAGCTTGCTTTTCTTTCAGTCAGTGGAGTGAAGAAGATGAAATTGCAGACTACAAGCAAAACTGTGAGTGGATGGATGAATGTCAGGATGTGATGTTTGAGACCTGGTATGAAAAGATAGCTCAAGCTGACCCAGAGAAGCAGAGAAAGGTGAGTTTATGGTTTGTTTATCTGTAGAAGGGCTAGATAGACTTAGAAAAGCCTAAAGGAGAGAAAGGAATCTGGCTTAAATTGCTTTTTCATTATTTGGATCCCTAGCTCCCAGTAGGCCTTCAAAAGTCTAATATGATGAGAAGATCCCCATCCTTTCTTGGCAGGGGAAGTGTTCTGCTTTCTGTCTAGAAAGAGTTTTCTCAAAGTCAGAAAATAATACTCAAACTGTGTCCATTTATTACTCTAGATGCACATGTTTGTAGCTCGTTACTGTGACCTCTTAAATGTGGACATATCCTGTGATGGCTGTGATGAAATTGCGCCATGGCATCGCTACCGCTGTCTGCAATGCAATGACATGGATCTGTGTAAAACTTGTTTTCTTGGTAAGAATCATTAAAAAACCCTCAAAACCCCATCCCCAAAGGCAAAAGAATGTCTTCTAAATTCTACATAAAGTGAAAGACTTTTGCTGGATGCTTTAGAAATGTTAAGAAATGTGAACTTGCAGTAAAGAAAGATCCTTTGTAAAAAAGGATTTACAGGGAAATCTTGAAACGCTTCTTTACAGGTGGAGTTAAACCTGAAGGACATGAGGATGACCATGAAATGGTTAACATGGAGTATGCCTGCGATCACTGTCAAGGAGTTATCATAGGTCGGAGAATGAACTGCAATGTGTGTGATGACTTTGACCTTTGCTATGGATGCTATTCTGCAAAGAAATACTCTGACAGGTATTTAAATACATTATTTTGTTTCCCTCACTTGGCAGAAAAGCAGTAATTAGCAGCTAAGTACAATTGGCCATTCTCATGTTGCTTCCTACAAGGTTGTGTCTGACACCAGAGCTTCTTGGTGTTCTTTGGGCAAAACTTTCTGCAGTTTGGATACCTGCCCCAGCCTCTGAAGAGCTCAGTAGCAGTTGTTTTCTAGCCATGAATGTGAAAGCTGCAAAATGAAAGCTTGAATGATAGAAGAAATGAGCGCTGCTGTGGTTAGACAGCATAGGTTTCAGTACTTGACACCAAAGATCTTAGAAAAACAGGTCTGCAGTGGGAATTTCTGGAATATTTGGGTTTTTCATACCTTCCTGTAAAGGTGTTGTGTCTTATTAACTGCATGGATTAACAAGAAAGCAGCTGTGTTTCAACATGTACCTTCTTCTTTCAGTCACTTGCCCACTCACAGCATCACAGTGTATCCCATGGTGACTATTCGCATCAGTGACCGGCAGAGGCTCATCCAGCCATATATCCACAATTATTCCTGGCTGTTGTTTGCAGCTTTGACCCTCTACAGTGCAGATCTGGCAAATGGGGGGGAAGTAGAAGGAGAGAAACTGGATCCACAGGTCCTCAGTCATGCCAGAGTTGTGCAACATCAGTGCATACAGCTCATTGGAGACTGCTTGATGAAAGCCCAGCATGGAAAAGGTGAGTCAGCTCCTCCTTCACCGAAACAATAGTTTCTAGTAAGTGTCAGAAAAGTGATTACTCACTTTGAAGCTTCCAAAGGAAAGGGGAAGCTACTGTGTACTTCATTGAGAATAACTGTTCATGTAGAAAGCAAATGTAGAACAAGTGTCGTTCAGGGTCATTGGAACATGGAAAATAGGGTGCTTGAGAAAATTACTTTTATGCTTCCATAAATATTGAAGACAGCTTGGCAACTCTTGGGTTGTTTTTTCCATCTTAGATGTTGTAAAGGGATCAATCATTACAGCTTCATGTTCTGTTACTAACGCTACTGACAACTGAAGGACTGGAAGGAAAGCAAATAACTTGGTGGAAAATGTTTTGTTTAATTTTTTGGGGTTTTGGCAAGAATTTTTTAACCTTATTTGTGGTATGAGAGAAGTTCCTGGGGATGATGTCTGTTTGTCTGGAAACAAGGATTTCTGTGAACTAAGACCTACCACAGAACATAGGGTGATACAGTAAAAACCTATGTGGAATATATCAAGTTCCAGTGGTTACTGGTCAGTTGTTGGTTTTTTTTGAGCAGCTTTAATACAGCTGAAATACCACCACCAAATACTTGTGTGTGCTCATTATTTGATCTGTTTGTCTTTAACATACAATTTTATTGTATAAATATTTAAGTGGTCAGAAGATTAAAAGCTAAGACAAATAGAATTTCTTCCATAATTTACACTGTTGGGAAGTTTGCAGTTCATTTCAGTTCTGCTTTTTGCCTATTTTGCCTTTCAACAACTAAATACGTTTTATAACTTGCTTGCTTTCAGGTCTGAAAAATTCAGCTCTCCTCTGCATGTTACCAGAAGGTGAATCCTTCTCAGAGAATGACACTGTTTCAGTCAGTCCTCCCACAGATGGTGCTCCAAAAAGTCATACTGGTGATAAAGCAATGAAGGGAAGAGATGAGAAACCAGCAACAGGCTCTTTTATGCATTGCAATGTAAGTACCTGTTATTTCCAGAACCCCTGATATCAGTGAGGTGTGTGATCTTCAGAAGCTTAACCATCCTGTTCTGGATATGTAACTGAAATTATGGATAATGACGGCTTCATTTGTAGGTAACAGTCGGGGGCTAGGGGCAGTTCTTGGTTGGCTCATGTTTCTTATTAGACCCAGCTAATCAAAGGCACAGGTTGTCACCTTATTCTTATTGGCAACTGATTCACAAAAGCATCAGCAGGAGAGGGCAAAGATCATTCTGAAAGGGTCGTTGTTTCCCTTTGTTAGCACTGTGTAAGTAGGAGATAGACTTTTCTACAGTTTTATACTAGGTATAAAACTATTTTGTGCACAGAGATACAAGCAAAATATAGAAATGTATTTTTACTGTATGCAATTTAAGACATGTATACATCAAGCAATTGTGAACCAATAAAAGGTTTTGATATTGGAGGAAAAACATTTGTCAAATGCAGACGTCTGGCAGCTTCTGTCCATGGTTGTTTCTACACTTACTAAATTTTGTTTTAATCTTTCAGTGCCTTTGTTTTCTTTTTAGGGGAAAGGAGGTACGTGTAATGAAATCCAGTCTCCTGCAGAAGATAAAGTAGGAAAACAAGGAAGTGAAAGCAAAGCTGTCTTTGCAAATAAAGCTGTTTTGAGACAAGAGTCAGGCTTTTCTGTGGAGGATAATGTTTCTCCAACAGGTAAGTGTTATTTCTCATTTTCCCCGTCACAGAAATATCCATTCATGTGCAAAGCAGACAGCTGTATTTTTATTCCTAACCTGTTTTTGTGTATTTGCAAATGTCTTTAATGCAAGAGAGCTGTCTGCTTTGTAAAACTTGCCAAGCACACTGCTTGGAACAGCCTTGTAGTGGGTTTAGAGGATTCTAGAAATCAGAGTAGAATTCCACTGATTCATATTCACATACAGAGATAATAGTTTCTGTTGGTCAAACGCAATACTTGTGTATTCTTACTGAAACTGGAAATCAAGTATTTTGTTCCATTAAAGACTAGTATTGTAAGAGTAATGGTAGGTCCTTTTTAACTATCTGTAGTACTGTCCTTTATATGTTTTTAATAGATGGTTTAAATCTCTTTACCTATCTTTTACACACTTTTATGAAAGATTTGCTTTTCAAATTTTAATATTTTAAAGGGCTTTTTTTGTAATCCTCAAACTGTTAAAATTAAGCTATCACTTTTTAACAGTATTTTAATGTCATTTTGGATTCTTCTGTTTTAATCTAAAATGCAGATGAGAGCCTCATGGAGGATTCAGTCCAGAAGCAAGCAGAGAAGGTTTTAATACCTAGCCAGGAACAAGTTTTTGCTGAATGCTCTCAGAAGAGGATTCTAGGATTGCTGGCGGCTATGTTACCACCTTTCAAATCAGTTAGTTCTTTCTACATTCAGTCTGTGGCACAAATAACATGAATAAAATTCATAGCAAATTAAATGTAGGAGGTGGGCTCTTGTTTGCATGTTATAAAATGCAAATCAGAATGTCTTAGGATGCTTCACATTACTAAGGGGTGTAAGGGCTTGTTCCTGGGTGGAGGGAGGGGTAGGGAATTCTGACTGTAAAGCAGTCTGTCTTAACTTGTTCAACACCAGCAAAGTTTAAATCATCAAGTTTACATGTCAGGTCAACTTCAGCAGGTCAACAACTGAAGTAGGAACCTAGTTTCTCATTTCCTTTTGTCCCATTTGAAAGAGCATTAGAACAGAAACATTTGCATATGCTATGACTTTGACTAAAAACCGTGTTTTCTTTACCTGCCTTAATGATATTTTTCTTTTTCTGTAGGGCTCCACAATGTCTTTGATTAACCTGGAACAGATACTTCCACTGATGTTTCAGGTTGTAATCTCAAACGCTGGCCACCTAAATGAAACATACCATCTAACACTGGGACTTCTGGGCCAGTTAATCCTGAGACTTATGCCTGCAGAAGTGGATGCTGCAGTGGCTAAAGTCCTTTCAGCCAAACATAACTTGTTTGCTGCGGGAGATGGGGCTGCAGTACCAGAAGGCTGGAAGACAACTCATCTTCTGTTCAGTCTGGGAGCTGTGTGTTTAGACAGGTGCTTTTACTTTAAGCCTATTAGTTGCTCTCTCATGACTAATACTAATTTGCTTTCATGTGTGCCTCATGTATAGAAGCTTTTTAATGGAAAGCCAATTAAACCTGTACTCTGTGGAAAGGGCTTAGCATCTGCAGGCCTTGGTGCAGTGGGACCCTATTAATTTACTTCCAAAAGAAGGAAATTTGTTGAATAGTAGCTTAATTTCCTGTGCTTGCCTATATAGCATGTTATGGTGGAAGAAGTAATGTTTGGAAACTTCCAAGGAAAACCAAAATTCAGTCTTATCTAATTGTTTAATGACATTCTTTCCCATTGAATACTTATTTCTTGTGTAACTTGGGGAAGGAGGAGAGGTGTGCCATGTGGTAACTATAACTGGTGGTGTGTTCAGGATCTGGCCCTTTTTATGTAAGTATTTTAGAGAGATTTTTGTATCCTAAACTTGCACTGGAAACAGCAAGGAGGGGCAGAGCAGATGTTCTATTCTGAAGGTCTTGACAAAGCTCTGCATTCTAAGATTAATGTCATATACATAGGAAATAAACCACTTGCTTGTTGTGCAATGAGAAACTTCTGAGCTCTAAACTAAAATTGGGAATTAAGGGTGACAGTGTTCAGGCACACCCTGATTTGGGGCTGTGAACCCTTTAAGAAAACAGAGTGCTATTTATGCTCTAGTGATGAGAATCAAAACAGAAGTCGTGTCAGCTGACATGAAAGCTGCAGATGCTTGGAAAAACACATAATGGTATGAAAGCTACAGCTATGACATTAACAGTTCTATGGTGTCTTGAGGAAAAATAGTTTCAGGTAAGTCTGTAGTCTGCCCTCCTAATACAGACTGCTCTTGTTTTCCAGTCGTGTAGGTCTGGACTGGGCAAGCTCCATGGCAGATATTCTTCGATCTTTGAACTCTTCTGCTCAGTGGCATGATGTGATAGCTGCTTTCACTGACCATTGCATTAAGCAACTGCCCTTTCAGCTAAAGCACACCAATATCTTCACTTTACTGGTGCTGGTTGGGTTTCCTGAGGTAAGTAGCCTATTGATACTAGAGGAAACAAAATTGTTTAGAGCTTTTATTTCTAAGTACTGTGGATTTCATCAGCTGGGGACATCCATTATAAAGTGTCAAAACGTGGTGTATGTCAAGAGTTCCCATCTTCCCACTTGTGCACAATTCATGTTTATCTAATGAAGAATGATGTAACTGGTTTTGCCTTGCATTTCTTTGCTGATTAGAACTACCAGGAGAAAGCCAGCCTAGTGCATTTGAGTATCAAAAAAGGACTTTTTGTACAAGCAAACCAACCTGATCTCACTCTCGCTCATCATAACTCTGATATATTGCCTATGTAGTATTAAGCTGGTTGTTGTAGGCAGTTATTTCTTTTTTTTTTTTATAGAAGTGAACTACCATTTTCTGAAGACCAGCAAATACCTGGCAATAAGCAGGTTGTTCAGCTAAAAAATACAATAGCAAGTATAAGCAATATGTAACCAATATAAAAGGTTGACTGTATTTACAAATAAGTAGTCCAAATTATAACTGAAACTTCTACTGCAATTTTAGGTGCTGTGTATGGGGACTCGTTCTGTGTACATGGATAATGCAAATGAGCCTCACAACGTGATCATTCTGAAGCATTTCACTGAGAAGAACAGAGCAGTTGTAGTAGACATCAGAACCCGAAAGAGGAAAACAGGTTCTGTGACATTTTTATTTTTATCAAAGAATCACAGAGTACTTCCTTACAGTTTCTTATGGATACCCAAACACATATTTTAACTAGGCCACTTTGTGCAGGTCTGCAGAGTTTGAATTCCATTATTAGTAAGTCACCTGGTTTTCTGCTTGTAGGTTCAACCAAATAGTGAAGCTTCTGCAGTAAAGATTACAGAGACTCCTTTTCTTTTTAAAACTCTGACATGTATTTTTATTCAGAAAGGATTTAGCACACTGTTGAGATCATTTTATTACTTGAGAAAGCTCAGAAATAGGTTTTTACTAAGCAGTTGTTTCTGTTTTGAGGTGTGAGGTGTGTTTGCTGCTTGTGTCTTACCCCTTACAAACACATGCTTAATGTTTTAAAACGATTGCAAATGTAGAAGACCTACATGCTGCTTCTTTGTAGTTGGGTGCTGCTATATAAAGGTACCCAGAGTGTGAATGTTTTGGGGATAGTCCATTTAGTTCTTCCAAAATTTCTCTGCATTTTTATGAAGTGCCTGTTTCCACTGTGAGCAAGATGTGCGGCAAACTAGCAAATGAAGAGTAAGACCAAACACAAACATACCCATGATCACTTGGTTGCTCCTGAAATTATGCTGTGTTGGCTGCCTTTCCCTGGCTTTGTAAAAAAGGACAGGCCAACTTCTTTACTCATGTGCTTTGTGGCATGTCAGGGATCTTTTCTGCTTCCCTCCTGTCTGGAAGAACTTTTCAAAACAATTTGGATACTTCTAAAATTTGAAACAAAAATGGAAGCTACATGGTGTGAAATAGTGTATACTCTAGGAAATGTGTCTGGGGAACTAACAATAATCCATTTTAGGGCACATCAGTGCATTGGCTAGAAAACGCCAAAACCACGAAGCTAGATGCTGCTTCCCGAGTCTCTTTTGCTGTACCATGGAGAACTTTTCCTGTATTTCGCATAAACATTTAACATATAACAAATCAGTTGGATTTCTAGGAGTGAGAGGTTGCAACTTTGGCATACATGACCTAATACTGTAAAGTTAAAGCAAAGGTTGTCCTAAGATTTGGTTACTGAAGTTCTTCAAAAGGTACTTGGAAAAATCAAGAGACTAAACTGCTTCTTGATATTGAAGAAGTATTTGAATATAAAAGCCTTTTGGTTGGTTGGTTGGTTTGTTACTATTGGCATTCTAAAACAGTAAGATTAGTAAGATTAATTTCATCATTATCAATTGCAGGTCAGAACTTCCCCCATTTTAATTGTAAAATACAACCTGTGTTGCTTTGTATGCTGTGCTGTGTATGTGCAAATATATGCAATCAGCGGTTGCAGAAGTTACCTAGGATTTTCTTTAAACTTGTACTGAAAAGTGTTTTTGTTACTGTTAGTGAATGTGGGATAATTTTAGTGCAAGACTATCATTAGAATGTACTTCATGTATGAATCATGTTCATGTCTTGGCCTACTCATATCCACTGGTAAGAGATGATTTCACATTTTAAGATTAACCTAGTGACTTGTGTTTTCTCTCCCTTGCAGTGAAAGACTATCAGTTGATTCAGAAATGTGAACAAGAGGGCAGTGATTCCCAGACCCAGCTGAGACAGTACCTCCAGCACTTTGTTCTTATATCCACGCACCTTCTGCAAACCAGCATGGACAGTAGCTATGCTGAGGCAGTGGAAGCAACTTGGGTCTTGTCGCTTGCTCTAAAGGGGCTTTACAGAACACTTAAGGTATCTTTTGCCTGACACATAGAATATAATAGATAAAGTTTGTATTCTACCCCTGTGTACAGAAACTTGGGTATTGACTAAGCAAGTTGGGGAACTAATGCAGGCTCATTGCTCTCATAGCTGGCTCCTTTTATCCCTGTCTATAGGGGACTGAAAATGTTGCTAGGCTTTAAAGAGCATTCGTGAGTCTTGTTGAGAGTTGGATCACTTCCTCTGTGGGGGCTAACCACCGTGAAAGCTAAAGAAGAGATTTTATAGAGATAGATAACACTTTGTGGAGTGAAGCCACTTCTTTTCTTACTCCTGAAGTATTTGAAGGGACTCTGGTTTTTTGGACTGCCAAGGCTAAAACAGATATCCAGTAACTACTCTGTATGTGTCATACATGATACTCTCAAGGTATTTGAAGTGGGAATTGTATTTTGGGGTTTCTTTTAGGGAAATAAGAGAAAATTTCCTAATGTAGTTCATTTGGGCAGGAAACTTACCTGAGGCTGTGCGATAAGGTATTGTGATGCACTGTTCCCTTTTTATTTGTGTGTGTCTGTATGTGTAGATTCATGGCTTTAAGGAAGTTCAAGCTGCCTTTCTTCAGTCTGGTTTACTCAAGCTTCTAGTGAAAAAATGTAGCAAAGGAACTGGCTTCAGTAAGACCTGGCTTCTCAGAGACTTGGAGGTAAGAAAAGTTAGGTTTGTAAAATGTCAGGCTTCACACAGTGGCATGAAAGGTGATACCCGTGCACTTCCCTTTTGTGAAGAGTCTTGAATATTTCTGGTTAGTCTTTAAAAAATGTTCACTGAACTGTATCACTGAATTTGCCTTCCTCTGTCCATCATAATTGTGTACATAATAGTCTAGCTTCAGTAAAGCAGGAGTTGATTTAAGTTCATTTGATTGTATTTGAAAGAAATTTGCAAGATGAGGCATGAATCACTGGGGTTCTTCTGCATTTTATTTAGACTGTTCTTGAAAATTTCATTCTTCAATTTAAAAAATAGTAATTAATCTTGAAGAAAACCATCACTCACGTTACTCACTGATGTGTACGAGGTATTACTGCAGTGCAGCGTGGGGAGATCGATATGCATGGAGGCATGTTCTTTCTGAATGCTTGTTAATTGCTGGGAGTGTGGTTCAACTGTTAGTGATGTTTTATCACAGGCAAGAGTTGTGTGAATTCATACTTGGGATGGTAACAATGAGAATGAGAGAGAGTAAAACCCTGGAAATACTCTGAAAAGTTGCTCCAAGGGGTTGGTTCTTCCTACCTTGTGACCTGGCCAAGAACCAACCAGCCCAGACTCAAAGGTGTCCCACCTTCGTCCCCTTTGGACAGCATTGTAGCAAGTGCCTGTTCTGCCCTAAGCACTAAAATGTCTTGCCATAGTTCTGCCCATGTTATTCCTTCTGTCTCAGATTGGAGGACCAAGGAAGTAACATGATTTTCTTCCTATTAGAAGTGCTAGTGCGTGGCTGTGCTGAAGGAGAAGAGTGTGTAGGGGCATTGGTGGCTTGTGTTTAGTCACTTCTACTCTGTACTTGTTTAAGAATCCTCAAGCCTTTGATGTACTGAAATGGTTAAATAATTATTTTCTCAATTTTTTCCACTTTTGGCTGGTCACTTAAATTGTCTTTGTAGCAGCCTGGAAGGTTCAACTCATTTGTAAAGAGGGAAATAGTGAGGGGTTTGTGGTTTGGGTTTGGGTTTGGTTGGTTGTTTTTTGGTGGCATGTTGTCTTTTTTTAGGTGCTGCTGCTCTTTAGAATAGCGTGTGCTAAGCATGGTCCAAGTCTTAAAATGCTCATGTAAAATGCTGATTGCAGATACACTAATAATATCTACAGCTGTCACACCATATGCTGCCTTTTTTTCTATATAGATTTTGTCAATAATGCTGTATTCCTCAAAGAAAGAGATCAGTTCCCTGGCTGAACGTGAGCATACTGAACTGGAAGAAAGGGAACAAGATCAAGATGTGGAGCCACCCATTGTTGGTCCTGTAGATCTAGAGCAGAACAAACTTGATCCTCTGGAGGGTTTGGATGAAGCCACCAAAATATGCTTCTTGGTACTTAATTTTACCTCCTTTGACATTTCTTTGAATTTGCTGGTTGCGTAAAATATTTGGTAGTCTATATGGCTTTTTTTCTTGTAAATTTACAGAATATGGGTCTGTGATTTCAGTGTACTGTTATCTAAAGGTAATAAATTATATCTGCGGTCACGAACACTACAAAATCATTTATAAAGTTTTTTGCCAAATTGTTTTTCACTTTTACTAATCAAGATACTAAGTTCATTAATTCTCTACCCATATGATAAATATATGGGAAAATAATATCTGGGTCATCCTTAAAGAAACTCATCTTTTTCCTCTGTAATGTCATCTTTTTTTTCCTTTTTTGTCCCCTTGCTCAGATGACGCATGATGCACTCAATGCACCTCTCCATATTCTTCGAGCCATGTATGAGTTGCAGATGAAAAGAACAGATTCTTTTTTCCTGGAAGTTCAGAAGAGGTATGTGCAAGAGTGGGTCCATCCAGCAGAAAAACAAAGTTATTAGATGTGGGTGGTAACCTAAAATCTAATGGGTGCCAAATAGAAATTGTTCCAAGGGTACAATTTGGTTTTCATGTATGAAAAAGAAAGGAAATAAACTCCTACTAAGTTGTATTTATAGAAGCAAGTCATCAACCTCTGAAATATGTTGCACGTTCTTTTCAGTATGGTAACTCTCATATGAAGATCTACTATGTCTTTAAATCCTCCTAATGGAGGAAGAATGGAGAGCTTATGTGTGGCTTGTAGTAATCAAAGCATGTCCTGGAGCCACCGTGTTCTCACAGGGATGAGCAATTTTATAACATTTAAAATCTCCAGGGAAGCCAGTTAACGTGATATGATAGAAAAAGGTAGAATTTAATGACTCTTTCAAAAACAGAAGGTGGAAAGATTTAATTTCCATTTAATTGCACCAATTTAGTTTGTATTACTTTTGAAATACATTTGTGACTTTTGTTTCTTCTTTTGCCTCTTTTAAGGTTTGATGGAGATGTAATTACAACAGATGAGAGGATCCGAACACTGGCTCAGAAGTGGCAGCCCAGCAAGCGTTTGAGGCTGGAGGAACAGAGCTCAAAAGCAGTAGATACAGATATGATCATCTTACCCTGTTTGGTACGTGCATCTCTAAAAAGGAGCCGTTGTGAAATAATTTAGGCATTGAAGTAACTTCAGTCTTGTTTAGTAACTTCAAACCTGAGGTTTTCTTTTTTAATATCTGAAATAATCTGTTGTTAATGTTTTATGCCAAAAGAATAAGCACATACAAGAAGCAAGTATTTCTTCCTTAAGGAAGTAAGAGAACTTGATTCTCAGGTTAGGAGAACAAATTGTGATTGCACGCTGTAATTTCCTCTCTTTATACATGAGAGATTGTATCTAATTACTGTAAGCTTATGCCGTGTTACTGTTTTAGCATATTGTTATCTTATAGTAATTTCAGCAGAACAAGGAAGCAATAAGTTAGTCTTGTGAAGCAGACACTACACTTGCCAGGTTTAGGTTTCCATTCAGTAGCATAGTCCCACAGCTGC